ACTTTTGCCGGCATTTTTGAAAAAATAATATTTTGATCTATTATATCTTATTTTTGATGCTCCATAAAATTCTTAAAGTTAAAATTTTTACATATATTTTTTACTTTGGCCGCCATTTGATTTAGTTCCGAAAAAATATCAACATCTTAACGCACATTTCTCATGTTTATTTTTGATGCTTTATTCAAATCTATACTTAAAAAATTTTACCTAATTTTACATAATCTTTGGCCGCCATTTTCTCTATGTTTACGAAGAGATAGATCATTTTTGATGCAAATTTTCAAATCATTATTAGTAGTCCTCTAACAGAATCTTAAGTCAGAAGTTCAAAATTCGCAAAAAAATGTTACATACAGACAGACAGACAGACTGAAAAAGGCTCGTTTAGATTTCAGTAAATAAAACTTTTTCAAACTGTTTTTATTAATAGTGTTAAAATTATGAATAAAATAAATAGTTGTTACATATTTTTTATGGCCACTTCAATGATATATCTATTTTTTTTTATTTTATGTGTCACAACAACTTTCACTTATTTTAAACATTTAATTATTTTTGTTGTGGTATTTTTTTGTGGATAATCTAAATATTTTAGTCTAAATAACATAAATGAATTTAAAAAAAAAATTTTTGCTAAATTATTGAATACATATTTTTAAAAAAGTTATAATTTTTTTCTGTCTCAATAAATTGATTTTGTTTTTGTTTTTATTAATAGTGATAAAAATTATGAATAAAATCTCTATTTTATTACTAATTATATGCATTAATACTAATACTATTACAGTGTTGTTAGTCGGGCACCCAATTGTCGGTACTGTTAATGTTGTATTCAATGCACTGTTAGGTCATCAGCCGCCGTTGTCGCCGCCGACACGACGACAGCCTAAAAGTATCGGTTTTATTGCTAGATTGGCGGTAAATATACAGAAAAATATAGGCCAGACTGTGTCGGCTTTTACAGGTAGCAATTGTACAGCCACTGCAGTCGTTGGCCAATCGGGGAATACCGTCGGCCATTACGACTCTATTATCCATTAATCAACAGTTTATCCACAAATTAAATTGAAAAAATACATTTTTTTTAAATAATATTTATTATTATTATGCAATTAATTATAAAAACATTAAACTGTATACAAATAAATTTTTTTAGCAGATTATTATTTTGACATATTATGACACATGTTATGAAAATTAATTAATTATTATATTTACGTAAAGTAATTAAATTGAAATAAAAAATAATTACAATATTATTGTCAGATAACGAAAATATTTTTTTTAAAGTTTAAAACAATTAATTATTATAATTAATACATAATACAATTTTTTTTATTTATTATTTGTCTATTAATTAATAAATTTTTGTGCATTAATTTATTTAAACTAAATATATCTATAACTATGTTATAATTTATTTTAATAATAAAATGATTAATTATTTTATACTTTTGAGATTTAAATAATATTTTATTTGAGTTAAAAGTAATATATTATAATTTTAAAAAAATATTTTTATTAATATAAAATAATATAACAGTAAAAAAAGTATAAATAGCTGGATATTTCACTTTTAGATTATGTATTAACTTGAAATACAAATTGTATTAATATAGTAATAAAGTTTAAATAATATTTATTGTTTAGAAAAATATTAAAACAAAAATTATTTATAATGAATAAATTTTGTATTTTATTAGTTATTGTATCCATCAGTTGCACTGCAGTGTCGGGTCAGTACCTATTGGTTGGTGCTATTAATGCCATATCCAATGCACTGTTGGGTTTGTCACGACCGGCCAGAAGTATCGGGTTTCTCAATGGATTTGCTGCTGATATACGAGGAAAGGTAGACAATGCTGTGTCGACAGTTAGCAATGATGTCCATCAGATGTTGTCACAATTGCATTCCGGTGTCGATAAAGTCAAAAATGGTTTCTATAGTTCGGCCAACTATACTGAACTAACCACACAATTTGCCAGTGCATCTAATCAACTAAATTCATTGGTCGACTCTAATAATACCGTTCCCCTATCACTATACGCCCAAATTTTGTCATTGTTTCGCCCGTTAGAAGACAAGAGAGCCGGGTTTGTACAACAAGCAAGTGATGATCTGTTGGCTAAAAGTCAAAATTTATACAATTTATTGAATGGTAACTCCAATGATATCAAACAACAACTGAATGAAACTCTGGGCAAAGTGTTGGCATCGGCTCAGGCTATCAGAGATTCAAGAAAACAGGGACTCAATCACAATAAGGCTGAACTATTAGGTGCTGTACAACCACTACAAGTGTTGGCCAAACGAGGAAATCCATCAGCCATTGCAACACTATTTGATATGTCATATCTTGTGGTTAAAACAGGTTTGAATGTACGACATAATGTTGCCGCCATTAAAGAGTCACTGGAAAGGGATCAGTCGGCCGTTCAAAGAGATCAACAAACTTATGGGTCTGATAGTGAACTGAGCGCACAGTTACAGTCAGCCAACGAAGCACTTCAGCAACAGATCACGGGATACGAATCTGATCTGAAAGGTGTCGAAGATATACTCAATCAGTTTGGTCTCTATCACCCATTGATTGACATTTTGTCAGCAATTAAATTGTAATCAAATTTCGTTTATAAGACAATTAGTTATTAATAAGTAAATAATGAAAATATAATATCAATGTTTTATAATATTGAAATTATTGAATAAATTGCATTATAAAATATTATTTGTATTACATGTTATTTTTAAATAAAAATATCTAATTAATTATTTAACTATATTAATATTTTAATTTACTTAATATAACATTTTTTTATAAAATATTTTATTCAAAAATATAATATATATTAATTATATAGAATAATATTTTCAGTAAATTACAAATATAAGCATTTATTAGTACAGTATATATATTATTATAGTATCTAATTATTTTTTCGTTCAATATATCCTAACTTATTATATCCAATAATTTTAAACTCGTGTTAATATTAAATACATAATAATAAAATTTTCAAACTATATAATTAATATTATTTCAAAATATAATACTGTTTTATAATTAATAATTTAATAAAACGCAATTTGATTATTTATTTCTAAAAATATTAATATATTAAATGTTTATTTTTATATTAAATAATTATAAATATAAATTTTATATCAATTAATTGTTATATTAGATATATAATAAATTACTATATATGACGCAAATTGAAAATAAATATTGAAATACTAATAATATTAATACTATACTCTATTTATTATTATTTTATATATTAGTTTATTAACTTAACTGTATATTGTATTTGTATACTACTTAATACTTAATTTTACATTATTTAACAAAAATGATTTTCTATAAAATTTATCATGCTAAATTAAGTAAAGTTAAAAACAGTTTAAAAGCATTTTATCTGGATGCTAATAATGGTTTGAAAATAATTGAACAATTTTGTTGTAAAAAATGTATTATCAATTATGACAATTTTGACGACTATTGCATTGATTTTAGTGGACAGTTGTCTAACAATAGGAATGAGCTTATCAGACGACTGATTTTAGTCATATTGATGGTTGCGTTTGCAAGATTTACATTGGATGCTATCCATCCATATAATCTAACTGTTCACCAATGGACAGCCAATGCTACTCTATTGATCGGTCATCCGAACATACTGTCCACTATTCATTCATTGTCTACATTTCTATCGTTGACATTAATGGCGATTATAGTCTATCACGAACAACATCATAGTCTATATAGCCTAACAATACTAAATGATATTAAAAGCAATCATCATCATGGTAAATTTAGATTAAATGATGGTAATTATCGTAAATTTAGTATCCGGATAAATTTTGTAGCCTATTACATATTGAATCATGTTTATAAATTGGCTACAGTACTAGTTTCATCACTATTTATTGGTTCAATGATCTATGCATTGTGGACAGGTATCCCAGGTTTTCATATTTATAATGTCATGTTTTGTTCAATTATAATAATCATTACATTTAGTTATACATTTGCTATACCAATGGCCATATTTGCACTATTTTATGCTACATTGGTTTATATAATGCTAAAATTAAATGAGATAAATAAAAAACTTGTATTTTCAACAGTTTTGTTAAACCTAGAAATGTTTCAGAAACAGTTAGCCGAGCACCGGGTGGTATGCAATATAATTAACAAAATAAACTATTTGTTTAAATACAATATATTTGTTGTGTATTTGTTTGTGACTCCAGTGTGTGATTTGTTACTATATTTATCTCATAATAAGCAATCATTAATAATTTTGAAAATATTTAGTATATTTGTTTTAGTTAATGTATTGTTAATGATAGTCATATTGAACTACATGTGCGCCACAATCAACTCGAAAGTCCATAAATTGCGGCCACTATTACATGGATTTGTGGTCCGATCTGGCGGTCGGTTATCACTGAAAAACAGATTAATTTTGATGAAACTCAATGAATGGTTAAGTGATCGACAAATTGGCATTTATTGCGGCGACTTATTTGTCGTCAATAACTATATATCATATGAATATATTTGTAAATTTTGTACCACATATTTCCTAATTATTAGTGTTATTAATGATTTTTAAATATATTATAGATTATTATATATAATGAAATTAAATGTATATATATATTATGCATAATTATAAATTTTTTAATCAATAAATATAAAGTTAAGCAAAGTAATCATATATTAAATTATATTAAATTATATATTATAAAAAATAAATGATATAGTACTCCAAAATTTTTATTTTGTTTATTATATTAAAAAAATATCAATAAGAAGATAATTGATATTTTTATTGTCTATTTTTGTTATTATTGTTGAACGCAAATTGAAATTTATTACCAATTAATTAATTATAAAAATTAAAGTTATAATAATTATGTTCTCGAGATATTAATAAAATAATTAATTGTATTACTTTTTTTTAAAAAAAAATTTTAAGTCAATTTTGATTAAATATCTACTAAATTAAACTGTAATTGTTAAGGACATGGATGCTAAAAGTAATTCATTCAGAGCTTATGTAACACCAGATATGTTATGGTCGACACATAATGTCAGACAACTAAACAACAACAATACGAATGAGACATTGATTATTGAAAAACCAATAACATCTGTAGACCGGTCGCCGCCAGTATCGTTGTCGTCGGCAAGTTTGGCCAAAACATCGGATCAGTTAGTGATGACCGATAATAAACGAGACATCGATATTGAGGCCAACTATTCATTTGTTACGGCACCCAGTGGTGTCTTCACTGATGTCGACGTTAGAAACGGTTTCATCAGAAAAGTCTACGGACTGTTGAGTTGTATAATAATTGCTACAACTGTTTGTGTGTCTCTTATGTATATATTGTAAGTCATTATTGATTATTATTATTATTTTTTAAATATCAACAAAAAAAATCAAATCCAATAAATTATTTGTATAATTATATAATAAATTGTTTTATCAATCAAATAAATTATCTCAAAATAGTCTCAAAGATAGGATAAATATCAAACACTTAAAGGATATCAATGACAACAATGGTTTAGCAATTGTATTGTTTTTCAGTATCATGTCGTAAGCAATTAAATATTATCATAATTTGATATCAATTTAATATCAAAGCAACAAAAAAAACAAATATTTTCTTTAAAAAAAATATGATTTGTTTTCAAAATTTTTAATTAATTTTTTTTTGAATTGTTTTTATTTCAGAGGACTCGTCGTATGTGTTATTCAATATGTTTTCTGTCTATCAGTATCTGCTCGAAGATCAGTACCAATCAATTATATACTTTTGATAATATTTGTTAGTTTTTTTTTAAAAAACAAAATTAATTTTTGAAAACAAAAGTCAAACACAAAATTGTGTTTATTTTATGTTTGTTTCAAATCATAGATTTAATTTATATATTGTGTTTTAAATTTTATTTATCAGACTATAGCTATGAGTATAGTAGTTGGCATTTTTTGCTGTCAATATATCGGTCAGTCAATTGTTACGGCTTTCATCCTAACGACTGTTGTCGTACTGGTGGTCACACTATTGGCCACCACTCCGTGGGTAATGTATTCAAATGGTCATAAATGTTTGATTTATGAATAATAATAATAATAATAATAACTAAAATACAAACATTATTTTCTAATACAAATACCATATTATATATATATATATATTGATATATTTTTTAAATAGTTTGATATAACAAATTGTGGACTTTTGTTATGTATGTTGGCTATAATCTATTGCATAATGTCGATTGTCATATTTATGATTGTCATATTACTTGAGGTAGACTACCGTCCCTGGGAGATAGTCCTTGGTGTAGTTGGATCGGTAGTATTTTCACTGGTATGTCAAATATTATCACAAATATTATATACATATATATATATATATATATATATATATAGTATAGTATATATACTGTATAACTTTATAACCAATATAATTTTTTTTTTGTTAATGAAATTTATTAAAAAAATATTTATTTTTTTTGTTGGACTAACAGTTTCTACTATACGATACACAATTGATTATCGGCGGCAAAAAATACGAAATGAGTCCCGAAGAGTATGTCTATGCAGTGGTCTGTCTATACGTTGATATCATTCAGATATTTATTCATATTTTGCAAATAATTGGTGGAAATAATTGATATTTGATTTTTGTTTTTTATTTAAATTTTTGTTAGCTTAAGATTTTTACAAAAAATTCAAAGTTAATTAATTTTTGTATTTAAATATTAATTGCAATAGATATCAAATTATTATTATCAGTATTTTATTTAGGCTAAAATAAGTTTTTTTTGTTACTAATATTTATTTGTTAGTTGTAACTAAACAAAATCTAAATTTATTAAAATAAAAAAATTATTAATAATTTTATTACTTTATTATTATAAATCACTAATGAATTTTTAACTATAAGTGTTTTTATTTATTTTTTTTCTGAATTATTCAAGTTTTAAATTAAGCTAACAATTATAAAGTGGATAAACTGTATTTAGTAATAAATAAAAAAATGTAATATAAATATGATTATAAATAAAAAACATAACTTTAAACTTCAATGTATAATAAAAAATCAAAATACAATCATTTTAAATATTTTGAATTTACTGTAAAGTTAATATCAATTAAATTATTATTATTATATCTGTATATTTCTCTATTAGTAATAATTATATCTAATAATATTTCTCTCTATTAATAATAATTTGTTTGCAATTAAATGATTAAAAACAATAACAAAAAAATGTTTAAACAATTATTTAAATTATTTTCTCGCGATATGAATAGCATTTATTACTGAAATCTGTTTTTTTTGAAAATTATTTGGCAACGCTTACCTTAGAGGGCTTCGTTTTTTATATTGTTTGCGCGTGCATTACAACACTGTATTAAATGTATTAATAATACTATTTGCACGTGAAATCACTCGATTGTATTCACATTAGAAATAAAAAATATATATAAAAATCATAATTTGTCTCCACACCACCCCTACTTAACACACTACTATCTAACCCCATCCACCCCACCACCACTTCCTAACCTCCCACACCCTACCCCACTCACCCCCAAACTAACCTAACTATAAAGATAAGTTTAATGCTTTTATATTACACTTTAAAAACAATATAAAAAACGAAGCCCTCTAAGGTAAGTAATGCCAATTATTTAATTAAACGGTAATATTTGTAGTATAATATTAATATTTAACAATCAATAATACGTAATCATCAAATCATAACAACTAATAGTAGTAATAATGGCAACACCGGGACAAATACCACTGTTTGGTAATCCCAACGAAGTGATCACTACAGTGGCCAGCAATCGACTGTTACAACTAGCCGTTGGTAAAAATTTAAGTGTCGGACCATTAGATCCAAACATAAGATGGATATTATATGTGCGGTCATTGAAAGTGTTTCGGATGTCGTTTGCCGGCTACGACCAGATAGCACCCGATCGTTACATTGAAAAATACACTGAATATCGTTTCTATATGGGCCAGTTGTACGACATAGATATCGATGACCCGTCACTGGCCAACATTGACGCCACTATTACTGGCCATCTGGAGTCGGAAGGGTACGTAACAAAGATATCGATACTTAGATTGCGTACACCGGCGCCCATACCATATATAGAGGTAGAGATAGTGGAAAACTATAGTGAAACAAATCAGAAAACAGACACAGTATTGTTGAACCCGTACAGTGAGGAACAGGACATCCCAGCGTTCAAAACCAATCATACCTACCAAAGCTATGTTGAGCGTCGATTAGATGACACGCGAGGAATACAGCTAACTGTACGGACGCCAGACATTCAATTCGGTGCAATTAACATACATTTCAGACATATATCGGCCTATGGTTTCCGAGATTGGATACAATTTAGCAACGATGTAGAACTGTTTGTAGAGATTGAAGTGAATTGCTTTATTGAAGAACAGGGAGCTATCGATGAGTTCATATATTTTTTTCATATACAAACACTGTACGAAATGATAAACAAATTGTTAAACGATTGGCGCACTTATCTACAGTTATTAGGTCTACCGTTCATACCTGAGCACCGGGATGATAGACAAAAATTTGACACAATTATCAATAGGTCATTAGTCGATCCCAACTCAGACGGTGCGTTCTGGTCGACAACCACTGTTGAGGTCTGGGATTTGCAAACTGTTTATCTCAGTCACAATATAGCCATCGACAGTGTATGTCTGTGCGATCGGTGGTGCAATTGGACAGCATTTTTCTACTACAGTCCTATCTATCGGTTTCTGTTATTGTGTCACAAACAGCTCTATTTAGATAACAAGACCCACATTCCCGAAATGTATGTAATGGTGTCGGCATTTTGTACAACACTAAGAGGCCAACGACTGGCACAGACAGACCAATTGCCGCCGACACCCGTCTATCGATTGCTGAACAATGCAATCGATTACAAGAAACAGTACTCATTGTTATTAATAAGCAATAAATTGAATAAAAATTTGTATCGTTTTGCAATACCTCAACCAAAAGATATGTTGGGATTGGCCTACAATATACTACGCTTTGAAGCCGATTGGGTGGCACAGGTTCATCATCTGTATGACAATCATTTTACTCGCGAATGTGTGGATACGTTCTGTCAATTGGGATAGGCGTTCACCGAAATACATGGTCTGGTCGGCGAAATGGACGACTATATTGATATACAAACACAGCGCAAACGGTGGCGCAAAGAGTTTAACCAAATTGTAAGAAATCATTGTTACAAATATCTGTCTCTCGGCGGCGTACGTATCAATCAGCAACAGATAATGGGAAACGATTGGTTGTTTGGCGAAGATTTCAAATACACTAAACGTTTGCCTAAAACACCTAATGAAGAGAAGGTATGGACTTATCGGGCAATGGTATTAAAACAAGACGGACCCGATAGAAATCCGCTGATGGTTTCCGCACAACTGTCGCCACTGTTGAACACATTTTACTCGGTTTATCTGTTTAATGGTATGACTGAATCATTGGTTCCCATAAAAACCGAAAGTGAAATTGAAGCTATGATTGGTATACAACAGTGCAGATATTTGGATCAACTATTTACTAATAAAATGATAAGTGTACCGCCTGTTTATCCTACCTATCAGTTATCTGGTCAACAGTTGATGGCTAACGGCATCCAACACATGCAACACCAGCTTATGGTTGTCTATATGTTACGCGTGTATCACATGGCATATGAGTGGCAGAACCGGGCAATCTATGTCATTGAGGAATTTAATGATCACAATCTTCCCAATGAAAGAGTCGAACCGTGTCTGGGATATGAAAAATTATATGATATCGACTATCTTGAGCACAATTACCGAGATGTTTATCATAATCAACTGTTCACACTGGATGTCATCCAATTGGACACTAATTTTGATGCATTTTACGGTAATTATTGGCCAAAACCGGATCATGAAACCAATCCGCAGTTGACCATCGACCAAGTTCAAGAATCAGTGATCCAAGAATACAACAAATTGTATCACTGGTGGATCTATCAGGGAGATGGACGGATCAAATTTGTCCGTCTAATCAATTGGATAGCTGACAGCATCGACAATGTCCGACAAAGTGGCCGACAAATATTTGACAACCATCTGCTTCCGGCCATTATTGAACTGACAGCCACTTACGAGTACAGTGTCGACGTCTTAGACTATTTAGTCTACTATTTAGTAAAAGCTCAGTGCTTTGCAATTGTTTGTATTGTTATCGAGTTTTTCACTTCAATGCATTCTCTGCAATCGGTAGCCATTTATCAGGCCAACCGTCAGTTTTCATTGTGCAAACCCGGTTGGGTACCAATGTTTCGTACGATCGATACAGTGTGGGCTAAATTAGACAGTTTACTGGCCGACAGTATTATCTACGATGACGAGTGTCAGCGTATTGCCGGAACAGTTGAAGAGACCAAACAGTTGATCAAACATCAGTATCGACAGTATTACAATAAAATGTTAATGCAATGGATATATGAGATGCGATTATTGAGACAATCGCAGCACACACTCAATACAACTACTCTAATTCGGCTACATTTGGCTGTCGGAGTCGGTTTTATGGCCGCATTTACCAACACTTTCCGTCGGGTTAGCCGATCCATATGGCGACGATTGGTCAAACTTTTCGACGAACCGATTGATCCACAAAAACCACAACAACTATTATTACGCAATCGTCGTCCACATTGTCTCCAGTATTTACAGAACATCGACACTGTATTACTCGAATCCGTACCACTCATACGGGAGCCATGGATTCAGGAGTTGGCGCCCATATTGAACATCTTTGCCCACAATGATATCCAGCAGTTTGGTATCAATTTAAATCAATCTAACTATTGATAACAATATATATATTTGTTTAAACAATTTTATGGTTATATTTATTATGAAAGTTACAAACAAAATATAAATAAATTAATATATTTAATATTTTCATAATTTTCTATAATCTAATAACTAATCTAAAAAAAATTATTTAATTTAAATAATTATAGGTTACAAACAGTTATAGTAATTTTACTAATTTTTAAAATACTGGAATCAATTAACTCTAGAAAAATGTTATTAAAAAAAGTTAAATGAGTAGATTAAAATAGCTAGATAATTAATTAAATATTTTTATTTAAAAATAACATGTAATACAAATAATATTTTATAATGCAATTTATTTAATAATTTCAATATTATAAAACATTGATATTATATTTTCATTATTTACTTATGAATAACTACTTGTCAAATAAACAAAATTTGTTTACAATTTAATTGCCGACAAAATGTCAATCAATGGGTGATAGAGACCAAACTGATTGAGTATATCTTCGACACCTTTCAGGTCAGACTCGTATCCCGTGATCTGTTGCTGAAGTGCTTCGTTGGCTGACTGTAACTGTGCGTTCAGTTCACTATCAGACCCATAAGTTTGTTGATCTCTTTGAACGGCCGACTGATCCCTTTCCAGCGACTCTTTAATGGCGGCAACATTATGTCGTACATTCAAACCTGTTTTAACCACAAGATATGACATATCAAATAGTGTTGCAATGGCTGATGGATTTCCTCGTTTGGCCAACGCTTGTAGTGGTTGTACAGCACCTAATAGTTCAGCCTTATTGTGATTGAGTCCTTGTTTTCTTGAATCCCTGATAGCCTGAGCCGATGCCAACACTTTGCCCAGAGTTTCATTCAGTTGTTGTTTGATATCATTGGAGTTACCATTCAATAAATTGTATAAATTTTGACTTTTAGCCAACAGATCATCACTTGCCTGCTCTACAAATCCGGCTCTCTTGTCTTCTAACGGACGAAACAATGACAAAATTTGGGCGTATAGTGATAGGGGAACGGTATTATTAGAGTCGACCAATGAATTTAGTTGATTAGATGCACTGGCAAATTGTGTGGTTAGTTCAGTATAGTTGGCCGAACTATAGAAACCATTTTTGACTTTATCGACACCGGAATGCAATTGTGACAACATCTGATGGACATCATTGCTAACTGTCGACACAGCATTGTCTACCTTTCCTCGTATATCAGCAGCAAATCCATTGAGAAACCCGATACTTCTGGCCGGTCGTGACAAACCCAACAGTGCATTGGATATGGCATTAATGGCACCAACCAATAGGTACTGACCCGACACTGCAGTACAACTGATGCATACAATAACTAATAAAATAAAAATTTTATTCATTATAAATAATTTTTGTTTTAATATTTTTCTAAACAATAAATATTATTTAAACTTTATTACTATATTAATACAATTTGTATTTCAAGTTAATACATAATCTAAAAGTGAAATATCCAGCTATTTATACTTTTTTTTTACTGTTATATTATATTATTAAAATTATAATATATTACTTTTAACTCAAATAAAATATTATTTAAATCTCAAAAGTATAAAATAATTAATCATTTTATTATTAAAAAAATTATAATTATAGATATAGTTAGTTTAAATAAATTAATGCACAAAAATTGTGTTATGTATTAATTATAAATTTTAATAATTAATTGTTTTTAACTTTTAAAAAAATATTTGCGTTATCTGACAATAATATTGTAATTTTTTTTATTTCAATTTAATTACTTTACTTAAATATAATAATTAATTTATTTTCATAACATGTGTCATAATATGTCAAAATAATAATCTGCAAAAAATTTATTTGTATACAGTTTAATGTTTTTATAATTAATTGCATAATAATAATAAATATCATTTAATAAATGTTTTTTTCACTTTAAATTTTTGAACAAACTGTTGATTAATGGATAATAGAGACTAAACTGATTGATAATATCGTCGACACGTTTCAGGTCAGAAACATATCCCGAGATCAGGTGCTGAAGTGTTCCGTTGGCTGACTGTAACTGAGCGCTCAGTTCGTTGTCCGACAGCCGATATGTTTGCCAATCGTTTCTGACGGCCAACTGATCTCTTTCCAGTGACTCGATAATAGTGGCAACATTATGTCGGACGCCCAGCCCAGTCCTCATCACTATATATGACATATTAAATAGGGTTGTAATGGCCGACGGTATGCCCCGATTGGCCAACGACTGCAGTGGCTGTACGATTGCTATCAGTTCGGTAGTATTGTGATTGACTATCGATTTTCTAGACTCGCGGACGGCCTGAGCCGCGACCAACACTTTGGCCAATGTTTCGTTCAATCGTTGTTTAATAACAGTTGAATTACTGTTCAATACATTGTATAACTCTAGACATTTGGCCAACAGGTCATCACTAGCTTTCTGTATAAACATTACTCTCTTGTCCTCCAATGGCCGAAACAGTGTCAGTATGCGCTGGTATAGTGTCTGGGGAACGGTATGATCCGAATCAATCAACGATAATAACTGTTTGCTAGCGTCGGCAAACTGGACGGTTAGCTCTGTATTGTTGGCCAAACTAAGTTTATCGGCATCGGTAGGCAATTGTTTTAGCATATGATGGGCATCTGTAACAGCCGACACAGTCTGGCCTATATTTTTCTGTATATTAGCCGCCAGTCTAGTAATAAAACCGATACTTCTAGGCTGTCGTCGTGGCGGCGGCGACAACGGCGACTGATGACCTAACAGTGCATTGGATACAACATTAACGGTACTGGCATTTTGGTGCCCGACTACCAACACTGTAGTAGTAGTAGTAGTATTAATGAATATAATTAGTAATAAAATAAAGATTTTATTCATAATTTTTATCACTATTAATAAAAACAAAACAAAATCAATTTATTGAGAGAGAGAGAGAGAGAAAAAAATAACTTATTTTTAAATATTTATTCAATAATTTAGCAAAAAAAATTTAATACATTTATGTTATTTAAACTAAAATATTTAGATTTTCCACAAAAAAATACAAAAAAATAATTAAATGTTTAAAATAAGTGAAAGTTGTTTAGTAGAAAAAAAATTGTGTGACACATAAAATTAAAAAAAAAATAGATATATCATTGAAGTGGCCATAAAAAAATATGTAACAACTATAAGATTGTTGTATAACTATTATTTTTTTTCGCAATTAGTTTGCATACCTATCCTCAGTGCTCCACTTACCTTACTTATACATAACTGTATAACACATAACAGAAATAACTGTAACAAAAATTTGCTTATGTAATAATTTTGAATAATAATATAAAAATAAATTAACAATATATATATATATTAGTACAGTATTATTAAACATTATAGATTTATATATATATATATATAAAGTAGAAATAAACAAAAAAATCCAATTTTTTAATTGATATTTTTTTTATATTTAAAAATTAATATAATTAAATAATTGAAACTTTGTTGTATTAATTTGTAAATAATTTTTGAAATATATTTTTGAAAATTATTATTATTTTTTTAATTATTTATTCCTATACATATATTTTCATTTGTCTATTGCATAATATTTGTAAATATGTTTATATATCATAAAATTTTAAAAACTGGTCAAGCAATTTTTTTGCCATTAAAATAAGATACAGTACTACTGCTTAACACATACAAAACTAGTACAATAAATAACTTATTAAAAAATACAACAATTTAATACTAATCCCTATTTTATTGTGTATTAAATACATAATATTGTTTTTATGTGCAAACATATATAATCACAATATTATAAATATATTATATTCATAGATTGTTACACAACTCAGCCATTGATTGATTTTGCTAAATAAAAAGTTATTACAATAGCATTATACTGTAGTTATACATAATGTAATAATTTACACATAATAATAATAATAATTGTAAATAAACTTTTTTATTAAAAAAAATTGTCTGTTTTATTAAGATTATAAGCTAGCTCAATTATTTAGATAAATAAAATAAACAAACACACAAAAAACTAGTTATTTAATTAAGTGATAAATTATATATATCTAAAGTTATATTATATATTGTATACTGGTGTATTAAATAAAATTGTGATTTTAATAAACTAAATTATTATTTAATAATAGTATAGAAACTTTTTATAAATAGTTTTTTAATAATAATATATTTAATATATATATATATTTAATTTTTTTTATCAAGTAATTTTTAATTATAAAAAACGACAGGTGCTTAAATATTATGCTATTATTAGTGCATCAATATATATTTATTTAAAAATTGAAAATATTCAATAAAATATTTACTAAAAACTACAAAAATATTTATTTAAATATTTATTATTTTTTAATATTCATTTATTAGTAAAAATATATATTTATCAATTTTACTTTAGATTATAATAAATAATAATGCATAACAGTATTACAAATTGATAACATATTTTTATTAAGAAAATGTAAAAAAACAATTAATTTTATTTTCAAACTTAATAACTAATACAACTTAATAATTTAAAACAAATATGATTTTAGATCCTATGTTATTTAATAAAATCTATCAATATGTTATAACTAAATTTTTTTCAATTTTTACAAACTTTCAATAATACATAATAATTGCGTTAATTTAATAGTTTAATTAAAAATATATAGATAATTAATATATATATAAATGCTATCAGAAAAACAATTTATTCATATCTAATATATTATGTTTACATAATACTGTATAATGTGTACATTTAGCTTAAGTTGTTTTGACTTTTTGTTTTTGTTTTATTCAATATATGAATCATATAATATTATAGATATGCTATAAATAACTGAAAATTTAGATAACAAATAAATTAATAAAACAATGAAAATATATATATAAAAGGGTTATATAAACTGTAATTATTTACTTTTTATTAGATAATATTGCGATATTTCATATATTTTTTATATATTTGTGTACAATAAACGTCTATATTTTATTAATATAGTCACAATTTAAAAAAAAAAATAATTATTATCTATATGTTTCTAGATTTTTCTTTCATAATAATAATTAATACAAACAATAAAATAAAACATATAAAAACAAATGGTTAAGTTGGTAATACTAATTTTGTTATATTTTATTTACTGGTAGAAAGTTTTACAATATATTAATTTTTATTTATATAATTTTTATACAGTATATACCGTATAGACAATATTGAAAGTGATAATGTCATACAAAAACAATGATGAAAAGTTGAGCCGTATATCGAAAACATTGTGGGCGTCAAAAACATTTCAAACCAGATTTAAAATTAGACTATTAAATGGCAAAACACATATAAGGGATATGAATTTGGGTAAAATTGGCAAAAATGGCAAACGTAAAGGTAATAATATACAGTATATATATATATAATATAAATTTTATATTATTATAAAATAGTGTATATAAATTCATAGTATAGATTGTATTTTAAAATATTATTATTTTTAATTAAAAAAAAACTGCAAAAAAAAATAATTATTATTTATAGTTTTTTTTATTTAATAACATATTTGGTAACCCATTAGTTTTAATTATTATTAAAAAAACAATCAATTATTTTTTTTTAATAAAAAATAAATATCTAGGTATCGACACAATACGATTTGATAAGCCACACGGTAAGTATGATCATCACATCAATATTGATCCCAGAGGTTTTCCTAGTAAAAAAAATCCACACATACCGATACCTAAATCAGTATCCAAGGGATTCCGCTATACATGCCAGGCCTATCAGTACGTGACATTTGGTCTGGGTGCTTTATCAATAGCTTATGATGGCTATCAATTAGGTTTAATAATTTGTTGTTGTTGTTGTTGTTGTTGTTGTTGAAAATTTAAACTTGAAATTTATATTTTACGACATAAATTTTATTTACCACCCAGGTAAATCAGCCTATGATTATATTCACATTGAAGATATCATTGAAGAATTGGAAGAAATATTGTCGGCGCTGAGGGAAGACCTAAAATCCGTGACCGACATCGATACCATTGACTGTATCCATGAGGCTATTGAATACTACGAGTCCGAGTTAGAGGCGTGCAAACGTAGCCGCGGTAAAGTACCATGCAAACTTATTAAAACTGGTGCATCAGTATCGGGTAGTTGGTTTGGCGGAGCCGCCGGTGCTTTAGCTGGCGGTTGGGCCGGTGCTCAAGCTGGCACAGGTATTGGCCTACTGTTCGGGCCAGCGGGAGTGGCTGTGGCGGCTCCTGTTTGTGCATTTGCTGGAGCACTAGCCGGTGCCATAAAAGTAAGCAATGTTACCACTGAATTTGCTGAAAACTTGGCAGAAAGTTACCTTGATCAACTTGAACCAATGTAATTTTTTTTATTTGCTTTAATTTGAATTTATATTGATTAATAATTATTTATATATTTATTTTAATAATAAGTGATAAGAAAAGTTCAGATAATATATCAGCTAATGATTCTGTCAGCGAAACCGCTAACGTAATAGACATTGGATTGGATATAACAGATAAAAATTTGGATAATATATCGGATAATAACTCGGATAATAACTTGGATAACAAAGCGGATAATAACTCGGATAACAAAGCGGATAATAACTCGGATAACAAAGCGGATAATAACTTGGATAACAAAGCGGATAATAACTCGGATAACAAAGCGGATAATAACTCGGATAACAAAGCGGATAATGGATTAGATAAGCAAACAGATAATGAAATGGATAACCGATGGTATAATAAAATAAAAAAAACTATTTATTTCAGATAAATACTATTTATAAATTAATTTATATACAATAATGTTTGTATAACAATTTATTATATTATTTTTATATTTTAACAACAAATAGTTTACTAAATAATAAATTATTATTTCTTTATATATTAAAAAAAATTTAATTACATATATAATACATGTTTCTATACAATAATATTAATGATACAATCCACTGTATACTATGATATCCAACAATTAATTAACTAAATAAATATACAAAATTATAATTTTTGATGTTTAGTTTAAAAAAAACATAATATACAATATTTAAATCATAAAAACCAATTTAATTTTTGTATTAATTATCTTAACAACATATGCACTCCACTAAATTTATATATAAGATTATTATTATTATTATTATTTTAAATATAAAATCTATATTATAATTTATATACCTATATATTATAATATAGATTTTATATTTAAAATAATAATAATATAATAATAATACTCTAGCTGGCAATACTTTAGCTATTAGCTAATTTTATACTGTACATGAAATTGTTTTTATTTATTTATTTTTAAACTGGTCAAGCAACTTTGTTTGCCACCAAAATGTTATATAATCTGTATTACTGTCTAATACTAAAAAACAATTACAATAAATTACTCATTAAAATACAACAATTTGGTACTTAACCCCCTATTTTTTCACATTTCAATGCTTTATATAGTGTACAACATATATGCACTTTACCCACTATTTTAAATATATGATTCCCATTTCTATAATACAATAGTGTAGTATATGATGAAAGCTTACTTATAATATATATTATATAAAGTATCATTAATAGTGTACAGTATTACTGTAAAATAGCTAATGTTATTGACAGCCGATATTAATATTATAAATTAAGTAATATTTTTATAGAAATTTATTCCTAAGAAAATAGTCTAAAAATTGCTATTTTCCCATCTCTAACAATAATGTTTTAATACTTGTTATACAATTTTTTCTTTATAAAATTAAAACTTTGAAATATATAAATAATTCCCAATAAAATGTTATAATTTTATATCAATAAAATATTTAGTATTATTATTATTATTATTATTATATGTAGTAGTTAGAGATGGGCAAATAGAAAGTTTCTAATAAATTTCCCTAAGAAAGTTTCTAGAAAGTTTCACAGGAATAAATTTCTATAGAAATTTAACTTTATTGTTATACTATGGGATCCCCATATCTATAGCTATTGTAATAATATATAAATAATGAGACATAATACTATTCATATAACATTATACTATACACTACTATACAAAATGCGATACCTATATGTAAAATAATTATAATTATTTACTAATAATCAGTTTTGTAAAATTTTAATAATCATTTTATTATATATATATAAGAATTTAAGATAATTAAATAAATTAATTGTTACTTTAATTAATAATTAAAATATTAATACTAATATTTACTTATTACTTGTAAAAACAATGTATTGTTACATAATAACATATATAGAGAAAAACAAAATTAACATGGGGATCCCATAAATAGAAATTTCTTTTAGAAACTTTCTAGAAATTTTTCTATTATTTTATAAATTTCTCTTTTTTGCCAACACTACTAGTAGTAGTACTAATAGCCCATTAGAAATAGTTTAAACTAATCTTTAAATCTTAAAGATACTTTTAATACTAAATTATAATACAATTTAGTTAAATATTTATGACAATAATCTTATAAACTAATGGATTGCTTATTTTGACAATAATATAATCTAATGATACTTTTCAAATAAAAAAAAGTAAAAAATATAATACAAAATATATTGTTTTTAATACTTTTCGGTAAAATTAATAACTAAACTTGATAAAATAATTGCGCATGCTTATTTTATTTATTTGAATTGTATAGCATTTATATTGATAGAGAATATTCTGTATTCAATATAGTTTATTCGTTCAATAGAGTAAACTTAATATTATAAAAAATATAAGTATTTTTATCATAACTAATATTATTATTTTATATATATATTGTTTTATAACAATTTTTATTTTATATATAGTTTTATTAAGATAATGTATAAATTTATTAAACTAACATTTGGATTGAACAGTAAATATAAAATCATAAATAATATATTTACGGGAATAGTGTTTGCAACGTATGTCGTATTGATTTCATCAATAATATTATCGATTGAATTGTCAATTAATAAATCTATTGAAATATATTTAAAAATAATTTTACTAATCAGTATAATAATAACTATTATAACATATATTTATATAAAATTCAATATCATTGAAATTAATCAAATATATAATGAACTTGATGAATTCTATAATAAATACAACCTATCAAGATCAAATAAATTTTCCTATACATTCATACAGTTTGTTTCAATAATCTATGTGTTTTTCTATTATTTTATTTACAGTGATAATTTATTTGACTTATTGTTCAAGATAAAATATGCACCATTATTATTATTTAGTCATCATGCTTGTTTTGATATTTATTTTATTGTCGATTGGCTTATATACATGCAATTGATGATCATAGAAATTATTGATAAATATTCAACAATATTGCAACTAATGTACAAACGTTTGGAAACTATTGACACTATAAAAGTTACACCAAATTATTTTTATTCAATCAATAAGTGTATCAATGATTTTGATTATGATACAAAATGTCTAAATAAATATGTTAATTTTGTTGAAAATATTAGTTTTTTATTAAATATTATTTTTACTGGTGAATTATATTTACTATTTTATTTAACTGATAATACAGTTTTTAAATTTGGTTTAATTTTTAATATGTTATTATTTTGGTTAATCTATATTTTATTGAAATTCTATATTTTTTATAAACTTAAAGTTAAAAATAAGATAATAAATCAATTAAAATTATATAAAAATGATTAATTAAAAAAAACTTAAAATAATATATAAATATTTAAATATATATTGATTTTAATATTGCTTTTAATAAAAAATATTAAAAATTGTTAATATGTATTATATTTATCTTCTAATTAATGTTAAACTTTTTAAACAAATTTTTTGTTTGTATTATATTATTGTAATCTATTTTGTATTAAATATATTATTATTTACTGTATTAATATTGTTTACAATGTTTAAGTACAAATAAATTATTTTAAGTCTAATATCTAAGAATCAAATAACTAGTTTTAAATTTTAATAGATTTCAATAACATATAGATAATGTATTTAATATTTTATTTAAAAATAAAAAGATTTAGTTACCATGGATTTATAAATATATTTTTAACATATATTATTCAGATAAACAATTAAAATAATTGGCTTTAAAATAGTTTTATGTTATACTGTACTATATATAAATTATTAAGCTTATTTATTATATGCCTAAACCTATAAATTTAAATAATTGTCAATTTATTATAAATGTATTTTTTATTATTTTTTTAGCATAATACTCTTAGTTAAAGTATTAGACTATATGTTATAGAGTCTATAACTTCTATAGTATTTATAAAATTTACATTTACTGTATTTTTTTATAAATTTTTTATTTGTCTATTTATAAATCTTTATCTATTTATTTTATTTATGTATTTTTAAACATATATATACGGTATATACTGTATTGTTTAAATAAAAATGTTTTATTAGAAAATATTATTATAAAAATGAGAATTTTTTTTTTTGTTTAAATATTAAAATAATTAAAAAACGTAAATTCTATTATTGAAAATGACTATTATATTAATCTTATCAAAATCACATCAAAACAATTATATTATAAATAATTTATTAATAGATTTTAATTAGAAATTTATTTAGTCATATGATACATACTGTATATACAGTATTACAATAAATAATAATGTATAGAAATTTATTTTCATTAAAAATTATATATAAAACAAATACACAACACATAAAAAACTAATAAAATGCTATTAATATTAAAATGTACTATTATTATATAACATGTAATTAGATATGTGTTTTTAGATAAAAAAAAATAATAATTACCTGGATAACCAGAATATATGAAATAAATATCATATGATAAAATATTTATTGTTATTAGCATATTATTACTTTTAACTTACAAACTGTAATACTATTAACATAGTAATGGACGGGTAGTGTGTATGTGAGCTCAGGTATACTTTAAGATCATACTTCACGGAATCATTTCTATAGTATGTATCCCTAGCTTCACATCCAATGTGTGTGAAGTCAGCCTTAACCACAATGACGAGTGATTGGATCCCTTCCTGAGCGCGATGTCGGTGCCCGAGATCTCCATAGCCTTATGGGTTGATGACTCGTCAGTGCCATTGATGACCGTTTCTGAACACCATTACAAGTGTTTCAGAAGGGAAGGGACCCGTTCCGAGTGGTCACACATTTTTATAAAAATTAAAAAATAATTTTTTTAAAAGTAAAATATTTGATAATATAAAATCTTAAATTATTTTTATTTAGTTAATTAATTAAAATTGTATTACATACATTTTTTTTAAATCTTAAAAATTTTATGCACAATTAATATTAAAAATAATTATTAGTTTATAAAACTTGTAAATAAATTATAAATAATTTTTTTTTAAATCTGAGTTATCGGTGTTTAGTATTCATATGTATATCAAACGCGTCTTTCATTTTAGTCTTATAGTTGCAATCAATTGATTGGCATTCATATACCGGTACCGATCCGTCATGTTTTTGCATATGATATTTAAATCGTATTGAATTAGTTGTCTGATAGTCACAACCGGGCCAATGGCACCGGTAGACTCCCTTTCCCTTATGTTGTCGATCGACATGCATTTCCAGCGAACTTTTAATCGTATATATACGGTCACAACCGGGCCATTCGCATCGGTATTCCTTATCTCGTTTATGTGTTGCCATATGTAAGTTGAGACTCGCTTTTTTAGCAAAACTTTTACCACAGTCTGGCCAATCGCACTGGTATTTTTTGATACCAGTGTGTTTGGACATATGAGCCGATAGATAGAATGGTGATGAAAAACTTTGTTCACAATTATCACATTTGTATGGTTTTGTGTGTCTTAACATGTGATGATCAAAACGGTTTTTTAATTTATTTCTATACGGACAGTGCGGACATTGAAGCCATGGAAGATCTTCAGTGTTCATGTCGTGCATACGCTGTTGGTGTCTATCTAATACTTTATCTGACATAAAACGTTTAGAGCACCCGTCGATAGAACACTGGAAGGGCAACTCGTGTTGACTAATATGTGCTCTCATATAATGTTTATATTTACACCGATATTGACAGCCATCGTATGAACAGTCAATCCACGGTACGTCTGGAAACTCATCCGGATGTACACAAAGTTCATGTGTCCTCAAATACGATAACTTTCCATAGGTTTTATCGCAGCCATCGAACCGACAGCTATGTTGTCTATTGTGTACATTATTGCTATGATCGAGAAAGTCTTGTTGATTTCCCGTACTGTACTCACATCCCTGTTCGGTGCACTGGTATGTTGTTTCGTGTCTTAGTTGATGTAATTTTAAATATTTTAACTGAATAAAAGTTGCCGAACATTGTTTGCACCGGTATTTTCCATTCAATTTTCCCCAATCTTTACAATCAGTGATATATTCTTTGTCTTCTTCATCGCATATCTTAGTCTTAATTCTTTTTGTAGATTTATTTTGTTGAAGACGTGGACGACTATAATAAGAGCTTTTACTATAATTTATTTTATACCTATTATTATTATTACTATTATTATTATTATTATTATTATTATTATTATTATTATTATTATTATTATTATTATTACTACTACTATTATTATTATTATTATTATGTCTAATGATTTGGTTAACAGTTTGATTTTCTTCATGATTATCACAATCATTACCAATAGCTTCTGTATTGTCCAATATTTTTGTCTCATTATTGCTTATGTGATCATCAGTTTTATTTTCATTATGTTGTTTACCACAATCGTCATCTTCGCCATCGCCATCAACAGTAGTATCAATAGCTTCTATATCAACAATAATTGTGTCTTCGCTATCATCACTATCTGATTCATTCAACTCTTCAATATAATCATCAAAAACTGTGTCATCAATACTATGACTGTCATCAGAGAAACTGTTTGTTTGATCCATTGCTTTATGATTTAAATCATGGTTTTCATCTATCATTTTATCCATAAATATTTGTAAATTATTTAATGTTTTTTGATTTACAATATTATGATTATCAGTGGTTTCAGCAAAATTGTTAATAACATCGATATCTTCATTATTATCATTAATACACAAGTTGTTGACATTGTTTTCATTTACTCTTCGCTCAATTGATTCACAACTTATCTGACAATCAGTTGTGTCTTCAATGTCTTTATTATTTAATTCAATATTCATTGACTTTTGATGATTAGTTTGTGTCCATTGATTCAATTGTAATTCAACACATGTCTGACAACCAACTGATTTGTGATTATCAGTACATTCATCACAATTGTCCACAACATTGATATTAATACTCTTCATGTGATTGTTATCTTCATTACAATTGTTGTTAACATTGTTTTTATCAACTCTTCTCTCAAATAATTGACAACTAATCCGATAATCAATGTCTTCTTCGATCTCTTCATTAGTTATTTCATTGATATTTCTTGACTTATCATCAGTTTGTGTCCATTCATCTCGTGATTCAACACTTGTTTGACAATCAATTGATTTCAGATCTAAAATATAAAGTGAAATATAAATCAATTAAATAGAAATATAATTATAAATTAATTAAAATACCGTTTAATTGACAGCAAATATCTGTATTGTTTAATGTTTTTAAAGACACGGAACAGCTTTTGGTGACAATAAGTGAATTGATTTCATTCTTAACTAAATTTTCATCAATTGTTTCATTAATTGATTCAATAAATTGAAGATATTTTTCATATTTTTTTGTTAACAATTGATATCTAAATAAATCATTTGTCAAACACTGGACTTCACGTCTCAATGCGTTAACCATTGAATACAATTGATATCGACTTAAATCACACAACGAGTCACTAATTATTAGAGACATTCAGTTAACAAATAAAATAAATAACAATTAATTTAATAAAAACATTAAAACAAATTCAAAATTGAATGCAATGTTTGTAAACACAAACTGTAAGCATATGTTGTTCAATAAAAACGTCACTAAAAATTCAAGTAATTTAATGTTTTATATTTAATAATATAAAATAGTTTAGTAATAAAATTATTTACAATTTAGTTTAAGTCATTAAATCACTAGAAAATTAACTATTTTTTATTGATTTATCATAAAAATTAAGTTTTTAAAAAATGTTTATAAGATCTCTAAATATAAACTAAACATAAGTTATTGTGTTTTAATTACTGAAATAATAAAAAGTTTTAACTTACAAACTGTAATACTATTAACATAGCAATGGACGGGTAGTGTGTATGTGAGCTCAGGTATACTTTAAGATCATACTTCACGGAATCATTTCTATAGTATGTATCCCTAGCTTCACATCCAATGTGTGTGAAGTCAGCCTTAACCACAATGACGAGTGATTGGATCCCTTCCTGAGCGCGATGTCGGTGCCCGAGATCTCCATAACCTTATGGGTTGAAGACTCGTCAGTGCCATTGATGACCGTTTCTGAACACCATTACAGGTGTTTCGGAAGGGAAGGGATCCGTTCCGAGTGGTCGCACATTTTTAATATAATCAAAAAATAGAAACTATTTCTTTAAGTGAAATTATTTTTAAATTAACATTTTATTAGAAAATTTATACATATTTTTAATAATTAATCTATTGGATAAAATTTAAATATATAAAAAAAACAAAAATCATTTAATAAGATTATTAAATAAATATATTAAAATTTATTAATTAAAATAAAAATAAATACGATTATAGTTACCGGTAATAATTATATTTAATAATAATAAATTAATTATGTTTAGTATCTATATGTATGTCAAACTCGTCTTTCATTTTTGTTTTATAATTGCAATCAATTGCTTGACATTCATATACCGGTACCGATCCGTCATGTTTTTGCTGATGATATCGATATCGTATAGAATTAGTTGTCTGATAATCACAACCGGGCCAATGGCACCGGTAGACTCCCTTTCCCTTATGTTGTCGTTCGACATGCATTTGCAGTGAGTTTTTAGTCGTATAAGTTCGCTCACAATCGGACCATTCGCACCGGTATTCAATATGTCGTCGTGAATGTGTCTCCATATGATTGTTGAGACTCTCTGTTTTAGCAAAACGTTTACCACAGTCTGGCCATTCGCATCGGTAGTTTTTTTTCATACCAGTATGTTTGGTCATATGAGCCGATAGTAACAATGAATTTGAAAAACATTGGTCACAATCGTCACAATTGAACGGTTTTGTGTGTACAAACATATGACGTTTCAGTAGATTTTCTAATTTATTTCTATACGGACAGTGCGGGCATTGAAGCCATGGAAGATCCCCAGTGTTCAGGTTGTGTACACTTTGTTGGTGTTTGCGTAATACTGTCGGCGATCTAAAACTTTTAGTGCACCCGTCGATCGTACACTGAAAGGGCAACTCGTGTTGACTAATATGTGCTCTCATATAGTGATTATATTTACACCGATATTGACAGCCATCGTATGAACAGTCAATCCAAGCAACGTCCGGCAATTCATCGGGATGTACACAAAGTTCATGTGTCCTCAAATAGGCCATCTTTCCGTAGGCTTTATCGCAGCCATCGAACCGACACCTGTATTGTCGATGGTGTGCATTCTTGGTATGGGCGTGAAAGTCATGTTCATTTCCAGTACTGTACATACATCCCTGTTCGGTGCACTGGTATGTTGTATTGTGTCTGAGTTCGTGCAGTTTTAAGGCTATTGAATCGGCAAACATTGCCGAACAGTGTTGACACTGGTATTTGCCGATTATCATAGTTGTCCGATCATTGCATACTTTATCTAATACTTTATCGGCTAACGTAGTCTTGACTTTCTTTAGGGATTTTCTATGCTCAAGACGTGGACAACTACCACATCGGCGATTGGTATCACCAGTTCTGGCAGTAATTGATTTTTGTCTCTTTATTTGATTAAGTTTTTCATCAATTTTTTCTTCATGTTTATCACAATCATTAGCTTTTGTTTGAAAAATTCTATAGTCTTTACTATCATCTGATTTATCCAACAACTCTTGATTATTGTCATCAAAAACAACAACAACTGTTTCATCAATACGATGACTATAATTATGATAATCATTACAATTACTGTTTGCCAAACTTTTGACTGATTGTCGACTATTTCTTAATGAATAAGAAGATTCACTATTTGTTGAATCCATTACCTCATGTTTTTCATCATTTTCATCAGTATTATCACTATTTGTTGGTAAATGACTTTCTGTTTGTGTCAGATAATAGTTATGATTATCAGTACTTTCGTAACAATTGTTTACAATATTGATATCATTGCTCTTCATATGACTGTTATCTTCATTATTGTCATTAATACTGTTGTTGTTGTTGTCATTGTTTTCATCAACTTTTCGTTCAATTGTCTCATCCATTGATTGACAACTAATCAGACAATCAATGTCTTCATTATTAACTTCATTGATATTTCTTGACTTATCATCATTTTGTGTCCATTCATCTCGTAATTCAACACATGTTTGACAACCAATTGATTTCAGATCTAAATTATATACAAAATTGAAATATAAATTTCAATTAAAAAATAAAATTATAAATCAAATAAAATACCATTTAATTGATTGAAAATCTCTGTATTGTTTAATGTCGTCAAAGACTCGGAACAGCTTTTGGTGACAATAAGTGAATTGATTTCCATTTTCACTAAATTTTCATCAATTGTTTCATCGATTGAATCAATAAATTGCAGATATTTTTCATATTTTTTTGTCAACAATTGATATCTTAATAAATCATTTGTCAAACACTGGACTTCACGTCTCAATGCGTTAACCATTGAATACAATTGATATCGACTTAAATCACACAACGAGTCACTAATTATTAGAGACATTCAGTTAATTAAAAAAAAACAATTGATTTAATAAAAACATTAAATCAAAATTTAAGGCAATGTTTGTAAACACATGCTATTCAGTAAAAACGTCTCTTTAATTGAAATGATTTTAAAAATTAAAATTTTAATGTTTTGTTGATATTGTACTGTAGTTTAAATAACTATACTATAATTATTTAATAAATTAATTAGAAATAATTTTATTTTATGTAATGCATTAAAATTCATTATACAAATTGAATATTTATTTTAATTTACATAATAATAACAATAAAAATTATAATTTCAATAATTCATTAAATAAATTTAGTTCAATTTTATAACTTATTATAGATTTAAAAATAAATTAATATCAAAAATAAATTTTATTTTAATACAATTATAAACAATAGCTAGAATTAGCAGTAAATTCAATAATAAATAATTAATTTTATTTATGTTTAGTATTCATATGTATATCAAAGGCGTCTTTCATTTTGGTCTTAAAGTTGCAATCAATTGCTTGACATTCATATACCGGTACCGATCCGTCATGTTTTTGTAGATGATATCGATATCGTATGGAATTAGTTGTCTGATAATCACAACCGGGCCAATGGCACCGGTAGTCTGCCTTACCATTATGTGTTCTTCTAATATGAGACGTAAGTCCAGCTTTCAAATTGTATGACTTATCACAGTCGGGCCAATTGCATCGGTATGTCTTGTCTGCCGTATGACTATTCATGTGTTCATTTAATTTTCCTTTAGTTGTTAACCGGCGCTCACAGCCCGGCCATTCACAAGCGATTTTAAGTGCACTGTTATGTGTAGCCAAATGTAGTTTTAAACATTTATCACTTGAAAACTGTTTATCGCATTCATTACATTTGTATGGCTTCAGGTGTCGTTTCTTATGATCAAACATAAGAGTTGATGCTTTTGATCTAAACGTACAGCCAGTGTACGAACACTTCCGCCACTGTATGTCTGGATATTCATCGGGATGTTTGCTAAGATTATGCAATCGCATAGTACGAACAGTTTTGAATACAATATTATTGCAGTTATTACGATCGCATCGGTATGTCTTTTCATTGGTGTGTGTATTCATGTGATCATCAAACTGATACTTAACACCATAGAGTCGGTCACAGCCCGGCCATTCACACTTGTATTTAAGAGCACTGTTATGTGTTGTCAAATGTGCTTTTAAGTTACTACTACTTCCAAAGCTTATTCCGCATTCATCGCATTTATATGGTTTTGTATGTCGTTTGTTATGATCACTCATAGCTAGATTTGATTTTGATTTAAACGTACAGCCAGTGTGCGGACACTTCAGCCACGGTATGTCTGGATATTGATCGGCATGTTTGCGAAGTTTATGTGATTTCAATTTCAATTGAGTATTGAACACTGCATTGCAGTCATTATAATCACAATTAACTGATTTTTTATTTGAATGCTTTAGTTTATGGGTTTTATAAACTTGTTTATCACCAGTTTTGTAATGACAGCCATTGTATTGACATTTATATGTCTCTCTATGACAGACACTAATATGTTTCTTAAGATACTTCATTGTTGCAAATACTTTGGAACAGTTATCTTTAGTGCACTTGTAGTTTCCATCAGCGCTCGACACCCGATTGATTGGCTTGTATTGATCCGGATGTTCATTGAGTTGATGATATCTGAGCGCTTGTCTAGTGTTCATTGTAACGGAACAGTCGGCGAAATTACATTTAAATAACTGATCCCCGGAACGGTGTCTTGATTTGTGTTTTTCAAATACATATTTATTGCCCGTTTTGTACTGACATTCCTTGTAATCGCATTGATATACTTGTAGGTGACTTAGCCTCACGTGTGTTGTCAACTGCCGTCTCATCTTAAATGCTTTACAACAGCCCATTGTTGAACACCGGAACTGTTGTCCATCACTGTTAACGACGTCTTCATCATTACAAACAACTCGTTGATCGTTGACTTTATCGATATTGTCTGAACTATCGTCACTTAAGTTATCGATATAATCATCAAAAATAACAGTTTCATCGCTATCTTCGTCTTCATTATTATTACTATTGATATCAACAATCGGTGTCTTTTTATTAGTTGATCTAAGCTTTCGACAGTCAACTACTACTTGACTATCAGTTTCTGGAAAATGATTGATATCTTTATTATCATTGCGTTTATCACTGACTTCTTCGACAATAACTTTATCAATTATATTGTGGTCACTGACCACTACTCGCTGGTCATTGTTATCAACGGCTAACCTTTGGTTCAATATTTTGTTTACAGATAATTTCAAATTACTTGAATTTTCTTCATTCATTGATTTTATTTGATTAGTATTATTACAACTATTGTTGTCATTGTTTTTACCAACTCTTTGCTCAATTGTCTCATCCATTGATTGACAACTTATCTGACAATCAATGTCTTCAATCTCTTCATTAGCTATTTTATTGATATTTCTTGACTTATCATCAGTTTGTGTCCATTCATCTCGTGATTCAACACTTGTTTGACAATCAATTGATTTCAGATCTAAATTATATAATTAAATAGTAATATAAATCAAATAAAATTATAAATAAAATAAAATACCGTTTAATTGACAGCAAATATCTGTATTGTTTAATATCTTCAAAGACACGGAACAGCTTTTGGTGACAATAAGTGAATTGATTTCATTTTTCACTAAATTTTCATCAATTGTTTCATCAATTGATTCAATAAATTGAAGATATTTTTCATATTTTTCTGTTAATAACTGATATCTTAATAAATCATTTGTCAAACACTGGACTTCACGTCTCAATGCGTTAACCATTGAATACAATTGATATCGACTTAAATCACACAACGAGTCACTAATTATTAGAGACATTCAGTTAACAAATAAAATAAATAACAATTAATTTAATAAAAACATTAAAAAACAAAATTCAAAATTGAATGCAATGTTTGTAAACATAGACTGTAAGCATATGTTGTTCAGTAAAAACGTCACTAAAAATTCAAGTAATTTAATGTTTTATTAATAATAGAAAATAGTTTAGTAATAAAATTATTTACAATTTAGTTTAAGTCATTAAATCACTAGAAAATTAACTATTTTTTATTGATTTATCATAAAAATTAAGTTTTAAAAAATGTTCATAAGATCTCTAAATATAAACTAAATATAAGTTATTGAGTTTTAATTACTGAAATAATAAAAAGTTTTAACTTACAAACTGTAATACTATTAACATAGTAATGGACGGGTAGTGTGTATGTGAGCTCAGGTATACTTTAAGATCATACTTCACGGAATCATTTCTATAGTATGTATCCCTAGCTTCACATCCAATGTGTGTGAAGTCAGCCTTAACCACAATGACGAGTGATTGGATCCCTTCCTGAGCGCGATGTCGGTGCCCGAGACCTCCATAACCTTATAGTTTGAGGACTCGGCAGTGCCATTGATGACCGTTTCTGGACACCATTACAGGTGTTTCAGGAGGGAAGGGATCCGTTCCGAGTGGTCACACATTTTATAATTCAATAAAAAAAATTAAAAACTATTACCTTAAGTCTAATTATTGACAAAATTCAAATGTAATGTTTCTAAACACATGTTATTCAGTAAAAGCCTCTTTATAATTGAATATTTATTAATTGTTCAATAGTTTACATAATTATAAAATTAAAAACTTATTATTCAATAATTACAAACAAACTATTCAAAAAAAATATACAGTATATATACTATAAAGATATATATTAGTTTTTATTACAAAATAAAATATAATTTATTATTAATAGCAAAATTAATAACACTTAGCGGTATAAAATTATTAATTACAAACAAACCATTTAAAAATATATATATTTATAAATAAAAATAATTAATATTATTATATATTTTTTAAATTTTAATTTTTGTTTCGCAATACAATCAATGCATCGGCCAAAGCGGTACACAATTTCTGGACACTCGTCCGATTAGCGTTAGACCCGAGAAACCCTAAGCGCCAAACTTTGCCAAAAGTCGGTCCCAATCCACCCGTAATCGTAATCCGGTGTTTATCATTCAGATAGCTGACCACTTTGTCACTGACCACATCCTCGGGTACACATACTGCCAGCAGACCCGGCAGTCGGTATTCAGGCCGCTCGACAAACAACTGCAAACCCAGCTCTTCGGTCATATACTGTTGAAGATATTGGTGTGCATCGCGGTGTCGATGGATAACATTGTCCAGACCTTCGTCGGCAACCATTGCCAGTGCCTCCCGAAGCGCATATAATAATACAGTTGCCGGTGAATAGTGATACATAAACTGATAGTTATTGTCACCGTCCAGACACCAGGCCCGGGCCAACAGTTTAAAGTCCAAACAAAACGTATCGACATCAACGGTCCGATTCTTTAAGCGTCTTACCGCTCGATCGCTAAGACTAATCAATGCCAAACCGGGCGGTGCCGCCAATGACTTTTGCGAAGCTCCGACCACCAAATCTATGTCCAACTGGTCCGCATTGAGCGGTGTACAGCACAGCGACAGTATGGCATCGACCATCATCAGACAGCCGTTGTCGTGACATACCTGTGCTATACCCTCTAATGGTTGTAGCGTACATACAGTTGAATCTCCGTGACATATATACAGAAGCTGTGGCTTACATTGTTTGATAGCGTCTAATGATTTTGTTTTAATGTTTAAAATGTTTTAATATTGATAAAAATATAGTATAATAACAAGTAATCTAACCGTAACTTTACCTTCAATTTGCTGTACAGTAAACACATCATTGCCGTGTCGTTTAGTCTTCAACTCTACCACATTGTAGCCACGTTTGCGACCCATACTGGCCACTCGTTCGCCCCAATAACCATGTATGGCCACCAGCAACGTATCGCCCGGTTCCAGTAGATTGCATAGACCAGCTTCCATAGCAAAACTACCCGAACCGGTCATTGCCATTGAATAATGATTGCGAGTTTGAAATACATAGCGAATTCCGGCACAGATATCCTGTTGTACCTATAGTTTCAATAATAATTATTATAGTATTTAAAAAATAATAAAAATAAATTAAAGATAATCATAACTAATCAATAATTAATAATTTTTTTTATTCAATGTAAAAAATTACCTGAAAAAATTGCTTATCCATAATATGGACAATCGGCTGAGTCATGGCTGCAATAACTCTGTTATCCATATTATTAGGTCCGGCATTCATTAGTAGCCGTCCCTCTATTTCCAATGGCTTAGCCAACTGTTCCGGCGGTTCAACATAACTGTCCAGTTTAGTCATTGTTATTAAAACAGGGCTACTAAGTTACTACTACTACTACTACTACTACTACTACTACTACTACTACTACTACTACTACTACTACTACTACTACTACTACTACTACTACTACTACTACTACTACTACTACTACTACTACTACCACTACTACTATTACTATACGACTTATACAACTATACAGTTGTGATAATCTGATAAATAGCTTTCAAAAAGTCAAGTAAATTAATAAATTTATATAAGAAATATTTTTCCATTAAAATCAATAATAATAAAAATAATTCAATTAATACAACAAAAATGTTAAAATCATTTACAATTAATTCTAATGGAATATTTATAATGGAATGTAGTGTTTAAAAATTAGCAAGATCATATCATCATCATCATCAGTAATGTTTTAAGCAAAAAAAATGCTTATTAAAATGATTAATATTAATAAATTATTCTATTATTATTTAAATAAAAAACTAATTTGTTAAAATTAATAATTAAAATTAATTAGTTTATTAGTTTATTAGTTAATTAATAATTACTATATCGATATATTAATTTTAATTTTGTTAATAATTAACAATATAATACAATATAATGATATTGTATAAACTGTATATATACCTATCTACATATACATTGTTATAATAAAAGTTATTTACAAATACATTTAGTTTATATACTGAATATATATATTTTAAGTTAATTTTATTGTATTTAAAAATGTATTATGAAATGGCATTGAATTTATATCTACTATTTTATAAATATTAAATAGTTGGTATTTATTGCATTTATTTTCTTATAGATATCTAATATGTTAACTATGTATTGAATATTACTTATAAATAATTTTTTTAAAAATAATTATATAATAACTTGATTTTGACAAATATATTTATTTAGGTTTTGATACTCTTTATGAATGTAATACTACTGTATAACTATAAACTTATAGTTAAATAAAGTTATTATAGACAACATATATTTGTAATTTATTAGATAGGATTGATATATTTAGTAATTTTTTTTAATATCTAAGATATTTATATATTTTGAGTATCGGTCATCAGTATCAGTATCAATAAATATCAATAAATTTTTCGTAATTTTTATATATTAATTTTAAAATTAAAGTTAAATATTAATTGGATTTAATTTTCTATAATAATATTTTGCATATAATATTTTTTAAAAAATAATAATAATTAATTTATTAGTATTAATATCTTTTTTAATAAAGAGAGATAAATAATTAAATAGTTTATATATTATTATTATTATTATTATTATTACCATAAATCAATAGATTATATATTACTGTATATTAATTGTTTGATAAATTAAAGGAAATTTTTTTAATAATTAGTGTTAGAAATATTCAGTAGTCTACAGTATATCTACGTCATTGCAAGCAATGATTGTGTTATAATATTTAAGAAAATACTAATAAATTTTTTTATTGTTTGTCAGTTTTATTGTATTATTTTTATATAATTATTGCAGAAAAAACCAAATCACATAATAATAATAATGATTATTGAATATTAATTATTAGTGTTTCAATGGGTTTCACTATTTGAAAATAAATTAAGCTAACCTAAACTTTTATAGTGCTTTAAAAAAAAATATAGATTTAAAAAAAAAATAATAATTAAAATCATGAGAGATAATATTGAAACTTGATTATTTTTAATTATCATAACACAGTACAAATTATTATTAATAACCCAGGATCTATTTCATAAATTATCTATAATATAAAATTAAATATATTGAATATATAAATTTTTATATAGTAAATGCTTTTAAAGCTTTTTAAGTATTTTTTGAGTGTTTTTTATTTATTTTTTTATTTATTTTTATTTATGATTAAATATTTAAAAAAAATACTGGTATACTGACAAATTGTTTCTCTATGTGTGTGTATTATTAAGTAATCTATTGTACATAACTTGTAGTAAATAGTTTTAAAACTAATTTTTTTTAATTGTAAACATTTTTTTTACTGATTTAGTAGACAAATAAAAATTATTAATAAGCAAAAAACAAACAAACAAAATAAAAACACACGCAAATTGAAAAAAAAATTTTTTGTTACTCTAAACTATAGAAATAATTATATATCTAGACTTTCAAATATTTTCTATAAAAAAAATAAAGTCTAAATAATGTTTAAAAAAACACAGAAAAACAATAGAGTCTTAAACAGCGGCAGAGGCGGCGGTGATGTTATAATTTTACAATTATTTGGTCAACAATACGTTTGAATTAAAAAGTGACCAAGATGGCAATGTTGTAGATAATTTTATACTGGATAAAATTGTAATTGGTCATTTTTTAATTAATTGTATTATAGGGCCAGATAATTTACAGTCGACTGTAAATTATCTGGAAAAATCATAAAATTATTTTTTTTAAATGACCAATTTACAATTTTGTTTAGTATTAAATTATCCAACAACATTCAACCACTTGGTCACTTTTTAATTCAAACGTATTGTTGACCATATAATTCTAATTAATAGCATCGTCGCCGCTGTTTAAGACTCTGTTGTTTTTTTGTGTTTTTTAAACTTATTTTTAAAAATTTTTTTTTTGTAGTTTTATTTAGATTTTTCATTTTTTATATAGATAATATTTGAACACCTAGATATATAATTATTTCTATAGTTTAGAGAAACAACAACAAAACTTTCAATTTGCGTGTGTTTTTTTTTAATTTATTTTGTTTGCTATCATCATCGCCGCCGCTATTTAAGATTTTCTCCAAAAAAAAATCAATTGATAATGTGATGACTTTGTGAATATTTGTTTCAAACTTTTAAACAAACAAAAAATCGTAATTAAAATATTTTTTTAAAAAAATAAAATAATTTTATGATATCATACTAATCTACTATTAGTTAGAAATAACAGGGTATCTAATATACGTATTTATGATTAATGTAATAATAAATTTTTGTTGTTGTTGTTGTTGTATATGATTTTTTTGTTAGGTCAGCAAATTTTGTTGTTGTTGATAATATTGCTAGCAAATTATAATTATTAATTTTTGTTGTTTATGTTATTACTACCTAGATAAATTATTTTATTAGTTAATAGGCGTGTATATAATATTTAAATATATATCTAAGATATTAAACCTCTACGCTATTTATATATATATATATATATATATATTTAGATGTTTTTAAAGTTAACTGATCAGATCAGTAATTAGTTTCATAATTAGCTAGTTAGTTTTGTATAGTATATTACTAATAGTTTTAGTTTAAATAGTTAATTTATAAACCAGTAACTTTTTCTTTGTATTTTTTAAAGAAAATTTTAAACAAAGTTACTATTATAAAAAAATAATTATTAATATTTTATATACTTTATATATATATATATTTATAATAATAATACTATTTTTAAAAAAAATGATAAACGAGTCCTACCTATCAATTGTTATAACTGGTTTAATATCGGCACTGATATGGTTTGTCTGGCAACGCAAACAGCGAATGTCGATACTGGAGAGGAACGGTATTCCCGGACCAAAACCGCATCTGATATTTGGCAATATGTTTGAGTACTATAGGCGCGGCTATAATGACTGCTATGATGAATGGCTACCCAAATACGGTAAGATTTTTGGCTACTATTTGGGTGCCAAACCGTTTCTGGTGGTCACCGATCCGGACCTATTGAGGCGCATACAAGTTAAAGACTTTCAATACTTTAGCTCAAGACCGTACGTTATTCCCGGCGGTATTTATCATAATAAAAATTATCATCAAATGGTAAGTCATATTAATTAGTTGTTATCTACTTGTTCTCAAAAAACAAATAACTAACTGTCCAATTGTGTTGTCCTCGCTCCTGATTTTTTAGTTAACCCGATCGGAATCGGTTCGGTGGAAACAAATGCGATCGCTGTTCAGTCCGTGGTTTAGTTCGTCCAGTTTGCGGGCACAGACACCGGTGGTCAACAAATGTGTCGATATATTGATGAACAAAATCAAATCGTTTGCCGACAAAGGCCAAGAGTTCAATATCTATGAACGTCTGGAGGCCACTACCATCGATCTGGTAGACAGTGCCGCGTTCAGTGTCAGCACCGATATCCACGACACTGATCCCAATGAGAATCCATTTTTTCAGGCCTCCCGCGGTGTGTTCAGTATACGGCCAAAAGACAACATACTGGCCTCGCTGTTGCTATGCTTTCCCGAGTTTGCCACTGTAATCAATGCCGTACGCGATGTATGCGAAACTGTTTGGGACTACTTCGAGCTAACCTATCACGGTCTACTGTGGAAAGCCGGTCATACTATCGTTGAGCGCCGATTGGCCGCCAACAATAAGGGTAAATCTGATAATAATAATAATAATAAACAGTTGAGTAATAAACGCAAAGACATGCTGGACCTGATGCTTGAGACACGAGTCGATCCCAAGTTAAGCGGCGGTAAACCGCTTACCGATACTGAACTGATTGCCAACGTTGTAGTTATACACGAAGCCGCCTACGAAAGTCCGGCCAATTGGTTAGGCTTTATCGTACACTGTCTGGTCAATCACGCAGATGCCCAACAACAGTGTTACGATGAAATATGCGAACACTTCGACAAATACGGCAAATTTGACTACAATGTCATGTCTAGTCTACCGATGATCGATGCCGTCATCAACGAATCGCTTCGTCTCTATCCGACCGATACTATATTTACCAGTCGACAGTCCAATGCCGACTATAAGTACAAATCAATGACACTGCCAAAAGGTATTGACATACGGGTGCCAACAGTACAATTACAACGAGATCCGACCTACTGGTCAGAGCCGAACCAGTTTATACCGAATCGTTTTCTTGATAAACAATCGCCAATCGATCCGGTCATCTATCAGCCATTTGGCTACGGACCGCGTGTCTGTCCCGGCCGTAGATTTGCACTGTTGTCTGTCAAAGTGCTTCTCTGCGAACTTTTGCACCGGTATGCCATAACACCCGGTCCCAGGACAGAGATCGGCGAAATTGAACGCGACTTCAAACTGATTACATGTTCGCCGAAAAACGGAGTTTACGTTCAATTGGTTCCACGAAATTGACTTTAATTTGTTTTTTGTTTTCTTATTATTTTTAGTAATTATTTATTATTTAATTAATACAAATCTTTGAAATAAAATTTTTATTAGTTTTTCTAAATTATACCTAAATGTGTGAATGAGTCTAATTGATTAAAAAAAATAAAAAAAGAGAGAGTGAGTTAGTGAGAGAAGAGAGAGAGAGAGAGAGAGAGAGAGAGAGAGAGAGAGAGAATTAGCAAAATAAATACTAAACTTAATTTAAAAAAAAAATTTAATTTAAATAAATTTACAACAAAAAATTAATTAAACTTAAATTAACTCTTAAAATATTAGATCATAAATTACTATACATTTACATTATAATTACTAAGATTATAATTTAAGATTTGACTAATTATTGACATTTTTTTTTTAAAACAGTATATTAATATTTTTATATCTAGTCATATACAAGTAGATAATTTTAAACTGTAAATAGTATATACTATATAGTAATTATATATATATAAAAAAAATAATAATTTTCATAAATATAATTATAATATTAGTAGTTGTATAACAACAACAACAACAAAAACAACAACAACAATGTATGTAAAATATTTAATAAATTCAATAATTTTGTTTGTCATTAGAATATCTGATAATGAAAATGATGATTTCAAAAAAAAAAAAATTTTTGTAAAACTTATGAAAAAAATTACAAAACTATTAGTTGACAAAAAATTTGAATTTTTTATTGTTGAATATACTGTACACTTATTTTATGTAATATTAGAAAACATTTTTTTTCATACAATATTTAAATAATAAATCTTAGAAAATAATTGCTTAAAGATATGGCTAATTTAATTAATTCATATATAGATTATTTTTGTTTAGTAATTGTGTTGTTTTTTTTTGTGTATAATTCAATTGTATAATTTATAGATATATTGTTAATTTATGTGAATTATAGCTAATAACCAAATATTCAAATGCTAAAAATGATGAAATCTATTTTTTTGAATAACTAAAATATTTGCTAAATGATTAATAAAATAATAATTAACATTTTAGCAAAAAATAAAAAGTTTTTATAACTATTTTGTTTACTAAAGTATACTTTATTTTTTTTCATTAAACTTTAAATGTTTAAAATTATTTTATTTTAATTTTTCTATTACAATTGGATCTATTTGATTAATTATATAAAAATAAAATTAATTTTTATAAATATAATATAAAGTGTTTATAAATAAATATATAATTAATCATTAAGAAAGATATTATATATATTTATATTTATTATTAATTGTTGAGTTGATTAATTTGAGTTTATTTATTATTATTAATAAATAAAAATTACTGCATTTTGAATGAAATGAAATAACTATATTAATAATAATTAAATCATTTTCTGTAAAATTAAATAAGTTTTTAAAAAAAAAATATTAATCTAATTTTTGATTATAGTTGTTAAGTAAATATGTATTTAAAAAAATAAATAAAAGTCAAATATTTTATCTGATTATTTTTTAAACATAATTTAAAAAAAAAATAATTTATTTTATTTGTAAAAAATAATATGATTAAGCAAATATCTAATAAAAAATACCTGTAATTTATTACACACACACACACACACACACACACACACACACACACACACACACACACACACACACACATACATACATACATATATACATACATACACTATCCACACCTATTAAATATTTTACATAAAAGGAGAATAAAATAGTGAAATATATAAAAATATTTATAAATAATAATAATAATATCTATTATTATTATTTATAAATAATTTGTAATTTTGTAATTCACTAGAAAAATTTTATCCAGTACAGATTATGTTTGCATTATCAAATAAATTATCATGGTCAACTATGTCCGAAATTACGGCCAACATTCATAAAGAGAAACAAAAATATTTCGATGAAATGACATTTTCCGAACAGTATGAGCACCGGGAGTGCGACCGTATTGTCATATCCTATCCGCGCAGTGGCAGCCACTTTGTATCGTATATCATACAACTGTTGTTAAGCAACTGCAAGAATACGGATGCCTTTGTCGGCTACGATCATCTAATTGAGACCACTGGTCAACGGGCACTGGACAAGGGTCGGTCATTTCTAGATAACGGTGCCATCAATGAGTGCTGTCTTCATAGTGAAGAAGCTAACGACAGTACTAAAGAGGAGAAAGAAGATGATAAAGAAGTGGTATTTTTTAAGACACATTTGCGACGCAAGTTGTTTGCACTGAACTCGCGGGCAAAATATCTGTTTGTTGTCCGCAATCCGAAAGACACATTCGTTTCCAAATATATGATGTTCCGTAACAGGCATTGGTTCGGTCCGAATGAGGTCACACCCGGCGACTACTTTCTAATGGAACGACTGATACCCGATCGTGAATATGGCGACTATTTTCATTTTGTGGCCGACTATTGGCCGCACCGATCGGATCCTAATTTTGAAGTACTCGTGTTTGAGGAAGTGTTGGCCGATCCGCGCAAAGGTATCGAACAGATCGCACGGTTTTTGGGTAAAAAATATTTCGATAGATTGTCGCATATGGTCACCGATAGTAGCGATAATATCAATAACAATCAAAAGGAGACACTATTGGATAAGATTGTTAGGCTGTCCTCGTTTGATGTGATGAGCGAAAAATATGCCGACAATCAGGAAATCAAATGGCGACTGAGGAAAGGCACTGCCGGGAACTGGAGGTTACATTTGAACAATGATGAAGCCGGTGTAGTCGATAAACTGGTTAGAAAATACTGGACCGGCACCGGTATAACGGATTTGTGGGCACCGGATGTTATCTAAAATAATGTTTTATTTTTTAGTTATTTAAAAAAAATAAATACTATATTAATTTTAAAATATCATATTATAATAATAATGTTTGTTTTTTAAATATAAACTTGTACAGTAACATTTTATTTTAATTAATTTAACATTTAATCTAAAAAATATTTTTTTAAAATTTTCATTTTATATACCTATTTATAGCATACTATAATGTATGTTTTTAATTAATAATATCAAATTAAAAAAAATATTTGTTTTAATCTGAAACCAATTAACTGAATTAACTGAATCTAAAATTTTGATTATTTTTGTTAGGTTTTGAAAAAAAATATTTTTTTAAATAGATTAATTAATAATATATTTAAAATTAACATAGTTTGTAATTTTTTATGCTAATATAATTAATGTAATTATAATTTTTAAAAAATTAATATTAAAAAATTATTTTATAATAAAAATTTGTTTTGAAGTTATCATAAACTTTTTTAATTTAATAATTATTAATAGTTTAAATGCTTAAGTAATTGTTATTTTTATTATGAATCAATAAAACTAAATTAGTTGAAAAAACTGTTTATTTTAATTGTATAATTCAATTACATTTACAGTATATTTTAAAAATTAAACCGTAAACTATTTGTTTGATTGTCATTATTGTTTTAATTAATTAATAAAAAAAAATTAATAAATAAAGAGAGAGAGAGAGCTAATAATATTATAAATTTTAATAAACATAATAAGGAAACAAACGGCATCTACAATTGTCAAAAATAAATATTTTAAAATAAAATTATTGACTTAATTGTAAAGTGTCTCTGAAATTAAATGCAGAAATTGTTTATCAATATACAGTATATATATATATAAATTTATCTAAATATTATAGATTAACTAAAATTATTTCAATTTAAAATTTATAGTCTTTTTTTTAATAAATTCAAACATATTTTGATTATTTTTTTCTTAATTAATCAATAAATGAACATTAAATGTCAAACATTTAACTAAAAAAAATGTAATTAATTAGTTGTAATAATTATATAAAATTAAATAATTATTTCAAAAATATAATACTTTATTTTGTAAATCAAAACAGGAAAAATACATTAACCAAAAACATAATATCAGTTCATCAATAAAAAAAAATAAACTACAGTACAGTCTAACAAATCAAACTACAAAATCAAAGTAAACTATTTAAGTAAATAATAGTTAAAAATAAAATTATCTTATACTACCTGTAATAATAAAATAATAACAACATAATAATAATAATTATATTGTATTTTTTGTGCACTACATGTATGAACCTGCTAAACATTACAGTATTACTAAAAACTAAAAAAATATATAATAATAATTATGAATATATTATCATTTATTGTCCTCCAATATCATTTCGGCCGCTTTTTCGGCCACCATATAGGCCACACTACCCGGACATGTATTGGGTGTGTAGGTATCTTTTGACGGCAATATGGACGTATCGGCTACCCGAAGTTTGGACACACCTTTGACCCGTAGACGTTCGTCGAGTACCGACTCTTTACTGTCGACGGCACCGATCGGCATCACACCGAGCGGATGAAATTCAGTAATACCTTGAGTCTGGATCAGACATTCGTGATATTTGGTACACTTCCAAACCGGACCGGACTCGCAATAGGAACAGTCCGGACTCTGCGGTTGGGCCGGTACTGAGGCATACTTATTGAACGATGTTTCCTCCACTAAACGATAGAACTGGGCGATAGCATCCATCAGACGTACCTTATCCTCCGGGTGCTTGAAATAGTTGGGCTGAACCCGTACCAGATCGCGATAGTCGGCTGATCTGAGCCTAATATGACCCTGGCTCATCGTACGGGTAATAAATGCAAATGCCGATCCCTGAATTATATCGCCCTTACCGGTAGGTCTAACGTTACCAAAGTAAACAATATCGGTATACTCTTTGGGTGTGTTCACCTTGGAGTTGAGTGTAATAAATAGCCTGGGTGCTTCGCACAGGGATCCTTTTTCACCAGTCAAACAATCGCCCAGTTGTTGATCGTCGAGCATCGGTATGGGACGAGCGTTGACTTGATCTTTGATGTCGTACAGCAGATTAATGGCCGGCCTATTCTGGTAGGCGCTGCCCACCGGTAGATCGACCCAAATGGGATTGATTTTCATTTCGGTCAAATGATCGCGCGGTCCGATACCCGACAACATTAATAACTGTGACGAACCGTAACCTCCTTTTATATATAAGTTGTAAAATGTTTACATAATTATTACTACTCTGTGAGTGTGTGTGTGTATGAGAGAGAAAGAGAGAGAGAGAGAGAGAGAGAGAGAGAGAGAGRGAGGGGGAGAGAAAGAAAGAGAGAGAGAGAGTATTTGAAACAACAATTACCCGACGATACGATAATCTCTTTGGTGGCACTAACTGTATGTTTGGTACCATTTTTGACAAACTCTACTCCATGTGCTTGAATAGTCGACCCTTCCTTATCTATAATCAATTTGGACGCGTGTGCGTTGGCCTGGATACTAAGTTCGGGACACAGTCCGCCAAACTCGATATAACCGTTAGAACTGGACGATCGTAGACCATCGGCAAACAATCCTGATCCTATATTGGCTACTGGACCCGGTGCTGGTATATGATCAACGTTTGGCACACCAATTGATTTAAGTGCATCGACATACTTGTTCAGTATTGGCGCTACAGATTTCGGCACTGCCAATCGTATTGGTCCCGTACGGCCGTGATCTTTGCTACTAACACTGGGATCGGTATTGTTTTCCCATTTCAAAAAATACGGCAACAGTTCTTTGAAACTCCAGCCCCGGGCACCGGTAAGCTTTTCAATGGCGTCATAATAGTTGGGTGCACCCCTACCGGAAACCATAGCGTTGACCGTTGAATCGCCGCCGATTACTTTGCCATGATTTTCGTCCAGCACTCGGTTGCCCATTTCGGCTACCGGTTCGGTTTTATATAGCCACAGCTGATCCTTGTTTTGTTGCAAATTGTATGAGTAAGCACCGGGTAGATCGTGATAGAGTGCACTCTGGGCACCGCCGGCCTCTATCAACAGTACTTGATTGCCGTTTTGCGACAGACGACAGGCCACAGCACAACCAGTAGTACCGGCGCCGACCACTATATAGTCGAACGTAGTTTTCTTTAGCGGCTGATTAGCCCATCGGTCGTGAATGGCCTGTCGTTCCTTTAGTTTTGGCTGATTTGTATTGACGGCATTGACAACTGTCCACAACTGTAGCCAACAAACTACTACTACTACTGTTGCTAAACTTAGACAAAGTTTAGGCATATTTTTTTGGTGTATTAATATTAGACTATAATATATTAATACAGTAATAATTATCTTCAATAACTTTCAATACAAATATTTTTCATTTATTATTTAAATCAATTTTAACGGCAATTGACTGAATTTATTGAATATACACTTTATGTATACCAGTATATATAGTTTCTGATAAAAAAAAATTCAATAGACTTTATATGCAATTTATTTTATGATATATATTTAGATTTCTAACACATTTTTAAATAAAGATTGTCAAAATTTTTGTCACATTTATTTTTTAATACAATAATTATCCGGTAATAATGAGTTGATTTTTAGCTTGTTTTTAGCAAAAAACTTGCGATTTTTTTTAGACAATACATTACCTGATTATTAGATTAATCTAAAAGTAAATACAATATAATGATGATATCTGATGATAGTATATGTGGTGATTTAAATAGTTTAAAATAATTAATAAATAACTAAATAAAACATATGTATTCAATTGTATTAATAATTTATAAAAATAAATATTAAACATTTACTTTTGATTTTAAAAAATTAATTTATTTGTACAGTTACATATTATATATGAAAAATCTTATTTACCTATTATTTATATTTATATTGGATATTACTGTCTATTAATAATATACATTGTATTATATTTTAACTTATTATTTAGTATATTTAATAAATTATATTATATTACTTTATAATAATAATATTAAATATTTTTTTTTTAGTATTTTAAACAAATTTATTAAATTTATAAATTCAACAAAATTATATGCTATAAATATAGCAAAAAAAATTTATTGTTTATATTATAAACTTTATAATCATTAGTATCTATGAGTATTATTATTATTATATCTAAAAAAAATTATTTACCAATAAAGCTAGATTTTTATGAGTTATGCTATTAGTTATCAAACTTATACTTTACATAATTATGTAATTTTATTAATTTCAAAATTTTAAAAATTAACTTTATCGGTAATTTATTAAACTGTTAGTGAATTTATTTTAAAATTATTAATTATTATTATTGTATATATATATATATATATATATATATATATATATATATACTATTCAGTGATGTTAATTAAAGTTTATAAAATAAGATTATAAAAATAAACTAGTACATATTAAATGATTCAGTGTAAATTTATTATACTTATTGTTTAAAAAAAATTTTTATTATTAAATATCTTGTAAGTTAATTATGTTATACTGTATATGTATCATAAAGTTATAGTTATAAGATTTCTAATTTTCATAGTGTAATACACTGTACTATGATTTTTCAAATAAAGTATAGATAATTGTAAAAACAATTAATTGGATAAATATATTGGAAAATATAGTAGTAATTAGTGTTTGTTATCCTCAGTGATCATATCGGCAACTTTCTCGGCGACCATCATAACCACATAAGCGGGACCAGTATTCGGTGTAAAGGTATAGCCAACTGGCAATATTGACGCGTCGGCTACACGTAATCCGCGGACACCTTTGACCCGTAGACGTTCGTCGAGTACCGCTTCTATACGATTGGGTCCACCAAACGGTATTACACCCAATGGATGAAATTCGGTTATACCCAGAGTCCGGAACAGACATTCGTGCAGTTCATGACACTTCCATTGGGGACCTGACTTACAGTACTCACACTCTGAACTTTGAGGTTTTTCCGGTATTGCGGCATATTTTTTGAAAGATGTTTCCTCGATATGATAGAAAAACTTGGCGATAGCGTCCATCATACGGGTCTTGTCCTCCGGATGACCCAAAACATTGGGATCAATGTATGGCAAATCCCGATAATTGTTAGATCTCAGGCGTATAGTACCCATGGCTCTGGTTTTAGAAACAAAAGTAAACGCGTGGCCAACACTGACATTACTGCCAGCGACCGGCGGCGACAGTGTGACAAAGTTGATAATATCGACAAACTCTTTCGGATAATTTATTTTTGAATTATATAAAACCAATATACGGGGCGCGTCGCACATCGGACCCTTGCCGTTAACAACACAGTCCTCGATCTGGCTGTCAGTATTCATCGGTAATTCGCCGACAAGACTCTGGTCAGTAATGGCGTATTCCAAGTTAATGGCCGGTCTGTTCTGATATGAGGTACCAATTTGCAGATCGGCCCAAATCGGACTGACGTTGATATCGATTAAATGATCTCTTGGTCCGATACCCGACAACATTAACAAATGTGCGGACATGTAATTACCTGAATTGTATTTTCAAATACAGTTTATAATCAGATAATTAAACAGAATATAAAAATAAATATATAAAACATCTCTCTCTCTCTCTCTCTCTCTCTCTCTCTCTCTTTCTTTCTTTCTTTCTTTATATCTCTCTATATATAAATTATATGATTACCTGCCGAAACGATAACTTCTTTAGTTGCATTGACTTTAATAGTTTTATTATTTTTCTCAAACTGGACGCCACTGACCCTGGGCTCACCATTAGTGTCATTATGGATAAGCAATTTGTAAACCCAGGCATTGGCCTGAACTTTCAGTTTTGGACAAAGTCCGCCAAACTCTATATAGCCGTTAGCTGTGGACGATCGGACACCATTATACCACATACCCTGGGGAAAGGCAGCGTCGTCGTTGTTATAGTTGTCCGGATCTTTGTTGGCTAAACCCATCTCTTCTAAAGTGTCCAAATATTTCTGTAATATCGGAGCCGTCGACTTTGGCGCCTGCACTTTTATCGGTCCCTGACGGCCATGAAATCTGCTGTCAGCAGTCGGATCGGTATTGTTTTCGATTTTCATAAAATAAGGTAACACATCCTTGAAGCTCCAGCCACGGGCACCGGTATTCTTTTCGATGCTATCGTAATATACGGACGATCCCCGACCGAAAACCATTGCATTGACCGACGAGTCGCCGCCTAATACTTTGCCGTGAATCTCATTGTACGTCCGACCACCCCATGCAGCCTGCGGTGTAGTATAGTATTGCCAAAATTGATCTTTACCAACTTTTAACTGCTTATCATAGGCACCGGGCATATCGTTCAATACTGCATGTTGAGCGCCGCCGGCCTCTATCATCAATACATTGTTTCCCCGTTGCGATAGACGACAGGCCACTACACAGCCGCCTGTGCCGCCACCGACAACAATATAGTCATATGTTGTATCCGTAAGCGGTTGACTGGCCCATTGGTTGTGTATAGCTTGTCGATCGTTTAACTGTTTTAGTTTGAACTGTTGTCCAATGACCATAACAACTGTACAACAAAACAGTTGTATGAATAACATTGAACCGATGCTTACTTTAAATGTATTAAACATTTTGAATTGTTTTTTTTAATTTTCGACGTATTCGACAATTCGTATTTAAAATCTATATAAAAAATATTCAATAAATTAAAATATTGATTATATTATAACAAATTATAATAAATAGTTTTAACTGATAGTAAACTCTAAAATAGTATATCTAACTATAAATACTACTAATATTATATAATATTAATAATCTATAATATTATAAAACTTAGATAAAGTTTAGGGATACTTATTATATATAAATATTATACTATAATATATATTATTTAATAATAATTATATTCAATACTTTCAATACCAAATATTATAATAATTATTAAAATCAATTTTAGCGTCAATCGACTTAATTTTTATTGAATATACTGTATATATTTTCTGAGTATTCAATTGAGTTTATATACAGTTTATTTTATGAAATATTTTTAGATTTCTAACACATTTTTATAATCAAGATTGCATTGTGTCAACAACAACAACAAAATTGTTTTTTTTTCACATTTGTTTAAAGTTAATACAGTAATTATCTGTAATAATGTGTTGATTTTTATTTTGTTTTTAGCTAAAACTTGCTGTACATTAGGCAATAGTTTTTTAGGCAATACATTACCTGATTATTAACTTAATATAAAAAAGTAAAGACAATTTATAATGTATATTTGATGTGATAGTAAAGTTTTTTTTTGAATGTACAGTATATGAGGTGATTTTGTTACTTATAATTTTTTTTTTAAAAAATAACTAATTCAAGCATATGTATTATATTTAATTGTATTAATAATTTATAAAAATATAAAACATTTACAATTGATTTTTAAAAATTATTTGTACAGTTACTTAAATAAAAATGAAAACTTAGATTATTTATATTTATTTTAGAGATTACTATCTATCAATAATATACATTATATTTTAATTTATCAATTATTATAAAAACTATATAAAACCTAAAGAATATTTGTTTTTTTTTGTATTTTATTTATATTTTATTACTTTATTATTATTTTATTTTATAAACAAATTTATTTTCTATATACTGTATTATAATGTATAGTACTTTATTTTTTTTAGTAATTTATGCAATTTTTTAAAATTTATAAATTATGTAAAAATATATATGTAATATAATATAAAAAAATTTACAAAATTTTTTTGTTTATTTAATAAAACAAATAATATTTAAAAATATAATTAAAAAAAATAAAATTAATTACATTATAAATTTATATTATTTTATTTCAATAACTAATAATATAAGTTATAATAATACTGTATCAGTCATATTATAATTAAATTTTGAAATTTTATTTTACAAAAAAAAACAAGTGATGAACAAACACTTTACACAAGTCCGGCATCTTTGGCCAGGGAATAGAAAATCGATTGACTATCAGTAAGTAAATTATTAGGTGTGTCTAATTCAGCTACCCTTCCCTCGTGAAGTACTATCACACGATCTGAATCCATAATTGTGTTCAATCTGTGAGCTATGGTTAGGACTGTACACGACTTGAATTGTTGTTTAATAGTTTGCTGTATAAGTGTATCGGTTTCGACGTCAACGGCAGCCGTGGCCTCGTCCAGAATAAGGACAGCCGTATGTCGAAGCAGAGCCCGGGCCAGACATATGAGCTGTCGCTGACCGACACTCAGATTGTCTCCTCCCTCAGCCACACAACAGTCGAGTCCCGCTTCCAGTGATCTGACAAACAACTTGAGATGTGACTGCTCTAAGACTGTCCACAACTGATCATCAGAACAGTTGCCAAACGGATCCAAATTTGAGCGAATTGTTCCCGAAAATAGTACCGGATCTTGAGGTATGATTGTTAATCGTGATCTCAACTCTTGTAGACCCAACTGACTGATGTCTATACCGTCGATGACTATCCTACCAGAGACTGACTCAATAAGTCTGAACAGAGCCAAAGTTAGCGATGACTTTCCCGCACCGGTTCGGCCAACGATTCCTATCTTTTTTTTAATCATATGTTTTTTTAAAATAAAATATGGATAAAAATATATATATAATTATAGATACCTTTTCTCCCGATTTAATACTTAAATCAATTGAATTTAACACCAAATCCAAGCTCTCTCTATACTGTGTACTGTACTCTACAAAGTCAATCTCTCCTCTGTTTGGCCAGTTATCTGCTAACTGTTGTTTTTTGTTGTTGGCTGACCTCCAGCGAGCTTCGGGTGCCAATCGACAGTATTCATCAATTCGTTCAAACGAAACCATACTGTTCTCAAATTGGACAAACATTCGGACAACGGCTCCCAATGTATAGGTCAATGTCATCACATTCGATAGGGACATACCGGTATCGCCGGCTTTCAGTGACTGTCTATCCAATATAATGAACAGTGCGGCAAAAAATACTACCAAATTTGATAGCAAATCCAACCGTATCTGAAGCCAACTGTTGGCCGCAACAAACGGAAACAGACAGCGCATGTTTGTGTCAACTTTGCGATCCAATTGTCTTATAAATCTATCTTCACATCCATACGCCCTAATACTGGACAAACCGGCTATTGATTCACTAAAACAGGCATAAATTGGTGATCTAGTGATAGACTCTAATCTAAAATAACATTACAGATGAGAAATGTATAATTATTATATTATAAATACAAAACAATATTAATAACTATTGTATTACTGTATAATAATATAGATTTTAATATTATATAAAATATATAAATATATATAATTTTTATATTAAAATAAATATGATTGTCTAACTAATTATATTTTTATTAATAATTGGTATAAAGTATTTGATAATTATAAATACCTTTTAAGTTGACATGATAATTTTGTGTAATAATGCTAAATTTATATAATTTAAAAAAACATTTAGTTGTTTTTTATTATTATTTATACAATTATAATTTAATGTAAGAAAATGATTATTATATATAGCAAACCTGAAACATGTAATATAATAGACATAATATGATTAACGGTATAATAAATAGTGGCGTTACTATTGATATGATAATAACCGATGAAATGCAAGTTAATGTCAAAAATAGACAATATCTGAGCAAAAAAAATTGTTAATTTTACTATAATTACTACTAGTTTTTTTTATTGATATGTAATTAGGTATATACTATATATATATAAAACAAACCCCAAAAATAAATGAGTGGTCGTATCGATGATATCAATGTCTTTACTAAACCGGTTGACAATCCGACCCAATGGTGTGGTGTCGAAGAACTGCATCGACGACCTCATCACTGACCACAACATCCTATTGTGCATTCGTATGGATGCACGCAATGAACCGATTATTAGTGTATATCGGCTGATAAATAAGGTTATCATCTGACAGACTGTCAAAACTGTCAACACTTTCAGTTCATAGTAGTTGTTGTTGTCTGGTTGTTGGGCACCGGTATGTTGTTGTTGGCTCCAGTGTTTAAGCCAAAAGTTTATACTAATTATAAAGACATTTGATGCCAAAACAAATGCAAACATAACCGTTGACAATAAAATTGACATTTGTTTGGCATATTTTATATAAACCTGTTAATAAAATTTTTTTTTTTTTAAATTTATTGTTGAATAATAATTATGTTTTTTTAAATAAACAATTTTTAATTACAATTCGAAACACTTGTATTTAGTTTTTTATTTATTTATTATTATTATTTTGTTATAACTGTCTATCATTATTATTTTTAACACTAAATAATAACAATAATAAAAATCTAAATAAAATAATACTTACTTTATAACTGACATTTCCGTTTTCAAAGTATTCCTCATCTATTAGTTGTTTATTATTATTGTTTGAATAAAATTTATTCAAACTATTGATTTCATGTTTAGTTTCATTGACTTTATTAGTATCGGTATTATTATTATTATTATTATTTTCAATAATATTATTATCATTAATTGAATTAACAGAATATTCTTTTATTAATTCATAAAATTCTTGATTTTCTTTGATTAGATAATCATAGGAACCGATTGCTTGGATTTTACCATTTTTTAGTACAACAATCTGATCGACATTTGGCAAAACAAACAATTGATTTGTAACCAGAATTCGGGTTTTATTTCGCAATAAACCGGTTTTCGAGTCTAATATCTCTTTCATTAGATGTTTGCCCACATGTGCGTCAACTATATATATATATACAGTATAAATGATAAAATTATCAATAAAATTATGAAAAAATATTATTTTAATTATAAACAAAAAAAAACTACCGGCGCTGAGTGGATCGTCCATTAGGTATAGATCGGCATCTGAATAGACAGCTCTGGCTAAACTGACTCTCTGTTTCTGACCTCCGCTCAAATTGATACCTTTTTCGCCAATCTCTGTCTCATCGCCGGCAGTCAGTTGACTCAGATCCTGTTCCAGTGAACAACTATACAGCACTTGTCTGTATAGACTATCCGAATAGGGCTTTCCAAACAATATATTCTGTTTCAACGATGCATTCTGTATCCATGCCTGTTGGGGAACGTAAGCTAGTTTGTTGCCCAACCGTATGTCAACATTGCCCGACTGTTTGTCCATTTCACCAAACAGTGCCTCCAATAGTGAACTTTTGCCCGAACCTACGCCACCGACAATTGCCACAAACGATTGATCCGTTATTTTCAAATTTATATCATTTAAATGAAACTTATTTGTCGACATATTATTTGATTGATTGCTACTCTTATCTTTGTTGTTAACCGCACTCCATGTGAACGACCCGTTTTCAATACTAACAACACAGTTATCATTACCGCCGGCATTGTGTGTCACGTAATCACATTTGTCACGCAAATTCAGGAACTTGTTTAAGCGTCTAATTGTTATATTAATCTAATATAACATAAATAATATTTTTATTAACTCATATAATAATTGAAAAAAAAGGTAATTATAATTACTGATAAAACTGCATCAATCCCTGTCGGTAGATAAAATAGGACGTTACGCAAAAATAGACACAATGCCATTGAAACAAACAATTTCTGGGCATCCAATTGTCCACCGGAGCCGTCATCGATAAAGATATAGGCAATAAACGCTACCGAAAACACTATATATGGTGAACAGGTGGCCATAAAAACATAGATAACTCCTAACATACTGGACCAACGTATATGTCTGATCTCATTGGCCCTCAGTTTGACTATCATTTTGTAAAATGCTGTCTCCCACGCATATAACTATGCAATTATATTGATAGAGATAGATAGATATATAGATATATATATATATATATATATATATATATAGAGAGAGAGAGATAATTAATTAACTGTCAAATACTGTATTTACTATACAATCAAAAAGTTTAGCAAAAGTTTAAAAATTATTTTTTTAAAAAATAGTTTAGTTTTTTTTAGTTTTTGGATATTATTACTTTTGTTACTTTAATGCCATTTAGTAGATCATTGGTTAGTTGAATGCGTTGATCCTTGTATTTAATTTGTTTAGTAATATAATGTTTGACCGATTTTGATGTCGATAAACAGATGGCCAACATTAGGCAAATTATGGCGGCACTGGCCAGTGTAGGGGACGCACCTAATTCACTGTAGAGTAAACCGAGTATAACCAGTATCTGTGCCGGCGATGATATGGCAAATGCAATGTTTAGCATACCGTCTGAAAATAAAAATTGTATTTAAAAAAAAAAATAAATATACAAATAATTTATTATTCAATTGTTAGATCACAGTTATAATAAGGGTTAGTTGTAAAATAAGTTATTTTTTATAGTATATATATATACTGTACCCGTAAATCGTGTACAATCGATAGACATTAAGCTAATAATCTGGCCACTGGTTACATGATTTTTGCGGTCATTATAGTCCAGTACTAGTGATTTACGATATACGGCTGATATCAGGCATGCAGTCATACGTTGTCCTTATTTTTTGTTTGTTTTAAAAAAATATAGGAAATATATATAGAATTTAATGTATTTAATTTGTGTTTTTTCACTTACCTAATACCGAAATATTTGCACTGTAAAGTGCATAGACTATTGAATAAAACATGTTTATAGCAATTAATACCAGTGTATAAACATAACCGTGCCATTGAGGTTCGTTGAGATTTTCGGTAAAACTTATCAATAATCTAATAATATTTTCGTTTAGTTGAAAAAAATTAATATATAATTAATATTATAACATATACTGTATATGAATGCAAGTAAACTACTACTACTACTACTACTACTACTACTACTTGAGTATACCTGATTACTATAGGTTGGGACACACGAAAACAAGCAGCTATTATATAGAATAGACAGTTAATTATAAAATTGAAACCAAAAGTTTTGAATAGTATCCAGTACAAATTTGTTGGTAATAATAATAAATTTTTTGATTTGCCCCCAAAATTGACTGTATTTTTGTTTAGTTTAGTTTTTGTTGAATACTGCAATAAAAACGATTTGATTGTATGAAAAAAATTTGTTTTATAATCTATTGATGTTTGTTGTCTATCTATAGTTGTTTTCCAATGTTTTTGAAAACAATTATAATTATATAAAGTACTGTTTTGTTCACGTATTGCCCACAAGTCGCCAATTGTCAGTGAATTTTGTTGCCAATACTTGATAATCAGGCTATTCATCCAATTGAATGTTAGTATTGATGGCCAGGTAGCCATATCCTGGGGACATTTGGTATCATTAACTAGTGAACCGTAACTATTTTCTGGTAAACGGTCGTCAATTGATGAAAATATTAGCAATGCTAGTGTCAAATAAAATTGTAAACAATAAATGATAAATTCATAGTTTTCAATCATTGCTTGTTGTGTAGTATAGGTAACAATAGATAGGGCACCGAAAATAGTGGTCAACAATAGGTATGTCTTGATATGCCAGCCGCAGCTATTAAGACCATATTTTCGGTGACAGCTGAATATTATACAAACAGCTAATCGGGTGACACATTGAATAACTGTTGATATTATGTGAGCCGTGTTTATGTTGGTGTCGGTGGTGTTGTCGTGCCATTGAAATCTCCGTAACAAACATAGTATACAATCGACTAAAGCGAGGACTGCGCTCAAACTGGCTATCAATAAGCGGCTAATATTATAGTAATTCCATTGAATTGATTGCTTATCCGATTTACGACATTCCCATATAATGTATGGTATACACAGCCAAATGAATTTGACCGGAAGCCATGTGAATACCGTATCGATCATACATGAGCTCAGATGAGGAGTTGGAGTATTCCAGGTTTGGTTGGAAATCTATTGTTTAAAAATTAGATATATCTTTGAATTTTTTTGTTATTATTTTGTTATTATTATTATTAACAAACTTATATTATTTATAAGTAATTTATTATTAATTTTTTTTTGAAAATATAACTACATATATAATATAATGTAAATAAATAATAGTATATCATATTTAATATATATATTCTTACCCAAAGTGGAGTATCGCATATTTGTTCAAACATTTTATGTTCAAAGAGTAGTTTTTAATTATTATTATTTATTAACAATATGTAATTAGTAGTAATATTAATACAATAGTATACATTTATAAAATATACTGTTAGTTTGTTTTTGTTGAAAATATACAATATCACAGGGTTGCTAAAGTTTTTTGTTTTCAATGGGGTATAGGGAGGGGTAAAATGGCAAAAATCTGAGTGCTGGGGTTAACAACTTTTATTGCATCTATTAAACAACAATTTTTTGTCTAATTAAAGTAAATTTCCAATAAATTCCCTTAAAAATTATATATCTAAATTCCCCCGAATAATAGATAATATTCCCAACTTAATTCCTTAATGTTCTCAAAAAATATTTTATTCAACAAATAATACTTATTTTTACAACAATTTAGAAATTAATTAATATTGTAGTTTAGTATTATAAATATATCGGTATATATGACTAAAAACTATAATAATTACTTGTTTTTTGACTGTTTAATTATAATAATTAATAAAAAAATATAATTATTATTTAGTATATATTGTGAGATCGCTTACTCCCTCCCCCTTTAACAACCCTGATTATATATATACTGCAATAATAATTATTATATGGAAATATTTTTTTATACGTATATATTTATATTTAGGATGAGTTTAGCATTTTTATCATATTATTGTTGGTTTGATATTTGCTTATTTATATATTTTTTAAATACATACAATTGACTATAGTTTAGTTCATTATAATTTTTAAATTACTGTATAATAAATACTAATAATATTATTATTTGTTGTTTTTTGTATTTATATATTATAATTTTAAAAAATTAAACCTAAATGTATTTGTAAATATTTTAATTTAGTTTATTGTATATTTAAAACAATAATTTAGTTTAAATTGACTAAATTAGTTAAATTTATTTAAAATAATTTTTTGTATAGTTAAAAATATATATATATATATATTTTTTCATTATTATTTTAATATTCAATTTTTTAAATTGTACTGTCAATTAATAAACAATTTTATTTTTCAAAAGTATTTTTACTTAAATATATAATTTTTTAAAAAAATATTTAAATACATATAAATAAAAATATTATTTGAAAATTTTGCTAAATCAAATAATAATAAATATGTATAGTTTAAAATTTTTTTTATTATAAATTTTTAATATTGTGACTAGACAATTTTAAACACATTGAACACATGACCCAGTTAAATATTTCATTCAATAAAATATCAATAAATTTTGCATTTTTAAAAGTCAATGCAATATAAAAAAAACTAGTAATAGAAATATTTAGTGATTTACTTATATTTTTTTCTAATATTAAAGTAATGGTTAGTAACAACTGAATATAACTTAAACTTTAATCTAATATATATTTATATATTGTATACTTATATATGTTTAAAAACTTTTATTAAAATTTAAATAAAATAACTATTTTTTTTAAAAATTTATAACGTAGTTTTTAGATTCAAACATAAGATAACTAAAAATAATAATTATTATTACATTAACCATGGACAAAATATTAAGGTGCAAACAGCAACCAATTAACAGTGACATCAATATTGCCGGTGCCTATGTATGGGACAAATTAAATCAACTTGGTGATGATTTTGTTTGCTTGGTTAGTTAGTTTTTTTTACAATAAAGTTTTATATAATATAATGAGATAGTAATGTTGATGTATAGTATAATTTAAAAATTTTTTAATAGTAATATTAAAAATAACATTATTATTTTTAGTAGTAGTAGTAGTATTATTATCATAAAACATATTTAAATTATTATTTATTTATTATAAGATTGATGCGGCCACCGATCAACGTTTAACCGTCGGTGAGCTCAAAATACTAGCCAACAGTATAGCCTGGTCACTGGTCAACATCAGGGGTGTCACCAAAGCGGATAGGATTGCTTTCTGCGGTCCCAATACTATGGCAAACGCCGTACTCCGGTTTGTCGTCCAATTTATTGGCGTAACATTTGTCCCATTAGTTCACGTACTGGAAACCTACGAAATTACCGAACAGTCCCTGGAGGCCGGTATTACTGTCATTATGACTACCAGTGATCATCTGTACAAATTTGACAACATTATCAATAGTGATAGTAATAATCGGATAAAACTGGTTGTACTGTTTGATAATCATCAGTATAGTGGTAGTAGTAGTAGTGGTAGTGGTGGTAGTAGTAATATTAGTAGTAGTGGTAGTAGTAGCAGCAGTAGTAGTAGCGACAGCAACAACTATGTCACATACGACCAACTGCTAGATGAGGGACGTGGCCAGCAATTGGCACGTATTCCCCACTACGACGTCGATCCCGACACCGATCGACTGCTGTACATCTATACGTCCGGCAGTACTGGTCGTCCAAAGTGTGCGCTAATACCGCACAGTATGTTTGTACGGACTGCACAAGAGCCGGGCCGATACCCGACGTTTGCCGATACTGTTACCGTAATGGCCTTTCCGTTTCCGTTGGGCCATATGGCCGGCAGTATGTTTTTGCTCATTCAGATTACAAAAGGCTTCCGATTGATATTGTTTGACAAATTGGATGAAAAAATGCTGTTCGCCGCCACCGAAAAATACCAGATCAACGTTTGGCCAGTGTTGGGCAGTTTCGGCCATCGACTGGTCAACAGCGATGCTGTTGGCAACTATGATCTGTCGAGCATACGGTGGGCCTGTGTTGGCGGCGCTCCACTGGCCAGTCATATTGGCCATCAACTGATCAGAATATTTGGTCTCAAAATTAAGGAAAGTTAGAAATATTTTTGTTGTCATAAAAAAAATTATTAATTTTAAAAAGTTAATAAAATGTTTATTTTTTTTATATGTCTTATAAATTATATTACTAGTATTGGTATTAATTTATAAGTAACTTATTATTAGTAACACTACAGTATTGATTAGTATTATAAATATTATAATTACTTTAATAATTAATTAAGTAATATTAATAATTTTTGTATATATTTTTTATTATTATAAGTTATTTAGTAACAAAATAAGTAATTAATATTATATATAAATTTATATTTCATAGGCTATGCATCGACAGAGCAATCGTATATAACTCAAGGCTGTAATGATGACGACGACTATGAACCGGGCAATTTGGGAACAGTAGTCCCCGGGTGTGAGCTCAAGGTTGTCGATATGGAAACGGGTGAACTGTTAGGCGCCAACTGTAACGGCGAAATATTTGTTAAATCAATCAAACTGTTTGCCGGTTTTCTTAACAATTACCAACAGTACAGACAATCGTTTGACGCGGACGGTTGGTATACTACTGGCGATATGGGTTACTATGACGACCGGGAACGGGTGTTCCTCACCGGACGGGTCAAGTTTGTTATTAAAGTTGGTGTCAATCGGGATTTTCTTAAAATTGATCCCATAATTGTCGAAGAGTTTCTACTGTCTCATCCATCTATTGCCGAAGTGGCTGTTGTCGGTGTCGGCGTCAAAGATACGGCCGGTTTTCACTATCTGCGAGCTTATGTAGTTCGCAAACCTGGCCAGAAAAATATTACCGCCGATGATATTCAACAATTTGTTTCGAGTATTATAAATAAATTCAGTTAATTATTATAAATTTTATTATTAATTACTGTATTTTTCTAATGATTTTCAGACACAATGGCCTCGAGTAAGCATTTAAGAGCCGGTGTTGTGTTTGTCGATGAAATTCATCGGACAGTTGTCGGTAAAGTCGACCGACAATACTATAGAAAACTTGTCAGCCATGAGATTGTCGAATGATTTTTGTTTTCAAATATTTTATTTTAGATATTTTTTAGATATTTTTTAGATATTTTTTAGATATTTTTTTAAATTTATAAAAAATTCAATAATTATTATACAAAACTGATATTTATAAAGACAAAAATTTGAAACTTATATTTAAGTGCATAATTTGATTTTCAAATATTATAAATATATATTAATAAAAAAAAAATAAATAAATTTATTAATAGATTTTATTTTACAAAAAATAGTACAAATAAAAAAATGAAGCTAAATATATTGATAACAATAAAAAAACAATTAATGAAATATTAAAATAAAATAATAAATATTAATTATTAACTTGAATTGAATAATTGAATACAATTTGTTTAAATAATTTTTAAAAATATTTTATCTAAATTTTTTAGGTGCACTTAATTTTGACATTATTTCATATTATTAAATCTCATAAAATTATTAATTATTATATATACTGTTTAATGTTATTTTAAAGTTATTATCAGTTGTCAACTATTTGAAAATACAGTAGTAATTAGTTTTTGTTGTCCTCAGTGATCATATCGGCAGCTTTCTCGGCGACCATCATAACCACATAAGCGGGACCAGTATTCGGTGTAAAGGTATAGCCAACTGGCAGTACGGAAGCGTCGGCCACACGCAATCCACCGACACCTCTGACTCGTAGACGTTCGTCGAGTACCGCTTCTATACGGTTGGGTCCACCAAACGGTAAGACACCCAATGGATGAAACTCTGTTATACCCAGAGTCCGGAACAGACATTCGTGCAGTTCAGGACACTTCCATTGGGGACCTGACTTACAGTACTCACACTCAGAACTATGTGGTTTTTCCGGTATTGAGGCATACTTTTTGAAAGATGTCTCTTCCAGATGATAGAAAAACTTGGCGATAGCGTCCATCATACGGGTCCTGTCCTCCGGATGACCCAAAACATTGGGATCAACGTATGGCAAATCCCGATAGTTGTTAGACCTCAGTCGTATAGTGCCCATCGCTCTAGTTTTGGCAATAAACGTAAAGGCGTGACCAACACTCACGTTACTGCCAGCGACCGGCGGCGACAGTGTTATAAAGTTTATAATATCTACAAACTCTTTCGGATAATTTATTTTTGAATTATATAAAACCAGAATACGGTCGCACATCGGGCCGTTGCCGTTAACAACACAGTCCTCGATCTGGTTGTCAGTATTCATCGGTAATTTGCCGACAAGACTCTGGTCAGTAATAGCGTATTGCAAGTTAATGGCCGGTCTGTTCTGATATGAGGTACCGACTTGCAAATCGACCCAAACGGGACTGATTTCTAAATCGGTTAAATGATCTTTTGGTCCGATACCCGACAACATTAACAAATGTGCGGACATATAATTACCTGAATTGTATTTTCAAATGCAATTTACAATCAGATTATTTAATCATAAGTTTAAAATTAAATTTATAATACATTTATTATATAATTTATATCTATATATGTTTCTTATTTAAATTATATGATTACCTGCCGTAATGATGACTTCTTTAGTTGCATTGACTTCAATAGTTTTATTATGTTTATTAAACTGGACGCCACTGACCCTGGCAATTTACAACTAAAACTTGATTAATCATGTTATTTATTTTTTATTTAAGTAATAAGAAATTAGGAAAACTTAATTGTAATGATTAATTTTAATTTTTTAAATATCGTAATTGATTTTTAGTAGATTTTAAAGTTTTTTTTTTGTTATAACATTACTAAATAATTTACTACATTAATTATATTGTAATTTTGGCTAAAATTGATACACTGAAAATTTCCTAATTTAAAAAAAATAAATAATTAAAATTTGTAGTAAATTATATTAACTCTTTTAAATCGATTCTGATCCGATTGTTGTTATTTATATCTAGTTTTATTTTTGTCTTAATTATTACTGATCATGGATAATTATGAAATTGTTGTAAAACAACAATAATTTTTATAAAGTAATTACGTAGCTAAAAATTACTAGAAAATAAAATAATTAATTGACTTATTTAGACAGCTATAGTATGAATATATTTAAATAAAATTAATTTTTTTAAATCTAATAAATCAAATAAACATTTACATGATTTTATTAACTCTATAAATCTATCCCGATCCAATTATTTTTTTTTATATTTAGTTTTACTTTTGCCTCAATTATTACTGATCATTGATAATTATGATATTATTATTAAAAACATCAATCATTTTCTAAAATGATCTTTCTAAATTATTTACTTTATTTAAAATAATTATTTATTACAATTATTAACGTTAGAGTTAGTAATTTAGTTATTTAGGTTTTATTGTGTAATTATTATTATTATTATTACTCAAAAAAAATGTAATAAATATTAGCTCATTTTTTAATTAAATACTAAAAATGCATATAAAGTTTATTAGTAAATAAATATTATATTATAATAAATCAACTATATCCAGTATTTTGTTAAAATCTACTAATTTTAACAGTAATTAACAAAAAAATACAATTTAAATTATTTATAAAAATAAAAATTCTACTAATAATTAGATTTAAATAAAAAAATTAATATTTTTATAGATAATTTCTCTAAAAAAATAGTACAATAGATGCCGTTTGTTGTTTCAATCATTACAGTTCATATACATTATTATTAGTCTAATATATTTATAACAATATTAGTAATATTATTATAATTTAGTATAACTAAAATTTATTATAATATTTTTTATGGTAACTGGTAAAATATTAGTTTTGAGATTAAATGATACAAGATTAATATTTAATTTTATCATTTAGTCATATTTAATAAATTTAAATAATGATAAATTGTATTATTTAATTCCAGTACTTTATATATTACATATATATCATAATATTTATAATTTATTCAATCAAACATAATTTTATTGCTAAAAGTTTTAAAAAAATGTTTTTTACATATATCGAAAATAATAATTAATAAAAATTTACTTTAAATAAAAATTAATTAATTCCATATATATAAAAAATGTATTATCTATTAAGTAAAATAAATTAAATTGTATTTTTCAAAAAAAAATAAATAAAAATTAAACAAAAAATTAAATGTTTATTTTAATTATATTTAATTTAATTGAATTATTTTTTTCTAAAACAAATTTGATATTTTCTAATATATAAAGTATTAAATAACTATAAGTTACATAATTTTGTATATAATGTACACTAAATAGTTATTTTATACTCAATTTTCAAATTAAATAATAAAATATAATAAATTAAATTGTATTTTTTCAACAAAAAAAAATAAATAAAAATTAAACAAAAAATTAAATTTTTACTTTAATTATATATATATATATATATATATATATATATATATACAGTATGTTTTAATTTGTATATATAATATCTTATATATAATTTACTTTTAATTATAATATGGATTAATATCTTGTTGATGAACTAAATTAACAAATTCATTATAATTATTATTAACTTGGTCATCTAAGTGTTCTTGATAATTTTCAGCACTAACAATAGGTACACCTAGACTTTTGAACGTATTTTCCATTTGTTGCATATTGTTTGCATCATTATCCTTATCAGCCACTATCAGATGATGATGATGATGATGATGACCATGGTCAATTAGTGTCAACAATAGCCAACATTGAATGATAATATTAAAAGTGCCAAAAATTAGACCAAACAAAACATTGTTGTTGTTGTAAGTCATTGTTGTTATAGTTATTTGTATTATTATTAATATATATATATATATAATATATTTTATATATTTTATATATTTTATATATTATAGTAATTATAGTAAAACAGTTACATTAATATAATTATTATTATTTTTTTTAAATGAATTCTAATATTAATAAATATATTATGAGAGTCTTTAGAGTCTAAATAGTATAAATGATAATTTTTTTTTATTTTCTTAATTAAAATATATTAAATTAAATTATTTATTTTTTTCTAAAACAAATTTGATATTTTCTAATATATAAAGTATTAAATAACTAGAATTTTGTATATACTGTACACTAAATAGTTATTTTATACTTAATTTTCAAATTAAATAATAAAATATAATCAATTTTTATTTTGAAAAAAATATAAATAAATATTAGTTGTAATATACAGTATATTGTATTTATATATAGTATTGTATTTTACTGAATATAACTGTCCACTAAATAACAATAATAATTATTATTATTATGACGACAACCTTTATATCGTAACTATTTTTTTTTTAATTATTTTACAGAATAGTTATGTCTAACACCAGAGCACAGGACACCTCCATCGACGGGCACTGTTTGGCCAGTTATCAGTGTCTTAGTCAAACTGTTCGTCGATACCAAATAGGCAACTGCTTCGGCCACATCTATGGGTTCACCAATACGGCCCAATGGACAGGTATACTTCATGGTTGCTGCCATAGAGTCTACCAATTGATCGGTACCGTAAACTGTCTTCCATAAAGGTGTACGTGTTGTGGTGGGACTGTTAGGTAAAAAAATTTTAAAAAATAAATATTATAAACTAAAAATCATGGATATCTTACATAATTAAAAAAAACCCTAACCACCCCTCCTCTACCCACCCACTCATCAATATTTACCTTACAATGTTTACCCGCACACCTAACGGTGCCAATTGTTTGGCCAGTGCCAGTGTAAAGGCATCGATAGCTGCCTTAGACATACTGTAGGCAAAGTTTTTCGGTGCCGCCAATCGGCTCCGTATACTCGATATGTTAACTATTTGTCCACGAGTTTCAATTAAATAGGGAATCACTAGTCTAGTGATGCGCTGTACTGACCGTAGATTCATATCCATGAGCTGATCGTATTGACTAAAATACTCGTTGCCATCACTGAGAAATTGACTCCGAGAGCCAACACCGGCGTTGTTGACTAAAATGTCGATCCGATGAAACTTGTCGACCACCGAACCGATCAAACGGTCGACATCCTTGTCGTCGGTTAGGTCACAGCTCACACCGTACGCCACTACTTGAGATCGGTGTTCATCTGCTGTCTTTGATAACAATGTTTGACACTTATTTACCACTTCCTGAATACGGTCTGACTGTCGACCGGTGACCACAACTGTAGCGCCCATTGACGCCAATTTCACGGCTATCTCGGCTCCGATACCCGATGATGAGCCTAGTATTTAGGAATACAGTTATGAGGAATACGGGGTATAGTTATGATGAGGACAGTTATGTTGTTAATATTACAGTATATTTGTTTGTTTTACATACCTGTTATAATAGCAACTTTTGAATTTAGAGACATTTATTTTTTTCAAAATAGTTTTATTTGCAATTCAAAATCAAATAATTTATAACAATTTTTAAGATATGATAATAATAAAAATATTACTTATTTACTAATAATATATGCAAGTCATTGACTATTAGATTTATATTTAAATAAGTAATAATAAAAATAATAATATTAAAAAAAATATTATATTTGTTTATTGTATTTAAAATTAAGTATTATATTTATTAATTGAATAAACTATTAATATACAGTAATATTGCATATACAATACGTACAGTACAGTTATAAATATTTTAAATATTCAATGATATAAATATTTTCAATGATTAATTGTTACACATCAATATTTTATTTTATTTTTTAATTTTGTATTATCACATATACAGGTAAATATATATATATTTCATTGACTTTACTGAGTGATCATAAACTATAATAATGCTTGAAATTAATATTTTTTTAAAAATACAGTAATAATAATAATACTAAATATTAATGAAATACACATAAAAATTAATAAACAGTACAGATATAAATAAAATTTCATAATTAATAAATAAGTTAATAGTTTAAAATCATAATTATTAAATTATATTATCAATATTATAAGCACATTGAATATATTGTAGTAATAATATTAATTAAATATTAAAATGTTTATTATAAAAAAATATAGTTGTTAATTAATTATATGTTTTTTGACGTTATCATCAAAAATACCCAAATAATAAATATGATAATCTAGAAATAAATTAGAGAAATAAAAATTATGATTAAATAAAATAATAATTATTATTTTTGTTAAAAAAAATTAACACATACTTCATAACCTTTAAGTGAGTTTATAATAAATAATTTCCAACAATAAAATCCAACTCGTTTTAGAGCAATAAATTCAATCAAATTTAATAACTTAATTAAAAAATACAAAAAATTAAAATATTTTTATACATAAATAATAAATAAATTTTTATTTACTTTAAATTTTTGTCGCAATACCATTATATCATGTCTATAGACTATCAATGAATTGAGCATGATAAATATTTTAAACGCTTCGTTATGTAATCGGGTGGACACATAAATTGTTAATAGCATTGATAGAGCAAAAAATATAGTACCTACTAGCAATACAAAATTAACAATTACTAATTGACCATGATTAAATATTAATAAATATGATGAACACGATATAATTATAGCTAATAGTATCCACATTAACAGCAAAAATTTGGACCAATAAATATTATTATAATCACTAATCTCCTTATATATTATTTTGATATTTTTTAAAAATTTTGCTAGCTTAATTTTTCTACTAGTATGCATAGTTTTATTGTATTGATTACGATAATTACCAAGATATTTATTAACTTGGAAATTTAGCAATTTAATTTTGTTTGTCAAATAATTGACAATTATTAGAAAATAGGTAGTCTCATAGATAAGTATATGACCGCAATATATAGCCCATAGTGCATACAGTAGCAAATGTGGTACAATTATCATAATGTATTGATAAAAATTTTCATCTAATAGAAAACCTACCATGGCAAATATTGTAAAATTATGCGGGGCAATTTTAGTTAGTATGAATATTAGCCATAAAATTAATTTAATTTGTTTACTTAATGAGTAAATCAATTGTCTATTAGTTATGTCTAATTGTTTTGGTGTCAAAGCACCGGTAAGCATTTGAAATACTAGCATATCTACCGGTGCTAAGCCATGATAATAGTTATACCAGTGTATCGCCTGAAAGCTTAGACATAATACCGATAGAAGAAATATACCACCGTTCAATATGATACCGGTGCCCAATGAATGCTCAAAATTGCCCAATAGATAGTTAACTATAAGAGGAGAGTTGGTATAACGCACATGAATTATAATAGTTATGATATTTTTGATCATCTGCTGAATAATCACTAAAGATATAAGCCTTGGATCAAACAGTTTGCTTCGTCGACAGTAAGAGTTTGGCCGATATAGTGATAGACCAATACTATAGAGATGACTGTCAGCTTCGGGTACTTGTAGTTCCCGAGGTATGGGTTCGGATAGTTTGAATTGTTTTGTCATAATTTTATGTTAAAATTGGACAATTAAAATGTCCTACTATTTGCTCTATAATTAGAAATACAATAATTGGTACTTAAAATATAATTATTATAGTTTTTTGACTGTTATTCTAATGACTGAAACATTTATTAAGAAATCAAATATAAATATAATATTTATATTTGAATAAAAACTATTAATTTTATTATAATTAGTATGAATTTCATTTTGTTAGTTCAATTAACAATCATTAATCATACTAAATGACTATTTATATTAGTTAGTAAATCATATAATAATTAATTATTAATAACTTTACTTTATTTAGTATTTTGAAATCATTATTAATGTACTTGAAAAAACAAAATATAACTATTTTGTTAATATTTCATATATGTAATTAAAGTTATTTATATTTAAATTATTATATTTTTTTTAAAAAAAAGTCAATTAGTAATCTTATATTTAATGTTTATGGTAAAATTATTTCCAATTAATATAAAATTTACATTTATTAACAGATAACCTGGGTACATGTTTTATTGGTGCAATTATTTATTAATTGTTTGCCATATAATTTAGAATAATAGTTTAATAGTTGAAAAAATCAATGAAATATAAATTATATTTTTTTTATAAAATAAATTTAGGATAAAATACTTATTTATAAAAAGCATTTAAATATTGCAATAAAATATTATAGTTTAAGCATTTTTATATACAATAATAAGTAAAAAAATAAAATTTAATAAATTAATATATTTGTTTAAATAAATTAGATAAACAGCAACTTTATTTTAAATAAGATTGTTATTTATATAGACACTGTTTTTTAAAAAACACTTCAAACTTATTGTTGAATATAATAAATAATATCTAAAATTATATATTAAAAATATAATAATACTAACTATTAAAAATAAATATATTACTCAACAGTACTTAGTTTATAAATAAAACAAAAAAATAGATATTAATTAAAAAAAATTTTTTTATTGACGATCTATAAACAATTTTAATAATACCATTATCTTTAGTTATTATTATTATTATTATGATTTATCAAATAATTGTTAAATCTCTTTTTAATGTTATCATCAAAAATAACCAGATAATAAATATGATAATCTAGAAATAAGATATTTTGTTAAAAAAATTTATAAATAAATAAGTTATTAATAATAATTAATTAATTTTTATTGTTAACACATACTTCATAACCTTTTAGTGAATTTATAAGAAATAATTTCCAACAATAAAATCCAACTCGTTTTTGACCAACAAATTCAATCAAACTTAATAACTAGTAATAATTTTTTTTTTAAATTTTAAAATTACATAAAATTAAAATATTATTATATATAAATAATAGATAAATTATTATTTACTTTAAATTTTTGTCGCACCACCAATATATCCTGTCTATAGACTATGAATGAATTGAGCATGCTAAATGTTTTAAACGTTTCGTTATGCAATCGGGTGGACACAAAAATTATCAAAAACAATAGTAGACCAAAAAATATAGTACCCAGCAACAATACAAAATTAACAATTGCTAATTGACCATGATTAAATATCAATAAATATGATGAACACGATATAATTATAGATAATAGTGTCCACATTAGCAGCAAAAATTTGGACCAATAAATATCATTATAATCATTGATTTCTTTATAGATCAAATTAATAGTTTTCAAATATTTAGCTAGCTTAAATTTATTATTATTATTATTAAGCATTATCATACGATACTTATATTTATTTAGTAGCAAATTAAGCAATTTAATTTTGCTAGTTAAATAATTGACAATCATAAAAAAATAATTGGTCTGATAGTTAAGTATATGTGTGCCATAGATAGCCCAGAGTGTATACAATAGCAAATGTGGTAAAATAATCATAATGTATTGCCAGAAATTATTATCCAATAATATTATTATTATTTATTATTATTATATTTATTCAATATTTTAATTAAGCTTACTAATTATAATGTTTTTTAAATATATTATTTATTAAATAAATTAAATTTTATATAATAATAATGAGCAAATTACAAAAATAAAATAAAGTTAATCAAAAAAATTACTTTTTAAAAGTTTTTAGTGTATCATATTATTGGCTATTATTACACTAAACAGTACATTATATATATTAATATATATATATATAATATATTTGTATTTTAAAAAATAATTTACTTATTACAATAAATTTGATATGAAAATATTTTATTTTGTTTAAATAAAAAATATATATCTTTATATATATATATTGTTAATATGAAACCGTAACTTAAGTTTTTTTAGTATTTTAAGCAAAAATATATAGATATAATTAAATTTAAATTTAATTTACTTTACTCAACAACAAAACAAACATATTAGTATTTTTATATTAAAATTATTATTACAATTATAATATTAGTTTTTTCTAATAAAATAATTATCAATTTTTTTGTTTTTAAAAAATAATGTTAACTTCTATAGACATTATATCAATATTTTTATTGTTGTTGTGTTTCAACATAAATGTCTGGTCCATTGATATCGTTGACTATCCCAACATAACTGTCCCCATGTGTGGTATCGGACGTCAGTCGCTGTTAGCAAACGGCAAATGTTTTCAATGGTTATCCAATCAAAGTCTAACACCCAGTGAACTGAATAATGGACGCAATGCAGGACCGGGTGAAGTGCCGTTTGCCGTCTGGATTGAGTACAGGGAGTAAATTACAAATAATTAATATATTTTAAATTAATTTTTTTTTTAAAATACAAAACTTAAATAACTATTAAAGTTTTAACAAATAATTTTATTTGAAAAAAAATATTTATTTAATTTACCAGTGATTACATAGTTAGTTATGGATCGGGTGTTATATTAAACAATCGTTGGATATTAACAGCCGCTCACATGATTTAGTAAATATAAAAAATAAATAATTTTATTTAAAAATATAGATATATATATAAAGAATTTATAATAATGTCAAATAAATTATTTATTTAATTATATATTTTTGAATTAAATTTTAAAAATAACATTTATAAATAATTTAATAATAATTTTTTTTAATTTGTATTATAATCTAATTTATAGTAGAAAAACTATTAGTAATATAAAAATCTACCCGGGCAAAATTTTTATCAACAACAATAATGATAATGTAAATGGTTATAATATTGAGAAAACAGTTGTCCATTACAAGTATCCCAGGAGACGATTACAGGCTTACGATATGGCACTCATCAAACTTACAGCTGACTTACCGCTTAGCAGTCAACTGTCTAATAATGGTTTTAATTATCGGAGACTATTGAATGGTATATGTTTGCCACCGTTGGATGCACTCAATAGCGAGGATGAGTTGGCACTGATGGCCGGTTATGGTTTAGTAAGCGATACAGAGGAAAGTGATAGACTTAAAATTGGTTACATTAGGATTAAAAGGACTTATAATAATGCCAGAGATTATTGGCGTATGATTATACTCGGGGAACGGTATCCATCATATAATGGCACCTTTTCATGTGCGGTATGTGTATGTGTATGTGTATGTGTATGTGTATGTGTATGTGTATGTGTATGTGTATGTGTATGTGTATGTGTATGTGTATGTGTATGTGTATGTGTATGTGTATGTGTATGTGTATGTGTATGTGTATGTGTATGTGTATGTGTATGTGTATGTGTATGTGTATGTGTATGTGTATGTGTATGTGTATGTGTATGTGTATGTGTATGTGTATGTGTATGTGTATGTGTATGTGTATGTGTATGTGTATGTGTATGTGTATGTGTATGTGTATGTGTATGTGTATGTGTATGTGTATGTGTATGTGTATGTGTATGTGTATGTGTATATGTATGTGTATGTGTATGTGTATGTGTATGTGTATGTGTATGTGTATGTGTATGTGTATGTGTATGTGTATGTGTATGTGTATGTATTTAATCATTTATCTAACTATACCTAATTAGGGTGATTCTGGTGCTCCATTGTATCAGTATGTAAACGGTAGGGCCGTATTGATTGGCATAAATCATGGTCGCACTGTTAGTAATCACAAATGTGATGCAATCAATGACGGGGCTTATGTAATATTTGTAAGGATATCCTGGTTTGTCGATTGGATTATTGATAGCATACATAATAATACTATTAATTAATACTATAATTACTATACTATAATTAATTACTATTATTTTTATTAATTAAAATACAATAATTTCATTATATTAAATTTCATATGATAATTTTTTATTTAAATTAAAATTATTAGAATATTGTTAACAGTATTTTGATTTACATATATTATTAATTAAAAAAATATTACATTAAAATATTTTAGTTTATAATTGCAATATTATATAACAGTATGTTATAATATAATTAATTTTAATTAATAAAATTTTAATATTTTACGATGGATTAAATAATTCACGTCCAAAAATTATGCATTGGATAACATGTCTATTATTACGGATGCGTTGTCTATAAATGATGGCCAAACCAATGGCCAGTCCTATCGTGGATACTGTCATCAGTAGTGATGTGCTTATTATAAATGCCTTATAATAATAATTAAGCGATTCAATGATTTGATTAATAAAATCATCGACTGTACTATTGTAACAGTTAGTAAAGTTATCATGGTCATCAATTATATTATTATTATTAGAGCCAATTACACTGTTATTGTTGTTGTTGTTGTTAACTATCATCACCATTATTAACAAATTAATTACAAAAATCCAATTAAACATTTTATTTTAGTTATAATTTAAAAAAAAAAAAATAATCATTTACACTACACAACAACATTGTTTTTTGGAGATATAATTTTATATCTAACAGAATCACAATTTATATAAATATAGTTAAAATTGTTTAATAAAATATATCCTTTCATTAATGATTATTATCATCAGGGTTAAGCAAGGTTATAGATTTTTAGAGTAGGGGTATAGGGTGGGCTATAGACTTTTATTGCATTTTTAAACGGCAATTTTTTAAACAACAAAAATCCAAAATCAAGGGCAGGAGGTTTCAATTTGTTAAAAAAATACTGGGGGTAAAATCCCAAAATCTCGATATTAAGGGGTCATTTGGCTTGACCCCCCACTTGCATAACCCTGATTATAATATAATTTATAATAATAATAATAATAATATAATTTTTATTTTCAATTCATTCAATTGAAATTGATATATAGATTTACATTTATATTTATTTTTTATATAAATATAATACTATTTATAAACTAACGGTTTTGATAATTAAAAACAAATTTTTATAATATTACAATAAAATGTTTAAATAATATTTATGTTGTTATTACAGTATATCCTTTGATTAATGATTTTTTAAAAAGATAACTAAATGTTTGTTTTTTTTCAATAATACATTTATTTATTTTTATTTTCAATATTTTTTATTGTTCAAAATAATCTGTGTCATTTAGGGTGGTAATTATTTTTTAAAAAAAAATAAATTTATTGATATTATTTATATATATATATATATATTTAATTACTATTGATTTACAATTTTAACTATAATTTTATACAAAATATATTTTTTTTAAAAATAATAATACTAATAATAATAATTAAACTAATAATTTTTTATAATAATATTCAAATACAATTATGAAAATTTTATTCAAATATAAACTTGTTATAGTTTTCATATCGACTTAATATAAATTTTAAAATCAATCTATAAATATTAAGTTAAATAATTACAATTAAATTATGTTTAGTGTTGTGTTACTATACAAATGTCTGGTCGTCCATTGAAATGGGTGACTACCCGAACATAACTTTCCCTATGATGTGTGATATCGGACGCCAATCACTAATAGCAAACGGCAAATGTTTTCAATGGTTATTCAATCAAAGTTTAACCCATGAACTGAATAATGGACGCAATGCAGGACCGGGTGAAGTGCCGTTTGCCGTATAGATTCAGCGCACAGATACATAATAATAACCACAAAAAATATAAACAATATTTTTTTATAAATCAAATTATTGAAAAATTACAACAACAAAAAAAACTTTAGTAAAATTTTTGGATCGGGTGTTATAATAAATAAACAATGGATACTGACAGTTTTGTATGTTCATGTAGTTTTGTAAATATACATCTAATTTACATTATATATATGGTTTATAAATAACTATTTAAGTATTTAAGTATTTAAGTATATATAGTATATATAGTATATATATAGTTTAGACCAATATAATTTTAATTTGATATTACTATAACTCAAAAAAATGTGACAAATATCAACACTTTATGTTATAAATTATCAAAAAAAATATATTTATTTATTAGTTAATTATTCGTACATTTATATTATTATTATTATATATCTTTTTTTAAAGTTATCATCAAAAATAACCAAATAATGAATATGAGAATCTGGAAATAAATAAATATATTAATAATTAAAAAAAAATCTAATTATATATTTAATCAATTTTTTTCATTCACTTACTTCATAACCTTTAATTGAATTTATAATAAATAATTTCCAACAATAAAATCCAATCCGCTTTTGAGCAATAAATTCAATTAAATTCAATAGCTATGGATCAACAACAAAAAAATTAGATAAATAAAAATTTTGATATTTTTTTAATTAAAATTAAATTTTTTACTTTAAATTTTTGTCGCAATATCAATGAAACTTGACTATAGACTATGAATGAATTGAGCATGCTAAATGTTTTAAATGCTTGGTTATGTAATCGGGTAGACACATAAATTATCAATAACATTAATTGAGCAAAAAATATAGTACCCACCACCAATACCAAATTGACAAATACTAATTGACCATGGTTAAATATTAATAAATATGATGAACACGATATAATTATAGCTAATAGTGTAGAGACTAATAGCAAAAATCTGGACCAATAGATTGTATTATAATCATTAATTTCCTTATATATTATATTAATATTTTTCAAATATTTAGTTAGATTTAATTTTTTATTATTATTCAATCTTATTATACTAGAATAATCAATGCGATAATTATTAAGATATTTAATAATAATTAAATTTAACAATTTAATTTTACAGTTCAAATAATTGACAATAATTACATAATAGGTTGACTGATAGCTGAGTATATTAACACAATATATAGCCAATAGTGCATACAGTAGCAAATGTGGTATAATTATCATAATGTATTGCCAATAATTTTCATCTAATAGAAAACCTACCATGGCAAATATTGTAAAATTATGCGGGGCAAGTTTAGTTAGTATAAATGTTAGCCATAAAATTAATTTAATTTGTTTACTAAATTTATAAATTAATTGTCTATCAGTTATGTCTAATTGTTTTGGTGTGATAGCACCGGTAAACATTTGAAATACTAGCATATCTACCGGTGCTAAGCCCTGATGATAGTTATACCAGTGTATAGCTTGACAACTTAAACACAATAGCGATAGTAGAAATATACCACCATTCAATATGATACCGGTGCCCAATGAATGCTCAAAATTGCCCAATAGATAGTTAACTAGTAGAGGACAGTCGACATGCCGTACATGGATTATAATAGTTATGATATTTTTGATCATCTGCTGAATAATCACTAAAGATATAAGCCGTGGATCAAACAGTTTGCTTCGTCGGCAGTGAGAGTTTGGCCGATACAGTGATAGACCAATACTATAGAGATGACTGTCAGCTTCGGGTACTTGTAGTTCCCGAGGTATGGGTTCGGATAGTTTGAATTGTTTTGACATAATATTAATCAAATAGTATTAATAAAAATTTGTTTTTTAAATATAATAATTAATGCTTTTCAACTGCTATTGTTACATCTAAAACATTTAATAATAAATTAAAATTATATTTTTGCATTAATAATAAAAATAAATTTACTGTTTTTATATAATTTATATCACTATATTAGTATAGTACAGTATTATATATTATTTTCATTATAATCTATTTAGTTTAATAGCTCAATTAGCAATAATTAATTTTATTTATTATTTATTTATATAAATTACTATACTAATATTATTTATAACAATTAATCATATACATTAATTTAACATTTACTCTATTTAGTAATAAAAATTATAATAAGTGTCAAAAATGAATAAAAAAAAATAAAAAAATGAATAAATGTTTTAAAAATACAATTATAAATATAATAGAAATATTAATAATTTTCTTAAATTATTTGTATATTTCAAAAGTTATTTCAATAGTAATGTCAATTATATTTTATTATATAACCTTATATCTATCATATTTAATGCATATGCAAAAAAATCATTAATTATAAATTTATGATTAGTTTTATTTGTCAAGTTGATATAATATATTCATGGGTGCATATTATAATTTTTTTAATAGGTTATTATAATAGTTTATTAGTAGACTAATAAATAAAATAGCAACTAAAGTAGTAGCAAATAAAATAGTTGCCCAAAATGCTAGACATTTATGACATCTATTTGGGCATTGCCAGGGGGTAGGCATTTTTTCCCTTAAAACCCTGAATATTAGTAAAATTACTACAGTAAATATTTTACTAATCAAATTAACTTAAATTAAATATTGTTATGCATTATATACTGTATTATGTTAATAAAAGTATATGTGTTTACAAATTATATTTATAATATTTATAATATATATATAATTATTCTGATAAATATTATAGTTAACATACAATCATAAAATAATTCTAAACATTAGTTTTATTATTATTAGTAACTTATTAGATAATACAGTAATTGATAAAATTAATACATCATCAATTTTTTGCTCAATAAGCAATTTAATTAGTTAAAAAATATAAAGGTATATTATTTATATTTATCTGTTTAATTAATTATACAGAAAAGTACAAAGATTACATTAAGATTGATTAAGATTAATTGTTTTAAACATTTGTTAGTTTTATATAATTAAAACATTAAAAATAAAATAAATTATTTATAGTTTATTTTCAGTATTTAAAATAATAAATATGATTTTTTTTTATTTATAAATAAGTATTTCAGTAAAATATTTCTACAAAATTTTATTAATCTTTTTATTATTCATAATTATTATTATTAAAAAAATAGATATAATATAGTTATATAAAGTAAAAACTATTTAATACATTTAATTTAGTTTAGATAGTGATTACATGTATGAGCTCCCAGTGGAAACTTACTACAGTTGCCACTACCACCTGAGCCAATCTCTATGTTAACGTATTGCATATAATACCACTGTACAGATAACTGTTCCGTTTGATTGCATTTACTCTAAAAAATAAAATTTAAAAATAAAATTTAAAAAAAAAATTAAACACCAAAATTATATATAATATTTTTTGTAAGTTATATATAAAAAAATCTAATAAGTTATGTAAAATTTATTATTATTATATAAAGGTTAATATTTATTTATTAATTTACACATTTTTGTACAGTATAAATTTATACTGTACACAAAAAATAACTAGGTTACAAAACTAACAAAATAAAAAACTTAAAAAATAAAATAAAACATATTGTTAAGTAATATTTAAACTTTATATTTGATTATAAAATTATAATATATATATATATATATATATATATATAGAATTTAATTAATTAATTTTGAAACATAAAGAGAGAGAGAGAGAGAGAGAGAGAGAGTTATTTAACTTTAATATATATATATTAAAAATCAAATAGTTTTTTTTGTTACCGTTTTACTAGTAATTAGTTTTGTAGAGCACGTGATCGACTGCCACGTACCGCAACAAAATTCCCGCGACTTACGATTAACTGTACGCATATCAAAATGCCAATCACTTTCGGCACGTTTTTGGCACGTGCTTAGTTCGTGCATATATTTACGAAAACAGTTGCATGCTACATCACTGGGCTTTAATGTCCAAACTGTTAGGATTAACATAACAGGTATTACTAAACATAACACTAGTAATAACCGATTCATTTTGTTTATATATACAGTTTATATATATATATATAAATTTTAATAATTAAAAAAAATAACTATTAGTTTAATCCAAAAAACAAACAAATTTATCTAATATTTTTTTATTTATTAGAAAAAATATATTAATAATTTTTTTTAAATGTTACAAACTTTATAGTTATAGTTAAGTTTTATATAAAAATTTAATACGTAATTAAACTTAGATTAGCCTGTCACATTATTTATATATATATATATATATATATATATTTATTATTTATACCTATACTATGTATTACATAATAAAGTTTTATTTTTTTTAATTGTATTACAATTGCTATTTTAGATATCAATTGAAACTTATTATTTTTTTTATGCGGATAATAGATATGCCATTGAGTTGTTGTCATAAGCCGGAAAAAACATATGATCATGGTGATTTATTTATTTGATTGATTCATTGATACAGACACAGTCTATAACTTTAACAATGGATTATTAATAACTTTAGATTAAATATGTGAATGACATACAGTTTGATATATTTAATATATATGTCAATTTTGATTTATAATAATAATAATAATAATATTAGTAGTAGTAATAATCACTGATAGTGTTATTATTTAATTTATTATTTTTTTTATTGTTGAGTCAAACTGTAATATCTTAATTGCTATGATGTAAATGTTGCGAAATTAATTGATTAAAAAGTATATATTTTTTTAACTGTTTAATGAATTTTATTAAAAAAAACAACAATATTTATAGATTTTTTTTAACAAACTTTTTATCTGATATTTTCAAGTATTTAATAAATATTGATATAAAATTTTTTTATAATAGAAATCTTATATATATATATATTATTTTTAATATAATATTATTATAAATACTATTGACTAATATTGTAAATATGTTTTTAAAACATCTGTAACATAAATATTAATATTATTGACATTTAAATGTTGTAATATTATTGTATTTTATACCTAAAAACATTTTATACTGTTTTATGTTGCATTTTAATTTTTCAATAAAAAACAATTAATATTGTATTTTATTTAATTTAGAGTTGAGTGTAGCTGTAATATTTGTCGGAAATTTTGTGGAAATATCCGAAAGCATTGATACATTGGTTGGTATAGCTCTAGTAGTATTGGTTTGTCTTTTAATAAAACAATACAATAAGGCAATTGAATTCATTACTATTATAATCAGTAATAAAACTACTATAATAATAGTCATTGCCGTAAATGACCATGATCCATTTGATGCAACCATCAAATTATTATTATTATTATTACTATTATCACCAACTTGTGGATTATCTAGATAGTTGTCTAGGCCTATAAATTTCCAATTAAACCCAATGTTTTCAGGCTTATAGTTGGCACAGTTGATTAAATTTCTAAATAGTGATTCCTCATTGGGAACGGTACCGTTTGCTTTTTTTAAAAAAAATAACATTAAATAAATAAAATAAAAAACAATACATTATTAAATTGAGTATTAATAATAATAATAATAATAATAAAGTAGTCATTAAAAATCTTTTACCACAGTTTTTATTATAAATATGATAATAACCACCGTCATCGGTGTCAGGTTTGTCGGCCACTTTGGACAACCTAATCAAATGTGAGCCAAAATTATGTTTCATTAGATACCAGCCGTTTGATTGTTTTGTAAATTTATGCCACATTTTGTCCGACTCGACATCCAATGACCGATTGGTTGTACCGGTAAATCGGTAGTTGTCATACCATACCAGATAGTGACCGGTTCTTTCATTTTCAATGGCATAGAATTTATTAGTAAACAGTGATAACTTTTGGCCAGTTATGCCATCAATAATAGGTATAGATATTTCATGACCTAATAAATAATAATAATAATAGTTTTGTTTACATTAAAATTTCTAGATATTATTATTATTATTAGTTATCATTATTTAATAAATAAATAAAATTCAATACTTTTTTTGTCATGATAGTTTGTAATAGATATGGCAACTATGTTATTTACATTAGTAATAGTAAAAACATAATTAAATGTGCTTGATAATAAAATTAATTTATTAGCTAAATTTAACATTGTTTATTTATTAACGACATAAAATTATTTTGTTTAAAATATATATTTAATAAAATTTATAAATAATTTTCTTACTTAACTATTAAATTGCGACTGATTTATATATTTTACAATTTTATAATATATTTATTTAAATAGTTTGCTGAATAAATATTATTTTTAATTGTTAATTGAAAAACTACTGTTATTACTATTACAGTTAGATTATGTAATAATTTTTTCAATTTAAATAATATGATTCATACTGTAATTCAAATTATAATAAAATAGTAAATATATGTAATAAATAATATATAAATTAAAATTTTTCAAAAATTATTTTTTATATACTTATTTGCTCAAAATTACTATAATATTTGTGTTTATTTATTATACATAAATAAAAAAAAAGTTTCAATTATTTTGTAAATTGTAATGACGTGTCATATTAAATATTTATTTATTGCTTTATAGTAATTTCTAAAAAAATATTTTATTATAATTATTAAAAATTTGTAAAATACTAAAGATAAAAATAAATTGAACTCATATAAACTTATTTTAATTATTAAAATATTATTTGTAATATTATAACATTAGATAAAATTTGTTTTAATTAAATTACTTTCATATATATATATATATAGCACACGACTAATAGATTAAATAAATGTAAATGTTTGCAAAAATTATTGTCAATTAATTAAGTTTTAATCTATTTTCAAAATTTGAAAAGATATAAATTTTATGAACTATAAAATTTAATGAATTTTATACAACAACAAAAATATTGTACATATTTATAATAGTTAATTTTGATTCTTAATATTAGATAAAATAATTATTTAACATATATATATATTTTTAATTAAAAAATTAATCATATTTTATTTCAATATATTATTATTATTATTATTAAATAAACTAAATAAAATTAATACAATGTTTAAATGTCGTTCAATAGCTTTAGTATTAATAAATATTTTAATAAATTTTATAAAATTGTGTCAATCAAAACATGTAAATATTTTGGATATATTTTGCGGAGCACCTTGCTACTCTGGTTGGATTACCTGTATTGGCTTAAGTAGTGGAGTATCAAGTAATAAAAAAACTTAATTTTTAATTTAAAAAAAAAAATATTTTTAATAATTTTAATGTTTCATGTTTCATGTTATTATCAAATCAAATGTAGTTTATTGTTAGAAATTATTAATAATATACAGAATAAGCTAATTAATTGATTATTTTTTTTTAATAAATATATAATTTTAATTTAATTTTTTTAAAATTTTTTGTTGTTTTATTAAGTTGGTCGATTACAAATGATGTATCATAATTATATAAGCAATTGTTTCGATAAATATCAGTTATGTCTAAACGATTGTAATACTGGCAATAATTATATAATTTTGAAAAAATAAAATATTTATTTATATATATTAATAAACTTGTAATAAATTAGTAAAAAAAAACATTGTAACACAATTTTGTATATAAATTTAATAATAATTTTTAGCAAATAATCTAATAATTATTTATTATAGTAATAATAATAATAATGTATAATATTTGTAGTAATAATTTTTTTTAGATGTGTAACTCTAAATATAATTTTTGAAAAATTGTATCTAAAAATGTTATTTGACAAACTGTAGCTAAAAGTAATTTTTTTAAAAATAAATTATTTATTAATTATTAAATAAATTATTGATTTTTGTTTTGTTTTTTAAAATGGTATAATTATATTAAACATATTGTTATGGTCTGGGCGTAAATTTCCAATTAAACAGTTGAGTGTCGGCATCATCGAAACAAATAATTTGACCTGGGTTGCTATTGGAGTTATCTTTATTAGCATTATTGCCGCCCACTAAAAAAAATAAATAAAAATTTTTATATAGATAATTATAGTAAACAATTAACAAAAAATTATCTTGTTTAATTTTAATCGACAAAATACAAAACTATATATATATATATATATATATATATAAACACAATCAACTAACAACAATCCCTGTTATACAGCCAGATATAGCCTGGAGTATCGGGCGATGCCTTGAATCGCATGACATGCATACCAGTCGAGTGTGTCATACGATAGTAATTGCCGGCCGGTTCCGATATTGTGGTCATTATATGCCAAAATGTTTTGTTATTTGCTTTCGGCGTATCTAAAGTCAGGCCCACATTAGCCCAGAGTATATAACTTTTGGTTCGTTGGTTTTGAATTGAATAGTAAATATTGGTCGAAATGTCCAACTCTTTACCGGTAACATAGTCGATAATTTTTTTGCCACCCTTACCATTAGCTTTTTTTTGGGATGAGGGGGGGGGGTAGGTGTGTGGGTAGTAGGGGTTAGTAGAGATTTATAGCAATAAATAAAATGTTTTGAAAAATAATTAATTAAATAATTAAGTATTATTATATTTATTATTGATTTTTATTCTAAGTTAATAACTTAAGAAAAACATTTTTTTTATAAATAATAATAGATCTCTTTAATTAATTACAGGTATTACCTTGTTCACTTGAATGTTCACAAAAAAATGCCAATAAAATGCCAATAATAAAACAGAAAAATATTTTTAATAACATTTTTAAAAATTTTATTCAATATAATTATAACTATTTTATTTTTATTTTTTGTGTAAAATATACTAAATGATGGTAAGCTAAATAATGGAAACTTTATATTATTTAGTACTTTATTCAGTGTATTAATTAATTAATAAAATAAAATATATGTTAGATTATACTTGAGTTTGTCACGAAATATGATAATTATAAATATATATTGTTTAAATAAAATAAAAAATTTATTTAGTAATTTTTTAAAAATTTAATCAGAGTTAGCTAAATAAATATAGTAAAAATAAATAAATATTTCACTAATTAATGGTAATAGATTAATATTTATAAATACAGTATAATATGTTTAAATAAATAAATAACAATTAGAAAAAATATTATAACTTAAACATAGTATAAAATTATAATAAGTTTGTTTATATACAATAAATAATTACAATATTAACTAAAATACAAATAACAATTAATTAATTTTGTCCATAAATAACTTAAATGTTAAATTAATTTGCGAAATATTTTGTTATATAATTTAGTTATGAAAATATATATAGTATTGAAAAATTAGTTTTCAATTATAATATAGAAACTGTAGTACGAAATGCCAACCCATAGACCAATAGTACCGCCGATATTATACACAATGTCATCGATTTCCATAACATAGTGTTCGGTAATAATCGGTGTCAACAATGTTTGCAACAGTATTATTGTTAGACTTGTAATATTATTAGTATTTTTTACACATATTTAGCATTCATATCAAATTCATTATAACTCCATAAGATATCAGATATTAAAATAAATTTATTTGATTATTATTATTATATTCAAATTTTTGTTGTGGATATATAGTTGAATGTTGTTGATTAGGTAGTATAGATGTTGGTGTGGAAACGGTAGTTCTAGTAATGGCTATCGATGATGATGATGATGATGGCGGTGGTAGTGGTGGTCCAATATTATGTTGTGCCGTATAGGTGACGGCTACTGGCGATCTCAATGTAAACGGTAAGCCACGTACTTTAACCAAATAGATGCCAAAACCGACAAAACCAAACAATCCGATTGCTAGTATCAGAGCTTTGATCACTGAGTGTGCTGACTGGCGGGTGACCGGACCGGTATCGGCATCTGGCAAACTGGTAGTGGACTTATCGGACAAATCTTTTGGCAAAAAACGCCAACTAAACTCCAAATAATCGGACTTTTGGCCGGGTATGTGACACATAATGGTACCGTTGATGTCGGCATCGGCGTTCGGGTGCTCGGCATTGTCTAACACGACATGTATAGACATAACACGTATAGAAGCAGAAAAACAAATATTAATAATATCAAAATATTTACTGTATATTAATCTGAATGAATACTACATACAACAGTCTCTATTGTAGATCAGATACAATCCTTCGACATGCGATCGCCCTATCCGTACGGTATGACTACTAAAATAGTGATTCATTTTATACCACCCGTCCTTTGCTTTCTGAAAGTTATGCCAAAATTTTCCCCGATTTACATCTAAATCTTCGGCTACTGTTCCCGTTTTGCCGAACCAAACCAGAAACCTACTTGTCCGATAGTTTTGTATAGCATAGTAGGTATGGGTCATCAATGTTAGTTCATCGCCCGTATTGCGGTCAATGATCGGCTCGGGAACCGCTAATGTAAATATCAATATTAAAAATAATACAGTATATGCTTATTTAAATACAATATAAATATTAATATTAAACTTAAGCATGCTAAATTATTATGATTATGTTAATGAATAAAAAAAATCAATAAAATTTAACTAAATAATGTTTAAGACAGTTTAAGTTTGAATTATTTTACTTATTAACAATAAAAAATAAAATTTCTAAAATTAATGATTTAATAATCTAACTTTAGTATATTATAATTAGTTAAAAAAAATAATTATAATTGTTTATTTTTATATATACTAAATAATTTACTTACTAGATAATTTATTATTAGTATTTTTATTATTATTAATATTATTAATATTATTATTATCATATTGTTTATATAGCATTCTCCCACTTTTGCCTACTATTATAGTTTCTACAATAATTTATAATTATAACAGAGAAAAAAAACAATAAATATTACAATTGAATACTGTATAGTAAAATATAATTACAGTATTTTTAATTTATACACTTATATACTTTAAATTATTTTATTAAAAATTACAATTTATATATATTTATATATATATATGTTTACCTTTATCACCATTTACTTTAGTCTTAATAATAATATCATAAGTTACTAAAAAATTTACTATTATAAACAAACTTAAATTATTATATTTCATCATTTTTTTTGTTTTGTTTTATACAACAAAAATTTTATACTTGAATATCATGTATAATGTATTTTTTGTAGTTTTATTATTGCATATAGATTTTTTTGGTAAATAATAATACATTAAAATAATATACAGTATATATTTTTGTTGAATTATTTTTATAAATAGCTGAATCAACAAATACAGTAAAGTGACATTGATTGTATTTGTTTTGTTATTTTTTTGTTTTAAAATTATTATACGTTAATTTAAATTAATTTAATAAAAAATAAAAATTTTTTAAATTAAATAAAAAAAGTTTAAATACCAGATATTTGGGTATTTAATAAAACAATTAAATTCTAACTGTTTAAACAATTTTAGTACTTAAATACTGATTAATTAATTAATAAACTTATATTATACTAAGTTTATTATAGTAAAATCAATTATGTAGGTTGACATTTAATTACATTTTATTTTGTTAATAAATTATTAATATTTAAAAATTTGTTTTTTTGATTATTTATTTTTTTTGTAAAAATGTATTATTTATATTAACATTAATTAGTAGTAATAAACTAATTCATCCACTCACACACACACACTTTGACATTATATTTAATTAATTTGTATTTATTTGTATCCCTATCTAACCCACTTTAAAACATATATATATATATATATTTATACTAAATAACACACTTAAACAATCATACAATCACTAAATAATTTAATTATCAAATAATTTATTGAAGAAAAATATTAAATAGAATATATAAAATATTTTTTTTTAAATATTTTATTTTTCTGAAATGTAAGACATTTTTAACTTATTCAAAAAAAAAAAGAAATATGATATTTATTTTTAAATTTAAAAAACTTTTAAAAAAGATTTTCAATATGTTTATTGAAATATTGTATTATATTTTGTTTGTATCACAAGTTTTCAAAATAGTAATTATAATTAATATAAAATATATTTACAATATTTAACATTAAATTATATTAAGAAAATTATATAGTTTATTTCTAAATAAAAACTTATTATAAACTTAAATAAATAAAACATATTTGATTTTTTTATATAATAATTTTGTATTTTTTAAATTAAATTATAAATATCAAATTTTAGTACCGTACGTAGTATCATTATTATTAAGTTTTTTTTATTTAATATAAAAAAATAAAATATATTATATACGACACAAAAAAAACTATAATATCTAATTTAGTTGTATATCATATAGTCATAGGATTAACAACACATACAAACCAAAGTTTTATTAAAATAATAATAAAATGTCTAATTTTAATATTTTTTGTATAACTATAGTCTCAATGTTGGGTAATAATTATAATACATTTTATTTTTTAAAAATTATATAATATATATAAATATATATATATAAGTAGTATTAAATTATTTTTGACAATAGATAGGTCCACCAAAAAAAATTAGTTGAAATAATTTAAAAATAAATTTAATTTGCTTTTAATTTGTTTTTTTGCAAAAGAATTTTTCTAAACATATTTTCTAATCAATTATTTTTTTAATACTAATTAATTAAAAACTAATAAATTTTGTTTCTCTCTCTCTCTCTCTCTCTCTCTCTCTCTATATATATATATATGTTGGTGATTGTGATCAGTGATTATCACCACAATTGATGGTCGCTATGATACCAGCATTGATGAGAAAACAGATGAGGAAACAAAGTTCAAAGAAATTATCGGTGCATTGCATAACATATTTAACAATAACTATGAAGACGATGACGACAACGACGATAATAATGATAGTAATCAAGAATCAAATGAACAAGCACAAATTGATCGACAATATGTACCGCAAACACCTATAACTGATCGACAAAATGTGCCGAAACAACCTCTACAAACAAACAATGAAATACCATCTTCGTTACCGTCATCATCACCATTAGATATATTGAATCAAGTTGGTGTACCGGGTGAAAAAAGATTAGAACAATTTAAGGCATCAATAGATTCAATTGTAGCACCTGTTGTAGCTGCACATAAGTTACAAGCAAATAATGGAACATCACAAAATGCATCAGCACATGATGCACCGGTAACACATCTACAAACAAATAATGGAACAACATTATCACCAATAGATATATTGAGTCAAGTTGGTGTACCGGGTGAAAAAAGATTAGAACAATTTAAGTCATCAATAGAATCAATAGTGGATCCTATTATAGCTGCACACAAGTTACAAGCAAATAATGGATCACAAAATGTATCAGCACATGGATCAGCGCATGCTGCACCGGAATCACAACTACCAGCACACAATGGATCGGCACATGCTGCACCGGTACCACATCTACCAGCACATAATGAATCAGCACATGCTGCACCGGTACCACATCTACCAGCACATAATGAATCAGCACATGCTGCACCGGTACCACATCTACCAGCACATAATGAATCAGCACATGCTGCACCGGAATCACAACTACCAGCACACAATGGATCGGCACATGCTGCACTGGTACCACATCTACCAGCACATAATGAATCAGCACATGCTGCACCGGTACCACATATACCAGCACATAATGAATCAGCACATGCTGCACCGGTACCACATCTACCAGCACATAATGAATCAGCACATGCTGCACCGGTACCACATCTACCAGCACATGCTGCACCAGTACCACATCTACCAGCACATGCTGCACCGGTACCACATCTAACAGCACATAATGAATCAGCACATGCTGCACCGGTACCACATCTACCAGCACATGCTGCACCAGTACCACATCTACCAGCACATGCTGCACCGGTACCACATCTAACAGCACATAATGAATCAGCACATGCTGCACCGGTACCACATCTACCAGCACATAATGAATCAGCACATGCTGCACCGGTACCACATCTACCAGCACATGCTGCACCGGTACCACATCTAACAGCACATAATGAATCAGCACATGCTGCACCGGTACCACATCTACCAGCACATAATGAATCAGCACATGCTGCACCGGTACCACATCTAACAGCACATAATGAATCAGCACATGCTGCACCGGTACCACATCTACCAGCACATAATGAATCAGCACATGCTGCACCGGTACTACATCTACCAGCACATAATGAATCAGCACATGCTGCACCGGTACCACATCTACCAGCACATGCTGCACCAGTACCACATCTACCAGCACATGCTGCACCGGTACCACATCTAACAGCACATAATGAATCAGCACATGCTGCACCGGTACCACATCTACCAGCACATAATGAATCAGCACATGCTGCACCGGTATCACATCTACTAGCACATAATGGAACAGCACATGCTGGATCCGAATCACATCTACCATCACACCATGGGTCAACACATGTTGCACCGGTAGCACATCTACCCGCACATAATGGAACATCACAAAATGTGTCAGCTCTTCATGTTCATGATGTACATAAAAATGATGATCATTTTGCAAAAACCCTATTAGCTTATAAAGGACATGGATAATATAATATTAAAATAAAGTAACAACAAGGTCATTTAGAGTTACATAATATATATATGTGACAATTTCTATATAAAAAACAGTATAAATAATAATAATAATAATAAACTTGTTGTAAACATTTTTAAATCAATAAAAACTTTAATCTAAAAAAAATAGTAACATTGATTATAATAAATTTTTAAAATATATATGATATATTACAGTGTATATTATTAGGATAACATCAAAAACAAATAACAATTTACATTATATAGTTAATTATATCTATAATAAATTATGTATATTTATAAATAAATAAGCAATTTATATTAATTTCTATTATATATAATATATATATATATATATATATATATATATATATATATATATATATATATATATATATATATAATATATATTTTTTAAACGATTCATAATTATTATAAATAGAAAATTATTAAACTATTAAAACAATAAAATATAACATTCTTAAAAGTTAATAATATTTTTAAAGTTAAATTTAATAAAATTTTAATTTTATATCAATCAGATAAAAACAACATTTTAATACATTCAACAACAATAATACAAATTATAATAAACTTTATAGACATTATAATGCTATTTGTTTGTCAATGAGTTACCAAAGTTTACATTTGTTTAATGGATTCATTGGTGAACCCAATGAACAGTTAAATACTTTTGAAAAGTCCACTGAATTGGAAACATAACCATTGACTCTGAAAATTGAAGTGAATATTATATAACATTTGTCATTTCAATACTAATTTATATGAAAAAAAATAAAATAAAAAGCATTGAAAAATAGACTAGATGCTTTTTATTTAGTACTATAGGTTCACTTAGCATTAGTTGACACAATCAATATCTATGTTAACTAAATATTTGTTTAATTTTTTTTTTGTGGACACTACTCTTAAATTAAGTTATCATATTTATTGCTTAATAAACCAATAGATTGTAATAGCTAATAATCTACAGTAATTTAGGTATAGTTTATTTTACACAAAAAAATGTACAAAAAGTAAAATTAATTAATTTGTTTTATATTTTATTATTTAAAATAATAAATAATCCAAACCTCTGTCTATAGGGAGTGTGAACATCGGTTAACAATTTATTCAATAATTGTTCATTTGTTAATTTAGAGCACCACTGAACAGCCGAACTGATCCAAAACAACTGTTCGGAAGTATAGTTAAGCGCCGGTAGTCTCGGCTCAGGTCCCCGTTTGGCCACATATTTTTCATACGCTCTGAGATTATACATGTGATTTTGAGCATACAGTATACACACATACAAACAGACATACTGTACATACACACACTCATATATATATATATATATATATAGTATATAAACATACATACAAACACACACAATAAGCACCTACCTATATGATTGGATGATACCTCCATTATCAGCAATATTCTCGCCCTGAGTATATAAACCGTTGACTTTTTTAGATATTTCATTGACAGTAAAATTGCTGTACTGTTGGACAAAACACTCAGCCTTTTGTTTATACAGAGCATCGGTATCCGTGTCCCACCAGTTCCTCAAATTACCGGTCGAGTCATACTGTCGTCCCTCGTCGTCGAAACCGTGTATTAATTCGTGACCGAAAACAAAACCAATGGCGCCGTAATTCATATAACTAAATATATATATATATATTTGTATTTATAATTGTATAAATTATTAAAATTTAAAATATTTATTATTATTATTATTATTTTAATTTACTGCTAATATTAATACTTAGGTCTGTCCTTATTGTAGAAGACTTCCTGAAGAATTGAGGCCAATATAAACACACGATTTCTTTGCGGCTGATAATTGGCATTGACATCAACTAACGAACCAATTTTACGCCAACTAATCATAATAATAAATATTTTTTTTTATAATTTATAAATTAGTTAAATAAAATTATTTAAAAAAAAAATTAAAATTATTATTAATAAATCAAATTACTCTAACGGATCGATAGATTTTTTTAATCCACCAAAATTCAAATCCATAAACCATTTGTTTAGCAGATTATGATTACCAAAATAGTCGTCTGAATTATTAATTGTTAACTGAAAATTGATTTACAAAATAAATAAATAAATATAAAATAGTGTAATATATAAAATTATTAAATACAGATATACTATATACCGTATGATAATAGTCGGCCACATTTGCCTCATCCATGAGCTGATCAGGATATCCGACCACTAGTTTTAAATTATCTAACTTTTTCAATGCCTTTTCCAGTGTCTCAGTTTTCATCCATTTATTTAACTGTAGACTACTTCTGAATTCATTAACAATATTGTTAAACATTTTTTGTGCCTTTCAAAAAAAATATATAATTATGTAAATCATTATTTTTAGAAAAAAATTTATAAAAATAATACATTTTGTTTAGTACTATTGTTGAAAAAATGTTTGACATATAGATGAGACATTGCCATTGATAATATTTCTTTTGTATTTTCCGTACACACCTCCAAACGTTTAGACTCAGTTTTGTGGCCAAACTTAAACTCATTAATTAATTGATACCACGATTCGTCCAAATAGGTTAGTTTGCTTTTGACGACACGCCATAGTATATAATCAACTAGAAATCTAATGACAATTATATACATATATACAGTATACTATTGAATGAAATATTGAATTTTATATATAAAATAATTTACAATTTGTTAATTATAATATAACTTAAACAATACCTATTATCATTTATTTCGTTTAGTTTTTTGTTTAAAAATTCAATATAATTTATATCTAATAATACTATATATTCATCAACAGTAATATTGTTTGAAACATATTTTTTGATTATTTTAAGCCAATCAATCTGTAATTTAAAAAACACAAAATACTGTATAATAATTAAAATAAACAATATAAAATATAAATTAAAATAATAAGTTAGGAATTATTTAGCATACATTTGGTGCCAATTGGATCAACTGTTTGATTGTAATTTTATTGTAAGTTAATGTATGATTACGTTTAGCTTCTTTGGGCATTGAGTTCTATAAAATTATTAATAAATACTTTTAAAATACTTTTGAAATACTATTAATATTTTTTTCATTACATTAGCCAACTGTAGCTCAAATGTGAATAGTTTTTCGACGTACAGTTCGACCATTTGGTGTTTAACTCCCAGTTTTCCCAATGTTTTCCTAATCAATGTTTTGTATGCTTTAATTGACTTATCATTGTTTCCCAAAAGCAATTTATCACGACTTTCCAAACCAAACGTCGGACTATTTATCTGTTAAATTGTAATAATAATTATTATCAATATTATTAATAAATATCAATAAGACTTTATTGACTTCACATTGTGAAAAACTATTGAATTAAATTATTATAAACCAGTTAAGAATGCTGATAGCATTTCCATACGAACTCCTTATTCAATGTAAAAAATTTAATTAAAATGATTCAGTATGACAATCAAATCAAATTATTAATTATGATAAAATAAACAAAAAATAAACATGTAGGGTATCAAATGACTGACTATGAAAAAATAAACTTAACTAATCATGTTTCTTTCCTTAAATTAAGTTAAATATATTAAAAATAAACCTCTTTATTACTTAATTTATAAAAAAGTCTACTTCATTTTGGTGCTTAAACAATCTAAATTAAAAAAATTCTAATTTAATAGCATTTACTCAATGTTCTTGATGAGATAAAAAATAAAATGGAGGACCCATACTACATTTTTATACTTTACACAAATATAAACTAAAAATCAAATATAAAATGTGAGACGTTATATTTTTTGTTTATAATAAAATTTCAATACTGATCTCCTTAGCTCATTTTTGATGCTTTATTCAAATTTAAAATAAAAAAATTTTAATTCTAAATATTTTGTGAATCAGACAGACAGACAGACTTATAGGATTCAGATACCTACTAATTTCAGGAGTTTGTGAAAATAACTCTCTATTTTCTATACTTACAGTTAATATTCTTTTTGAATTGTTTTTTTGGTCTATCTTTACCCACAAAGAGAACAGCATATCAGTGTAGACACCGACATCACGTAATCTCAGATAGACGTCCGTCCACTGGATGTCTGTCCAATTGTCGCCACTAACCACTGGCCAACCGCCGAGTTTGGCAATCAGATTGTCTAATGGTTTTCTGCCTAACTTTTTTAATTGAGCTTTAAATTTTGATGAATAACAAAAAATACCTTATATTAATATCTGTATTACTTTAAAATATTAATTTATTATTTATTATATTTATATATATATTTAATTTATCAGTAATTTAAATATATATAATACACAAACTTGTATTGAAACAACTGTTGTAAAAATATTTGATATTTCGTATGAATAGTTGACGTTCTGTCTTGATATTAATTTTATTATAAATAAAACCTAATAAAATCATTTAAAATAAAATTATAATTAGTTAATTGCTTATAATTATTATTTTTTATAAAAAAACCATCAAGCTGAATTGTAATTTTATCGCCCACTTCAAGAAATTGATTGATAGATGAATATTGTTTTTTATTATCAATCCATTTGCCGCACGAAAACTGGTAGAAATCGTGGCACGGGTTGACTGATTCGTCGATAGAATCCATTAGTTTGACCGCTGTTTAGAGAGAGAGAGAGAGAGAGAGAGAGATTTAAATATTATTAAATAGATATAAACTATACATATATTGTTATAGATATTACCTTCCCTAACACATGTAGGAGTGTTACAAATAATAGTATTATCGGTAATATTTTGACGATCATCTGTAAAACAAACAGTAAATTAAAGATAATCAACAAATTAAACAGAAATAATTAGTTTAATTTTAAAAATACTAGACTATACTAGTTTATATTATATTTTAAATTATTTTATCATGCTCAAAAAAATATTACTAATTAAATTATTTGGTTACTGATTAGTTACTAATTGTTTTATTTAACTAATTTGTTAAATTAATAACTTATATTAATTAAAAAATACGTAGTCTATTTAAAAAAAATAAAATTAACCTTTATTCAATTTTTGGGACTATCTAGTATAGATAGTAACTATTATTAAGATTTTATCATTTATGACTGTATTTATATATTAAATTTTGAATAAATAATATTTACCTTTTTCAATAATTAGATTAGTTTTAATAATTCCGTATATTATCACAATTGCTAGAAAATTTACTAATATAAACAAACCTATTATATAATATTTCATTATTTATTAATTATTTCACAAAATTATTATAGAATTTAGTTTAAATATTAGATAATTTGAAATCAAAAATTTTTATTGTAATAAATAAATTTAGTCATGTATTTATTTAAATATTATAATAAAAGTTTAATAACTAAAATAAAATAATTATATTGATTTTTTTATTGTTTGTAATAACTGGATCAACAATAAATGAACAAATGGTATCAGATTATTTTATTTAAATTTAAGTTAAACAAATTTTATAAAAAATAATAATAAAACATTTATTATGTCAACTGTTTCAATAAGGATATATTTAAAGATAAATTATTTGTAAAAATAATGGTTACATAGTTTAAAGCAATTAATTCCTAAGTAATAATTTCAAGTATGTTTGAAATTTTTAAATAATTTATTCATATATGTTTAAACTGTTTATATAATTTTACAATTTAAATAAATATACTGTATATTTTTATAATGTTATAATAATTGTTTTATCAAAACTTTTATATTTATTAATTTTATCGATTAGTATTGATCACTGACAGTAATAGACATTATAGTTAGTGTAGTAAAATTAGTATTTTTTTAAAATAATTAAAAATATTTTAATTTATAACATTATATTCACAGTGGCTGATTTTGTCGTTTTAAAAATAGCTAATTAAATAATATTATTTGTTATTAAAAAGATAATTTAATTAGTTTTGTATTTATATAAAAAATAAATATAAATTATGATTAATTATACCATGCTCATCGACATCAAATATTTTATTTATTTATTTTAATTATTATTCTAATATTATAATATTATAATAATAGTATTATTATAATACATAACATTTATTAAATATATAAATTTTAATTTATTAGTATTTTTATGAAAAATTGTCAACAAAATATTTATAAATTTATTTATTTTTATTATTAAATTTAAAACTTTTTATAATTTTGCTATTATAGCTATTTATTTATCAAAAAGAGAGAATAAATTTATTTAGATTTTATTTGTTTGTCAATTAGTTACCAAATTTTACATTTATTCAATGGATTCATTGGTGAACCCAATGGACAGTTAAAAACATTTGAAAACTCCACTGAATTGGAAATATAACCATTGACTCTGAAAAAATAATATTATATATCATTGAAATTTCTGTACTATTTTATATGAAATATGAAAAAAAATATTTTTAATAAATATAATTAATTTTTTTTTTATATTTTATTATTTACGGTAGAATTTAAAAAAATTAACTAAAATTAATTTATTTAACTAATAAATAATCCAAACCTCTGCCTATGGGGAGTGTGAACATCGATTAACAATTTTTTGAATAATTGTTCATTTGTTGATTTAGAGCACCACTGAACAGCCGAACTGATATAAAACAACTGTTCGGAAGTATAGTTAAGCGCCGGTAGTCTTGGTTCGGGTCCACATTTGGCTACATATTTTTTATACGCTCTGTTGATTATATAAGTATATAAGTATAAATTATACACTCATACATACACACACACACACACATTACAAGCACATACCTATATGATTGAATGATACCTCCATTATCGGCAATGTTTTCTCCTTGAGTATTGAAACCGTTGACTTTTTTGGCGATTTCATTGACAGTAAAATTGCTGTACTGTTGGACAAAACAATCGGCCTTTTGTTTAAACAAAGCATCGGTATCCGTATCCCACCAGTTCCTCAAATTACCGCTGAAGTCAAACTGTCGACACTGATCATCAAAACCGTGTATCATTTCGTGACCAAACACGTGGCCAATGGCACCGTAGTTCATATAACTTAAATATAAATTTAAAAATTCAATATATTATTTATTATCTTATTGCAGCAATTTTCTAGAAAAATAATAATAATAATAATATTAACTGACTGAAAGATGAAGACAAAAATATTAATTATAATAATGTAATCGTTTTTTTTAATAATTTTTTTTCTCCATTTATTAAAATTTCTAAAACAATTATTAATTATTTATATTTTAATGATAACACACATACTTAGGTCTGCCCTTATTGTAAAAGACACCCTGAAGATTAGGGGCCAATACAAAAACACGATTATTTTCAATAGAATAACCGGCGTCGACACGTAATACCGAACCCATTTCCCGCCAACTAATAATAATAATAATAATATAAATATTAATTATAAATTATAGGTATGCTCTCATACAATATCATAATAGTTAAATATTTAGTAATTGTTAAAAAAATATTTATATATTTGTTAAAAAAAATCATTTATATTATAATTGTTAATATAATTATCAAAAAACAAAAAAAAAACAATTACTCTAATGGGTCGACAGATTTTCTTAATTTACCAAAATTTAAATCCATTTTCCATATATTTATACGATTAATATTACCAAAATAGTCGTCTGAATTATTAATTGTTAACTAATATTTATATAAAATATTATAATATATAATAATATTAAATGTTGATATACTATACCGTATGATAATAGTCGGCTAAATTTGACTCATCCATGAGCTGATCTGGATATCCGACGATTATTTTTAAATTATCTAACTTTTTCAATGCCTCCTCCAGTGTCTCCTTTTTCATCCATTTATTCAACTGTAGATTACTTCTGAATTCTTTAACAATATTGTTAAACATTTTGTGTGCCTTTCAAAAAATATAAATTATAATTTAAATTACTATTTAGTAAATTAATTATTAAACAGTACATTTTGTTTATTATCTGTTTTGAAAAAATGTTTGACATATAGATGAGACATTGCCATTGGTAGTAATTTTTTTGCATTTTCCAAACACATATCACTACGGGATGATCCAATTTTATGCCACGATTCGTCCAAATAGGACAGTTTGTTATGGACGACACGCCATAGTATGTAATCAACTAGAAATCTAATAACAATTTTTAGCAAATATATACTGTACTGAAAAACTGATATATTATTATAATAATATATTTAGATATATAAATAATATGATTTAGAATTTATAATATATAAAATAAATAAAAATTTTAGTAAAAACGATACCTATTATCATTTATTTCGTTGAGTTTTTTGTTTAAAAATTTTATATAATTTGTATCTAATAATACAATATATTCATCAACAGTAATATTGTTTGAAACATATTTTTTGATTATTTTAAGCCAATCAATCTGTAATGTTTAAATAATGTTATTTAAACAAAATATAATTTTTAAAAAAAACAATATATTAAATAATATAAAGTATAAATTATTAAACATACATTTTGTGCCAATTGAATCAACTGTTTGATTGTTATTTTATTGTAAATTATTGTAAGATTACGTTTGGCCTCTTTGGGCATTGAATTCTATAAAATTATTAATAAAAACTTTTAAAATACAAATATTCTTATTATTTATTTCATTACATTAGCCAACTGTAGCTCAAAATTGAATAGTTTTTCGACGTACGGTTCGACCACTTGTTGTTTAACTCCCAGTTTTCCCAATGTTTTCCTAATCAATGTTTTGTATGCTTTAATTGACTTATCATTGTTTCCCAAAAGCATTTCTTCACGGCTATCTAAACCAAACTTTGGACTATTAATCTGTTTAAAGCACAATAAAAAATTAAAAAGTTAAAAAAAAGATAAATATTTAAATCTATTAATTAAAGTATTATTAAGTAAAAAGTATTAAAGATTATTACTCATTTCCAATTATATGCAATTCCAGCATTTAATAATATAACTATTAAAATAATACTGTTTTTTATAAAATTATTATTTTTATTATTCTCTCTCTCTCTCTCTCTCTCTCTCTTCTCTCTCTTCTCTCTCTATTAATACATACATATAATATTTTTGTTGAACTTTTTTGTAAGTCTGTCTGTACTTTCAATGAGAACATCATATCAGTATAGACACCGAAATCACGTAGTCTTAAATATACGTCCGTCCACTGGATGTCTGTCCAATTGTCGCCACTAACCACTGGCCAACCGCCGAGTTTGGCAATCAGATCATCCAATGGTTTTCTGCCTAACTTTTTTAATTGAGCTATAATTTATGATAAATGAAAAAATAATTTCTATATTATCTATTAATTTATCATTTTATACTTGATTTTATTTTATCTGTAACTTAAAAATAAATATTATATACAAACATATATTTCTACAACTGTTGCAAAAATGTTTGATATTTCGTATGAATGGTTGACGTTCTGTCTTAACATTTATATTATTAATAAAGCCTAAAAAATTGAATTATAATTAATTAATAGTATTTATTATTGTAATTATTATTTTTATTAAATAATAAAAACCTTTAAGTTGGTTATTAAGTTCATTTTCAAGTTCACCAAATTGACTGAATGATGAATAATCGCGTTTATTATCAATCCATTTGCCGCACGAAAACTGGTAAAAATCGTGGCACGGATTGACTGATTCGTCAATACTATCCATTAGATTGACCGCTGATTACAGAGAGAGAGAGAGAGAGAGAGAGAGACAGAGAGAGAGAGATTAAAATATTATTAAATAAATATAATCTATGCATATACTGTATATTGTTATAGACATTACCTTCCCTAACACATGTAGGAGTGTTACAAATATTATTATTATCGGTAATATTTTGACGATTATCTGTAAAACAAACAGTAAATTAAAATCATACTATTACTAATTAGGCGTTGTTCACATATTACGTTCGCACTTTTGTTCGCACTTTTTAAGAAATCTAGACCTCCTCCCTCTCATATGTTCGCAATTGTTTGCATGTAGTCATTTAAAAAAATTACGTTCGCATGTCCCTAACAGCTACCCCCCCCACACCACAAGAAATAATATATTACCTAAATGCGAACGTTCTTAAAGTCTCTATCCTCCTCTCCCCCTCGTTCGCAAAAGTTCGCTTTGGCTAACCCCTCTCCCCTCAAGTGCGAACGTAATATGTGAACCACGCCTTAATTGTTTGGTTACTGATTAGTTACTAATTGTTTTTTTTAACCTATTTGAGAAATTATTAACTTATATTAATTAAAAAATTGTCATAAAATACGTATTCTCTATTTTTAAAAAAATAACCTTTACTCAATTTTTAGGACTATCTAGTATAGATAGTAACTATTATTAAAATTTTATCATTATTAAGACTATATATATTACATTTTTTAAAAATAAATAATATTTACCTTTTTCAATAATTAGATTAGTTTTAATAATTCCATAGATTATCACAATTGCCAGAAAATTTACAAATATAAACAAACCTATTATATAATATTTCATTTTTTGTTTGTTTATTTCACAAAATTATTATAGATTTTACTGTACTTAATATATTCAATAATAAATGAAATTAAAATTTTATTGTAATAAATAAATTTAGACATGTAATGTATTTATTTAAATATTATAATAAAAGTTTGACAACAAAAATAAAATAATTATATTGATTTTTTTTATTGTTTGTAATAACTGGATCAACAATAAAGTAACAAATGGTACAAGATTATTTTATTTTAATTTAAACAAATTTTATAAAATAAAATAATAAAGCATTTATTATGTCAACTGTTTCAATAAGGATATATATATATATATTTTAAGATAAATTATTTGTAAAAATGGTTACATATTTTAAAGCAATTAATTCTTAGGCAATAATTTCAAGTTTGTTTGAAATTTTTTAATAATTTATTCATATATTTAAGCTATTAATATAATTTTACTATTTAAACAAGTATACTGTAAATTTTTATAATAATTTTTACATTTATATATATTATATTTATTAGTATTAGTAATAGACATTATAGTTAGTGTAGTAAAATTAGTAGATTATTATTTTTAACATTTATTATTATTAATATTTTAATTTATAACATTGTTTTTACTGTTGATTATTTTGTTGTTATCTAATTAAAAATATTATTTATTATTAATAAAATAATTAATATCAATTCTGATTATAATACAATTAAAAAATTAATGTTTTAATTTAATTATAGATTAATTAAAAACATATTTAATTTTACCATGGTGATCGACATCACTAAAATTAATATAATTATCATCACTATATAGATAATTAGAAATATTTTATTTATTTAGTTTAATTATTAATCTAATATAATAATTATAATAATTCATAACATTTATAAAAATTTTAATTTATTAGTATTTTTTATGAAATATTGTCAAAAAATATTAATAAATTAATTTATTATTATTATAAAATTTTAAGACTATTTATAATTTTGCTATTATTGACATTTATTTATCAAAAAAAGAGAGAATCAATATATTTAGATTATATATTTTTTAGTTGTCTGTCAATTAGTTACCAAATTTTACATTTATTCAATGGATTCATTGGTGAACCCAATGGACAGTTAAATACTTTTGAAAAGTCCACTGAATTTGAAACAAAACCATTGACTCTGAAAAAAAGGTGAAATATTTATAATTAAAAAATAAATAAATTCAAATTATATTAGTAGTTATTTAATTATTAATTTTTTTTGTTGTTGAGAAATAATCTGTTTAATTACAATTAATTATTATTTTAACTAATTATAATAATAATAACACATACCGTTGTCTACAGGGACTGTGAGCATCGTTTAGCATTATATTCAATAGAAACTCATTGGTTGATTTAGAGCACCACTGAACACCTGAACTGATCCAAAACAACTGTTCGGGCGTATAGTTGAGCGCCGGTAGTCTAGGCTCTGGTCCCCAGTCGGCCACATATTTTTCATATGCTCTGCGAGTGTGTTATATAATATATATTTTAATATATATATATACCTTAGTAGGTATAGTAGTTCAAACAGTATAGACAGACACACACACACACACACACACACACACACACACACACACACACACACACACACACACACACACACACATCACAAGCACCTACCTATACGATTGAATGATACCTCCATTATCGGCAATATTCTCGCCCTGAGTGTGAATACCGTTGAGTTTTTTGGATATTTCATTGACAGTAAAATTGCTGTACTGTTGGACAAAACAATCGGCTTTTTTCTTATACCGAGCATCGGTATCCGTATCCCACCAGTTCCTCAAATTACCGCTGGAGTCATACTGTCGACCCTCGTCGTCGAAACCGTGAGTTATTTCGTGACCAAACACGTGGCCAATGGCGCCGTAATTCATATAACTTTTTTGTTTTATTAGCAAAAAAAATATAAAGAATTAATTTTTAAAAAAATAAATTTCTAATATTTAATAAACAGAAGAGAAATAGTTATTTCAAAAAAATAACTAAAATTAATTATTAATAAAAATTAACTGGAAATACATACTTAGGTCTATCCTTATTGTAGAAAACTCCCTGAAGTATGCCGGCCATCATTAACACCCGACTCCTCTCCGGTGAATAAAAGGCATTGACAACGACTACCGAAGCCATATCACGCCAACTAATAATAATAATAAATAATTAATTAATATTATAATTTAGTATAAGATATATATATATATATATGGATATAATTGTTTGCATATAATATAGACAAAATGTTTTACACTAAATGTTAAACAACAAACATTATTAACATTTATGAAATATATATATATTTTTTAAATATTAATTAATTTAGGATTCAATTTACTCCCATAGGTTGACTGGTTTATTCAATTTAGCGAAATCCAAATCCAGATACCATTTGTGCAAATGGTTAACATTACCGAAATAATTGTCTGAATTATTAATTGATAACTATAATTGATTAAAATAAATTTTATAAAAAAAACTTATACCAATAAAATATAATATACTATAAGTATAATAAATAATATCGTAGTATTAGTATAACTATTAATATATATATATATATATACATACTGTTTGATAATAGTCGGCCACTTTTGGCTCATCCATAAGCTGATCCGGATATCCGACCATTACTTTAAGTTTATCTAATTTATTCAATGCCTCCTCCAGTGTCTTATTTTTCATCCAATTGTTTGTCATTAAACTATTTCTAAACTCATTCCTAATATTATTAAACATTTTCTCAGCCGATTTTTTAAAAAAAAGTAATTAATAAAAAACAAAAAAATATATATTAAATAAATAGTAAGTATAAATAAATATATAGTTTGTATTATTGATTAACTTAAATTTAAAGTATAAAAAATATATAATAAATAAATACTTTTTGTTTATTATTTTTGTTGAAAAAATGTTTGACATACAGATGAGAGAGTGCCATAATCTGCAAATATTTTGTCTTTACCAGACATACCTCCCAACGGGGTGGCCGTCTTTTTTGGCCAGTTATGACAAACCAAAACTTTTCGATCAATTGATACCACGATTCGTCCAAATAGGACAGTTTGCTTTGGACGACCCGCCATAGTATGTAATCAACTAGAAATCTAAAAACAATATAATATATAATAAATATATTTTTTTATTAAAAAAATACTAATATAATCTTCAATTTAGTTTATATAAGTTATTAAATTTAAATAATAATTATTTTTTTAAAATAATAATAATAAAACAATACCTGTTATCCAATTCATTTAGTTTATCGTTTAAAAATTCAATATAATTTTTATCATATAAGACAATATCTTCATCACTGGTAATATTGTTTGAAACAAACTTTTTGATTATTTTAAACCAATCAATCTTTTTAATGATTGTATTGTGTTTTTTTGAAAAAAATAAATTAATAAATAAAAACAATAATAATTATAAATAATTTTTTTCATAACATACATTTGGTGCCAATTGAATCAACTGTTTGATTGTCATCTTATTATAAATTACTGTAAGATTACGTTTAGACTCTTTGGGCAATGAATTCTGTAAAATTGTTGTTTTTTCAAACAAAACAAAAAAAAATTATTTCAAAAATATATTTCATAAAAATCCTAAATTACATTTCCAATACATTAGCCAACTGTAGCTCAAAAGCAAACAGTTTTTCGACATACGGTTCGACCACTTGTTGATTGACTCCCAGTTTTTCCATTGTTTTGGTAATCAATGTCTTGTATGCCTTAATCGACTTATCATTGTCTCCCTTAAGCATAGCATCGCGACTCATCAAACCAAACGATGACCTATCTATCTATTAAATGATTATAATAACTATTATTATTGTTATTACCAATAAATCTCTCTTTCTCTCTCTTTCTCTCTCTTTCTCTCTCTCTCTCTTTCTCTCTCTTACTCTCTCTTTCTCTCTCTTTCTCTCTCTTTCTCTCTCTTTCTCTCTCTTTCTCTCTCTTTCTCTCTCTTTCTCTCTCTTTCTCTCTCTTTCTCTCTCTTTCTCTCTCTCTCTCTTTCTCTCTCTTACTCTCTCTTTCTCTCTCTTTCTCTCTCTTTCTCTCTCTTTCTCTCTCTTTCTCTCTCTTTCTCTCAATATTTACAGTTAATATTCTTCTTGAATTGTTTTTATCATCAATCTGTATGTCCAACGAAAACAACATACTATTGATGACACCGACATCGTGTAGTCTCAGATAGACGTCCGTCCACTGGATGTTTGACCAATAGCTGCCACTAACCACTGGCCAACCGCCCAGTTTGGCAATCAGATCGTCCAATGGTTTGTTGCCTAACTGTTCCAATAGGGCTATAATTATATGTTAAATAAATTAAAACATAATTAGTATATGTTTTTTATACTGTATATAATTTATTAGTAAAACTACGAAATAAAGTAAATTAATATTTTGTTGATTTATTTAACAAATTAACATAATTTAATAACATTTAAAAGCCATCATAAACTATTACTAAACATTTTTTTAAATAAAATAATAGTGTATTAAGTTTACTATAAAAAATTTTATAAACTTTCATCTACTATACAGTATTATAAGTTCAATAATTTTTAATCAAAAAAAATAAATAAATAATTAAATAAAATCAAAATAATATAAATAATATAAACAAACATGTATTCAAACAACTGTCATAAAAATGTTTGATATTTCGTATGAATGGTCGGCTCTCTGTCTTGAGGTTTATATTTTGAATAAGTCCTGAAAAAAATCATGAATTTTAAAATTAAAATCATAGTAATAGTAATAATAATATTATTATGATTTTGTTTTACAAACCTTTAAGCTGTTTATTAAGTTTATCGGACAGTTCGCTAAATTGATTGACCGCTGGCCTGTCTTCCGGTATCTGTTTATTGTCAATCCATTTGCCGCACGAAAACTGGTAGAAGTCGTGGCACGGGTTGACTGATTCGTCAATAGTATCCATTAGTTTGGCCGCTGTTTAGAGAGAGAGAGAGAGAGAGATAAATAAATAAATAAATTATTGAAAACTTATTATTTTATATCAATAGTAGTGAACATACCTTCCATAACACAACTAGGAGTAACACAAACATTATTATCGGTAATATTTTGGTGATGACCTGTAAATCAACAGTAAATGTTAAAATTATTAGTTATATTAAGATTATTATAGAAATAATTATAGAAAAAAAAATATTTTTGAAATTTTTTTTGTACCTTTAATTATATAATTTTTAATAATTCCATAAACTATTACAATTGATAGAAAATTTACAATTATTACTAAACCTATAATATATTTTTTCATTTTGTTTTGTTTTTTTTGGTATAATTAATAAATATATTGAATATTAAATAAGATTTTTTTAACACAATAAAAAACACAGATTATCTTTAAAAAATTAAATTTAGTTGATATAAAAGTATTAAATAAATAATGTATTTATTTTATTGATAAAACAATCTTAACAATTCAAAAAAATGTTATAATTATATATTTATAAATTATATTTATTTAGATGAATCAACAACCAAAAAAATGACATTGATACTATTGTTTCTGAACTGATATTTTATTTAAAGTTAATATTATTATAAAATTAAAATATAATACTATTTAGAATAATGTATAGATTTATGTATCAACTGTATCAACAAATATATATACATGTATATATTAAAGTTATTTTATTAATATTAATTTTTTTATGTTTAACAATCAATGTTTTAGTTTATAGATAAAAATCTCAAATTGTTAATACTTAAATAAGTACATATTTCAATAGTTTTTTTTCTAAATAATAAAAAATATTTAATACAATTAAAATCTAAACTTTATAAATTTTAATATTCCCCAAATGGTCGGCCATTGAGGTAAACTGTTGCCAAAAAAATTGATTTGAGCACCGGGTCCTTAAGTATCGTACCGTTTTTTTTTGTTATCCAAACTATATATTAAAATTAGGTGATTGACACTTATCTCCTAACCGTCTAATTATGATAATTACCGTAAGCAAAAAAAAATTAAAGATAACAAAATAATTTCTATAATCTTTAATACAGTATTTATAATAATTTTTTTTGAACTATATCTAGAAATTTAGATTTTCATATGTTTGTTAAAAATATTATTCTTTTTTATAACAATTTTTCTATAGTAATATAAACATTCAAAAAAATTTTAACTCATTTAATAACATTAGAAATTAAAAAATGCTACTAATATTTTATATCTAAAAATAACTATTGTAAAATAATATTATTATAAAACATATTTGTTTTTTTAAATGTCAATATTATTATTATAGCTATTAAATTTGATATTATTATAATAAATTAATTAAATAAAATTAATGTCTATTTTAAATCAAAAAAATATGTCATCTAATTTAGTTTTGTATTAAATAAAACAAACAAAAATGACTAATTTTAACATTTTCTGTATAACTATTATCACAATTTTGGGTAATTCAGTCACAATTTTTTTTAAATAAATATTTTTAATATACTTATAACAAATTAAATATATTGATAAATAGATTGCTAGTATTTGTTGAGTATTAAAACAATGATTTTAAAACAAAAATTAAATACTAATAATTTAATTATTTTTTTTAATTAATTTTTTATTTGTTGTTATATCAGTGATTACCAAAACAATTGACGGCTTTAGGAGTGGAAAGGAGCCGATGGGTGTTAAAAAATACAACAAAATTATCAATGATTTGAATGGTATAATTAATAGTCGTAATAATAATAATAAAAAAGATAAAATTAATGGACAACAATTTAATCTGGATAAATTACTACCAAAACATAAAGATATTAAACCATATAAAATTAAGCCAGTAGGAAATTTTACAGTTGAAATCATTCAAAATCAAAATACAACAGTAAAAGATTTACATTTAAAATATTTGTCATATCCTAATATACCTAATTAAACAAAAAATCTATCCAGACCAAATATTAATAATACAAAATTATTGCTAGGTCATTTAGAGAGACTATATAATTTTATATTAATATATATATATATATATATTTATACTATATTTATTAAATTAATATATACGTTTAAATTATTATAACTATTAAATAATAAACTTGTTGTTGAATTTTATTTTTATTTAATTTTTTCATATGATTTATAATTTTTTATATATATATAAAATATACAAATAATTTTGTAATATATGTCAAAATTTACAATTATAAACAAACATATTATATAATATTGATATTATAATATTTTTTATTCATGTATGTTTAACATAATAATTTTTTTTATTAGAATTTAGCTTAAAATATTGAATAATATATTTTATTAAGTAAATATTCATATAATTATTTTGATATTTAAATTAAAATATTAAACAAATAATGTATTTAGTTAAATTTTAACAATACAAAAAAATGTAGTAATTATATTATTATTATTTTTATAGCTGAATCAACAATACTAGTGACAATGATACCAGATTATTTTATTTTAAATTATAGTATTTAATTATTATAAAATTAGTACAGTATTATACATTATACAGTTTTATTATATGTCAACTGTATTAACAATATTATTACATTATTTAGTGCAGTAGTTTTATTAACAATTAATTGTTTATATACACTGTATATTATATATTATATAGAGTATATAAACTTTTAAGCAATTATGTTTTTTTAAAATTATTTATTAATTTATATATTAATATTAAAATCAAGTAATTACAATATTTTATTAAATATATAACAATTAACTTATGATTTTACAATTGTTGATTCACAGTTTTTACATTTATTAGTTTCATTAGTATTATTATTATTTTTATTAGTAGTAGTATTCATAGTAGTAGTAGTAGTAGTAGGAGTACTACTTGTTGTAGTTATTGTAGTAGAAATAGTATGAATAGGTGTAGTAATTGTAGTAAAAGTATTATTATTTATAACATCTATTTTATTAAAACTAAACTTTTTATTTATAACATTGTTTTTATTGTTGTCGTTGTTTTCTTGAAAATATCTATAAATTTATAATATTTAGTGTAAATAAAAACAGTAATAAAAATTAATTAATTAATTAATATATATATATATATATAAATATAAGTTAATAAACATTTTAGATATAATTATCATACTATTAGCAAATTATTTTTGACAATTAATTACTGTTTGGCTAAAAATTTCCAATTAAACTCTTGTAGATCACTATTTTCTTTTGGCTCAAAACATTTAATAGTACCATGGTCATCGGCATCACTATTAGGATTATCACCATTATCTAGATATTAATAAAATTAAATTAAATATATAATAATAATAAATAATAATAAATTAATAGTTATAATTAATACAAAAAAAAATAATTGTTATTAATAATTTTAAATAACTAAGTTTAGTTAATTAATTGTTTCATTGTTTGTTAGAAATAAAATACTACTATTATAGTTATATATTAATAGATTAACCCGGGTCTATATCTATATATTTATATACTGGTATATGTATAATACTTACAGCAATTTTTGTTAAATATTTGATAGTAACCGTCATCATGAGATTTGGCCAACTTTACTGTATGACTGCCAAACTGATGGTTCATTTTATACCAGTGCTGTTTCGGATGGTCGGCCACTTGAGTGAATGTGTGCCAAAATTTGCCTTTAGTTGGCACCGCTTCCTCAGCTATCGTACCGTTTTTGCCAAACCATATCAAATAGCGAGTGGTTTTGGCATTTTGTACGGCATAGTAGGTGTTTGTTTTGATGTCCAACTTTTCGCCCGTATTTTTATCGATAATAGCCTCCGAACCCTCTAATATTGATAATAAAAATAATAAAAATTATTTTTTTTTAAATAATTATTAGATTAGAGTAAAAAAAATCTAACCTTGTAAAGTTTTATGAAATATTAAACATATTAGAAAAATGTTTATCAATAATATTATATTAATATTATATAATGACAGATACATTGTTGTTATTGTACAGTATAATGATTTTTTAAAAATTTTATTTTTATGTAATTTATAATTATATAATATAAATACTAGTAATAAAGAAACTAATTTCAACTAATAAACTATTTAAACATATTTTTTTGTTTTAATTAAAAAAAACAATTTATTATTTCAGTTGATATTATTGTAAAATGTTAATTAAATAATATGTATTTAGGTATTGCATTGTTGGGTACAATTAATTATATTATTAAATTTGCACAAATGAGTCTAAACATTAGCAAGGTTAATATATTGTATTATTTATTTAATGTTATGCTAAATAAATTACAATTATTTTATTTACCTCACAAATTAACTGTAAGTAATTAATTCTTATATAATGTTAAAACTAATATAAATTTTTACAAACAAAATTATAGTTAAACAGCAATAAATTAGAAATATTTAATTATTATCAAAAATTTTTATTATAATTAATTTTAAATATACAGCATATTATGATTATCAACTTGTAGATTTAGCTATTTAACTTTTTTATATTTATTATTATAAAATATTATTTTGTTGATAATTTTATTGTATATTTTATCGATTATTATTTTTATTAATAAATAGTACAATCAAGTGATGGTATATAAAAATATCTAATTAATCAATTAATCTTAAAGTTAAATTACAAAATAATAATTTTATTTAATTTATTTATTAAATTTTAATTAAGTTAGAAGATTATTTTATATAATAATTTAATTATATAAATTTAATACAACATAAACAATAAATACTAGATATTATTGATTATAAGCTAAATATTTTATAACAAACAAAAAAATTAATTAAATTCAAGTACATTTACTGTAAATAATAAATTCAACTATTTATTTACAAAAACCTATATATTTTCAGTATTGAAGAAAATTAAAAAACTTAATAATTTTCTTTTTTTTACTTATAAATAAACAAAAATATAATTAAATAATATTTTTTGTCAGATATTA